TAATTAATAAATGTATTTATAATAGAAGTAAAAACAATCTTCAATTTATAGAAAACGTTAGGGAAATTATCGTAATAAATACTATCCTCGAAATTCTAAGCGAAGCCCTAGGTAGTTTTAAACTATTTTATATAATTATTATTAATAAATTAAGGGTATTAAAAAGCGAAAACAGCCCGGACCTCTTCAATAATCTTACTACGGAAATAATAAACTTTTATAGTATTATCGAATTTATAACGATTAACGAATAAAGTAAATTAATTTTCGAAAACTTATTAATATATATCCTTAATTAATTTTAATTCGTTTAATTCGTAGCGAAAATAAATAATAAAGTCGACATCATCGTACTTAATATCGAATTCGGCGAAAAAGTCTATTACAATCTTTTATTTCTATTTAGTATTATCAGTAAAATACTCGAAAATCGTAATCAAGTCCGATTTAATAATAGAAAAAGGCGTACCCTCTAAAGATTTAACGATATATAAAAAACGCTTAACTTCAAACGTAAAATAAACGGCCTTATCGATCTAATATAATTTAATTTTTATACGCCAAACGTAATAATATTCTATACATTCTAAAAAAGTATTACCTTTAGTATTAAATAGCGGGATATACGAATAGGACGATACCGACCGGCGGTTACTGGTAATTATAATTAATATACTAAATTTATTCATGGGGCCGGGGTTATTAGAAACAGTATTATAGTTACTAAAAATTTTAGATTAGGTCGTAAAATTAGTAATATTAATTTACTTTAATTAATTACAGAAATCGTTAATAGCCTTAACGTACTTCTCGTATTATTTTTAAAAAGCAATATTAATATTATTCGTAAAATCAGTAAATAAATACTTTAAAACGGCGATTTCTTTATATAATTTATTAATTTTAAATTTATATTAAAGAACCGTAGTAGCTAAATTATTATTAAACTTAGTAACTTCCTTTTAAAACTCCTCCAATTCTTCTTCGGCTCTTTAAGCGCAGTCGACAATTTTAATAATATTATTATAAATTAAATGATTCAAAGTAATAATTACGTCGTAAAAGACGGAGATAATTGCGAAAGTAAAGGCGTATTCTATAATTAAAATCGAAGGAAGGCCAGTAAAAGGATTATTATTAAAATTTATAAATACCTGTACATAATTATCGTAAATTGCTTAATTTACAGGATTACAAATTTAGAGAACTTTAATTATAATAACAATAATAAAATTATTTATAATAACCAAGACGTCCGATATTAATTACTAAATCAATTATAACGGCAGTAATCTCTTATAATTACCGTCTTAGAAGTAGGAAGGGGAAGGAGTACTAGATACTTAATTAAATAACTCCTAACTCGGACTTAGTAATATTAAAGTCGAATTTTATACTTATCCTATTAATAAGGGCCCAAATCTTCAAAGTCGTAATATACGATCGTAATTAATTAATTAATTTCTCCTTTAAACGCGCGTAGCGTAATAGTAAAGTATAATAACCTATTATGGGGCGAAGTACTATTAAGTATAGGGTAAACTATATATTATTATACGAAGGGGAAGAAAAGAAGGTATACGTAGAGGACTGGCTATATAAACGTAAGCTCTAACCAAGCTAGTCCGTATACGCGCACACGTACAACTACACGTAACTACTATATATAGGCATAGTATATAAGGCAGTCAATGCAATATAAGAATATTATAGGCTAACCCTATAATAGGTAGTACGAATTTAATATCGTATAATTTAGCCTAATCGATTTTAAAAGGGTCCTCTTACCGAAAATATAATTTATTATATAAGCGGCCTTTAATAAGGTTAATTATATTCAATATAATTAAGTTCCTAGCCTAGTATTTAGGTACGTTCGATGGTTTCTTATTAACGTTAAATTTATAATAGTTTTATACTTTTTTAATTAAAATTTGAATATAGTTTTAGATAGCCTCGAAGTAGGCTAATAGTTCGTTAATTTTTAAGTATTCTTTCTATTAAATTAAGGATAATTATAATATTATAATTAAAAATAGTTTAATACCTATTCGAAAGTAGAAACTATAATTAGTAAAGAACGGGATTATTCCTATAGTTTCTAATATTATATTATTACCCGTAAACTCCATTAAGGGGAACTAACGAACTTAGTCCGTTTGCGCTTAATTTATAAATATCTATAAATATTATTCTATTTCTACGTTAATACATTCTATTTAAATATTTATTTAGGGGTAGAAAATAGAATTTAATAATCTTTTAATTGCTAATCTTTTGCAAATCATAGCTTAGAATATTAATATAAACTAGGAGCCTCTATCTAATACTACGGTATTAGGAAGGCTATAGAAGGTATATATATAATTAATAAAATAATCGGTAAATTCGTCTATTTTTATATTTTCGGTAGCGATATAGTATCGTATTTTAGTAAGGCGATTTATTACGATAGTAATATATTTAAATTTTTAGCCTCAATAAAAATTCTCTGGGAGGGGTAAAATATAGTCGGTATTAATATTATATTAAAGTACGAAGGCGGCTAGTATTGACTTCAAATAGCTAGCCTTAACTCGTTATAATACTTTCGTTTTCGAGCAAGCGAAATATCCTTTATAATAAGCTTTAACGGCCTTTACTATACCTAACTAATATTAATATTTATTTATCTATACCTAAGTCTTATTTTTACTGAAATACCCTACCGTTAACGAAGAATAAATATAGTAAATAATTTATAAATAAGTAGCAGTATTATTAAAATTAATAAATATTCGTTTTTTATTATAAATTTTACTTCCTATTATTAAATATTCCGCAAATACTACCCGTAATTTCTTTTTAATATAGGGGCGCTATTCGGACCAGTTAAAATTTCGAAAATAAATTACCGCCTCTTATATTAATATACATTTAATATAATTATTATTAATAATATCGTTAATAAATTTCTTTAACTCCTCTAAAATATTTAGTACTAATAAAAATACCTCCTCATTTACTTCTATATTGATAATAATATTAAACAAAGTTTTTAAATAACCTTCTTCAAAGCAGGCGGGGTTAATAAAATTATAATTCCTTACCTCTAAACGGTAATTATTTATATTTAACGGGACGTCCTCCGGCTTCCTACTTAAAACATTAAAGCGTAAATTCTTCGAACTGGGGGTATAGCGGATTAAAAAATCGAAACGGAATAAAAATTATAATTATCGTATATAGCGCGGAATTAACTATTTATTCGTAGTAAAAATCTTTAAATTCTTATAATCTATTAGAATATTAAACGGTTATTACGCACCTTCGAACTCTAGCCTCTACTCTTCTAATACTTTAATAATAACTAATAATTCTTTATTATAAATATCGTAATTATATTCCTAAGCGGTATATTATAACGAAAAATAGGCTACCAAGTATAAAATTCTATCGTTACTATATTATAATAGGGTACTACTAAAAACTTAATTAAAAGCGTCGGTTTTAACAATTATCTTCTTTAATTAATTATATATATATAAAGTAAATCCGCTATTAAAAACTATTTTCAAAATTTCGAAAGTAATTTATTAAATTAGGGTCCAATCTTATTCTATATCCTTTTTTATAAAGTTGTAGAGTGGTACCGCTATTAATAAAAATCCTTTAATAAAACGATAATAGAAGTTAGTAGAGCCTAAAAAACTTTATAAGAATTTCTTAAAGGTAAAGGGTTACTAATTTATAATAATTTTAATTTTCTCTAGATTTATTTCAAAACTTCCTAATATAATAATTAACCTATAAGTATTTAATCTTCTTAATATAAAATTCGTACTTATTAATATCTACCCATAAAGTAACTTTAATTAACCATTCGAATACATCGTTAATGTACTTGTCATATTCTACTTCATTATTAAAAAAAACTAAAATATTATTTAAATATACTATTATATATATATATCGAAAATATTATATAGAATATCGTTTATATAATTCTAAAAGGTACTAGGGGTACTTTAAAGCCTAAAAGGATATACTAAGGACTTAAATTATAAAAGTCCTTAGTTATAATACCAAAAGAGATTTTAAAATTAAAGTTTCTCTTAATTTCCTTATTATATTAAAATTAGTAATTATTTACCTAAATAATATAAAGATTCGACCTTATAACTATAAAGAATTCTAGGAACTATAGGTCTAGCTTATTTATTCTAATAATTCTTCTAATAATATAGAAGGGTATAGCCGCTTTTTAATAAAAATTTCAATTATACTAATTATAATTAGTTTTGTTAGGGGGCTTAAAAATATTAATAAATTTATTTCGGGCAAACTTCTTTACTTTATAATTATTAAAAATAGTAGATTTATTAAGATTATTATATTATTCGTATAAATTAATACTTTTAATAAAATTAATTTCCCGGTAATTATTTCCAACGGTTTTAAATATTTAGTAATTTGGTGTAGTTTTTTTAATATTTAGGTTAGAGAAGGTTTTAACCTCTATACGCTAGTCTAATTTTTTAATTATATAATTATAGTAGTCGTGCTTATAATAAAAGCTATGAAGTTTAGTGGTAATAAATAGGGTAGCCTCCTTATCCTTTTTAATTTCTTTAGTTTCTCTAGCGGGAACCTCCCTTTAGTAGTTAGTAATATTAGGTTCTACTAGTTCGGTTAGCTAAGGAATGCGGTTATTTAGGTTGATATACTTTTAAAGACCTAAGTCTTAAGTTATGGAAATAAAAGTATCTTTTTAAGCCGGCTAGTCCTTAGGGCCGTTAAGGGCAACGCTATTGATTTTAATTGTAGATATTATTAGTAATCATTTAGTCAGTTGTCGTTACTGGCGATAGCTTCAATGGTCGAATTAATAAGACTTTTAATTGTAATATTATTAGTAATAATCGATATAGGGTTTAACGTGGCTTGATTGTGTGTTTGTGTAAGATTGGCTCTGCAGACTCGAAGCTCTAGCATCTGGATAAATCCCGCATATCCCAGCCCAACTGGGCACGTGCACGCCCAGTGGATCCCCTGGCCTCTAACAGGAACCCCTCCTAGAGGCGAGGCCGCGGGGGAATCGTGAGGAGGGCATCCCCGAGGACATTCACGATTCCCCCGAGGACATTAACGATTCCCCCGAGGATATTCACGATTCCCCCGAGAACATTCACAATTCCCCCGAGGACATTCACGATCCCCGAGGACATCCATCTACCAGACAATCTTTTCAACACACCACACATCTCCGTCGAGGGAGCCTGGAGAAAGCAGCAAAACCCACAGGGAACCGCACGCAATGGGTCTTTTCCACCGAAGCCGTGATAAAGACAGTCCTCAGGCCGTACCGAAGCACCGTTTCGGATTTCGCAAATCCTTCAAAAAGTTAACGGGCGCCAAATCCACGTCACTCGCTCCTGAACCGCTCGTCGCTTCTGTCCTTCGCCAAAGCAATGCATCCAAACCCTCGCCCCGCACCTCCATCATCAACGACACATCTGCGTCTCTCGAGGGATCCGCGGCCGCCAGTGAAAGCATCACCACAATCCCCCCATGCCGTCAAGTTCAGGTGGCAGATGGCGAGTCAATCCCATCAGGAAAAGACGCCAGAACCGGTGACCCGGTGGTGCCAACAGAGGAATTGAGTAACCTCCATCTTGACCGAATGGACGGTTCAAGTCTCAAGCACAGCACTGGGGACCACTCAGTCAAGGCCGCCGAGTCAAATGACATCCCTTGCCAGGAGATCACAAGCACGCCCAAGACTCTATGGGACCGAGCATACGACGCTCTTCGATCATCCAACGATCCCGACAAGTCGGGCTTGGTTGCCGATTACGAGAGAAAAGTTCTCCATGAATTAAAATCCAATGTGTCAGGTGAGGGTTTCCATTGAGCTACACTCCACGCACGCCCAAAAACTCCCCAGGTACGCCCATTTTCCGAGGTGCCAGAAGGCAAAGGAACTATACTCGCGCTTTTACTTCTAAAGTAACCCATAATACAATTTTCTTAAGCCTACTCTAAGCCCCTATTATTTTTTTCTCCCTTTAAAATAGTTTTCTTTAGTCGTATTTCGCAATCCGACTCAAAGAATGATATAAGTATCGAAGACGAAGTACACCGTCTAGTACGCTTCCTCAATAAGACTAAATGAGTTGGAATAACGTCATACCGTCTTGGAGAATAGACGGAAAAGGGTATATCGAAGACAAAAGCCAATGCAAATGGAAGTACGGAATCTTTTTTCTTAAGTGTCTTAAGGGGGTGTACTTGAGGGGGGTACCTGGGGAGTGGCTCTTTCCATCACCTCTCCCTGCATATCAACATGCTAACATCGTCACATTGTTAGGACGTACAGTGGAACTCGAGGAAACGTTCGCGGATTCACTCTTGGATCAGAAGCTCACCAACAAGGCAGTACTTGACCGAGCCATTGAAGATGCATTGAAGCATGCCGCCAAGGGGGCAAGCTCAGCAAGATCATCAATCGACAAGGCGGGCAAATTGACGTTGGCGCTTCAGAACTTCATCAGCGAGGCTGTCAAAGCTTTCCCGGAGGCTTCCCTTGTATGGGCAGGCGTGTATCTTGTTCTACCCCTCCTCACCCAACCTGCAATTGCCGACGAAGCCCAGAGGAACGGGTTCTCATACGTCACGTCCCGTATCGGCTTCTGGACTACGCTTGAACGTCAGCTTGCCAATACCGGAAACTGGACGGAGAGTGTTCAAGAGGAATTTGTCAGGCTTTATCAGCATTTGCTTGAATTCCAGGTCCGCATTGTCCTCCGATACCATCAAAGTGGCTTTGAACGCTTCGTACAAGACCTTTCATCCAACGCGTGGGAGCAGCTTATCACAGTCATCAAGCACCAAGAGGGTCTTCTCTACCAGGATTTACAACAATACCACAATACCAACCTTTCACTCACCATTGAGACTCTTAAGGAGAACAGCAATAAATCTTTAGAGTCCAACGCCAGATTTCTCGAGGCTCTACAGGAGGTCCAAGATTTTGTCCGTAAAGGCGCTGAGAATAAGCTTCAGGAGAAGGAGGAGAAGTGTTTACACCTCTTCCGTCTTACGGACAATCAGAGACATGTCACCTATGAGTGGTATAAAAGCCGTGTCCAAAAGCGAGTTGAGGGAACTTGCATCTGGGCTGTTCAGCACGAGAATTTTCAAAACTGGTTGAAGCTCAAATCGGGACCTCTTCTGATCACGGCAGACCCTGGATGCGGGAAATCCGTGTTATCCAAATACTTGATTGACCAGTATCTGCCACAACGGTTTCCGACCGCAACTATATGCTACTTCTTCTTCAAAGATGGGGACCAGAACACAGTCAAGCAGGCCCTTTGTGCTCTACTACATCAGCTTTTTTGCCAAAAGCCAGAACTGATCAAGCATGCTCTCGAAGAATATGCTCGTAATGGAGACGCCATGATCAGAACGACATCCTCATTATGGCGGATTTTCAACGACGCAACGCATGATGAAAGAGCGGGTACCATCATCATAGTGCTTGATGCTCTTGATGAATGCGAGCCAAATGAGTTCACACTCTTGGTGGAAAACATCAACAAAGTGGGAGAAAGCGTCGCCAAGTTTCTGCTTACATCTCGTCCGTATGGGGATGTGCTTTCCCCTTTCAAGTATGGCGACATGCTTGAACGCTTTCCTCGCGTTCTGATCCCGGGGGAAAAGGAAGATCAATCGGACCAGATCAGTACGGAGATTAATCGTGTTATTCAAGTTCGCGTCGATCAATTCGTACTCAAGTACAAACTCCAAGATCAACTCAAAAATACCCTGTGGGCGGAACTCAACAAGACAAAGCATCGAACCTATCTCTGGGTCTATCTTGTCTTCGATTATTTGAAGACCCTCGTCTCAAGCGACGCTCTGAAGCGGACAGCTCAAGGGTTTAAGACTGCCATTGAGAAACTTCCGAGGACAGTGGAAGATGCATATGAACGGATTCTCAATAGGCCCCAGGGTGCCCTACGTACAATATTGCGACGAGTGTTGTGTGTCATCCTTGCTGCCTAGCGCCCTTTGACGCTCTCTGAGATGCAGATTGTGGTCAACATTGAACCTGACATGATATCTGTCAAAGAACTGGACATGGAGGAGGAAGAAGATTTCTCAAATCGCCCAAGAACAATCTGCGGACTTTTTGTCTCAATTCACCAGCGCAGAGTGTACTTCCTGCATCAAACCGCGAGAGAGTTCTTGCAGGCCGAAACGGAACTATCTACAGCGCCAGGGTCATGGCGCTCCTCGATCAGGAAAAACCAGGCCCATGGTGAACTTGCTCGGATTTGCGTGCGGTATATATATATCTTGGATCCTGAGGTTGTTCATCACAATTTCGACCATTTCCGCCTTGAAAGGGAATATCCCTTTCTGCTTTATTCAAGAGATCATTGGAGCCACCACCTTCGCAACAGCGACTTGGATGATGATATCGGGTTTTTGACAACAGCGATGGTCCTTTGTGAGCCTGGCTCCAAACATTTTCGCACATGGACTGATAAACGTTATGACGGGCCAGAGGAATTTGCAAGACATTTCTCCACAAGTCTTCATGTTGCTGTGGCTTTAGGATGCAATGGCCTCGTCCGACATATTCTACGTAACATTAGCGCTAAAGAAATCAACACTGGTCACAACGAAAGGGAGACAACACCTCTAGCTCTAGCCGCCAGATACGGAAACAACCACACTATACAGCTTTTGATCGAGGCGGGGGCCGAAGTGGGTACTGGCTGGAAAGACAAAACTCCACTGTATGAAGCCGTGGACGCTCGAAAATTAGTGTCTGCCACTACCTTACTCGATTACGGCGCCTCCGTTGATCAGTTAGATGCGCGAGGACGGACTCTGTTACACCTCACGGCTCGTAACGATGACGCCAAGATGGTGGAGGTATTGGTTGAGAAAGGGATCAATGTCAACTCCACAGATAATGACGGCAATACCGCTTTGCTGGCATGCCGCGCCGTCTACGATGAAATGTACCGGAGGACAGATGGCGTCAAACTGGCCAGATTTGTGATTGAAAGAGGAGCATGTCTTGACATAGCCAACAAAGACGGCACAACCGCTCTCATGCAAGCAGTCGACTCGGGTAGGTGGGCTTTGGCTAAGCTCCTCATCGCGAAAGGTGCGGATCCCAACCTACAAGATTGTAAAGGCGAGTTGGCCCTTCACAAGGTCTACTACTCCGATAAGGACGAGGATAGAGCCGTATCACTAGCCAGGACGCTAGTTGAGAAATGCGTTCACTTAGAGGCACAAGACCATGATGGTTTTACTCCCCTACATGCTGCCGTTGCTAGGGAGCATGTTAAGCTAGTAAGGTTGCTACTTGAAGGAGGTGCAGATCTTGAGGCTACAGACCATAGGGGCTTTACTCCGCTCGTTTCAGCGGTTTTCATGAGCAAGACGAAAGTTCTTCCGTCCCTACTCGACTCAGGCGCGAATGTTGAGGTTACCGACAATGAGGGCAAAGGTCCTCTCTTGTTTGCGGTCGCGACATCAGAGCCCCAAATTGTTAAGATGCTTCTCAACTTTGGTGCTAAAGTGGAATGCACTGGGAAAGGCCCTTCACTCCTGAAAAAGGCCGTGGAAGTCATTGAGGATAACTTGAACACCGCGAATGTGATTCTGAGGGAGTATGAAATGGTGAAGGAACGAACCTCAGGCCTCGAAACCGGAACCGAAAACTGGGACCTAATAACGGCAGACAGTCCGGAAATGGTGGCACGCCTTGGAGACGCCTGCGTCGCCTGGGATCATGAGCGAGCTAAGCGAAGTTTGGCAACGCACCAAATACTGCGCCGAGCGGTTGCTGATACGGGTATCGATAGGCTAGATGAAGAAGTTGAAACGGTGTTAGATCGTGCGATCAAGGATGTGGATCGGGCGCTGGAGGAGATGATGAGGATACAGTTCGCGAACGATCGCGGTGACCGACGCTGGTGAGGAAGAAACGGACTCTTATGTTCTCATTCACTATATCCTATAATTTGGCGTATTTCCCACCGGGAAAACCTACCCGCACCCTACGATCTCCTATACGTACCTTACAAATTCTACAATCTTTTATAATTCTTTACTACTACAATTATATCATCGGACAAAACCTCGTATTCCAAAGACGATAGCGTATATCCTACATATCAAAGAGGTTTTCTTCTTCACAATACTTATTCACGCCCCATTATTTGCGAGTTCCTTCCCAATTGTATTTACAACGCCGTCTTTTGCAACTGACTTAAATACTATATTTAAAGACTCTACAAAGAACACTGAGGCCTAAGAGAGGAGAGTATAGTTTGAATTTCATACTAGATACTTTTTTCTGAAAGGTGTGGCCTGAATTTAGTAAAAAGATCTCGGGGGATTTGGAATAGGGTACGTGTAGGAAAGCGTAGGGTGCGGGCAGGTTTTCCCTTCCCACCTTTTTACCATATTGCGGAACATCTGTTGCAAGGAAATATATATCCTACAATCCTTTCTCTCCACCAACTCTTGGGCCCGTTGTTGGCTAACTTCTACCCAATCTGTTCCGTTCCCATTGACTGCAGATATCTGTATCTGACACAGGAAGATCTACTTTTCAAAAGAAAACTGCACCATGGAATGCCTTCACCCCTTGCAGAGTTCGCTTTTTCTTACACCTCAACTGTACATGATTCCCGGTTTTCTCATTGTGTTGCGGTAGGTTGAGTGTAAAATGTCGGACTCGCCGCGTCGTGACGTTCAACATGCCTCGAGGTTTGGCTAGCACAATGTCAAGCAATCCTTTGTCCCCGCCCCCCTTCCCGTGGTAGCTACAATTGTTCTCCCCGTGTCTTCTGTGGACAAAATTAGCTTTTACCCCTTGGCGTTTCATTGTTCTTCGACCACGAGTCCACGGGAACAAGGGGCACCTGCGAAGCGGGTAAAGCCGCCAAGTCAAAGTCAACAAAGACCACGGCACGTTCCCCCTTTTTCAACATCAGCGGACACATAATGTAGACCCCATGTCCTGAACAGAATGAAGAGACATATAAAGCTCGCCGATTCTATTCAGAATCTTATTCACATCTCTTTTCGTCCCCGCTGTTGAAGGATACCCTGATCATTTTGGTATTCCTCGTTTCAAGCTCGAGACTCAAACAGACCTACAGCCACAGCTACAGCTACACACTAGCCACAGCAAGCAAGCAAGCAAGCAAGCAAGCAACAACCCTCAAAGAAACAACAAAGCAAAGCAACCTCAAATCCCCAGTCCCCAAAGCCACAACCACGGCACCCATCATGTTCCAACCCACCCTCACCTCTCTCCTCCTCCCCCTCCTCGCCCTCCTCACGGCCCCCATCTCCGCCTACGACTTCTCCACCACCCTCCCCACATCCGGCATCCCCGACGCCCAAAAAAACGACTGGTGCACCACGCACGTCGAAACCTGCGGCTACATCTGCGGGACGGGGATGGGTACCGACAACCTAGGCGTCAAGACCAACTCGTGCCTCTACACTTCTCTCCAATACGAATGCGTCTGCATCAAGGACAATTTGAAGGTCAAGATGGAGCTTTTCCATTACACGGTGCCGGGCCTGATGTGCGAGGCGGCGTGGAAGGCGTGCAGAAAAACGAATGAGGGGAATGAGGCAGTAAAAAAGGAGTGTGATGAGAAGATTAGAAGAAAATGCGGACATTTGAGGACGAAGGAGCAGGAGACGAAGAATGAGGGGATTTATGGGTTTTTTAAGAGTCTTGGGGGGAGCCATAAGAGGAAGGTTCGGAGAAGGTTTGAGGCTTGATTGGATGCATAGGGAGGTAGGTGGATATCTTACCTGTCGAGGAATGGATGGAGGTCTCTTTTCTTTTTTTCTTTTTTATTAGGGGGGGATTTTGGGTCCGGACTGTTTCTCTGTAGGTATGTATGATAAGGAGTGTATGTTACCCCTACAGGAAGTGGGAGCTCTGAATGAAAAGGAGGAAAGACTATGTGATAGAAGTTGTTTCCTATGTACATCGGGTATGGGATGATCTGAAACGAGAAAATAAAGAATCGGGAAATAGGCTCAAGTACAATACCTTACGTACAGGTAGTAGATAAGAAGATGACAAGGGTCTGTTGATTCCCTACTACGACAGTAAATGACATGACGTGGTGATATCTCCCCTTCCAGCCCCAACTCCCCAACTCCCAACTCCCAACTTCCACTCCCCTCTAAGACGGCATCCCCCCCCTCATATTCTCATAAACACTCCCAGGATACTCCAACAAGTTCTCCCCCTCATCCATCCCCCCTCCCCCTCCGCCTGATAGTCCCTCCCTAGCAACACTTATCAAACTCTCCCCATCTCCATCCCCCTTCCGATCCCCCGACGCCTCCCAAAACATACTTCCCCCCAACCCCCTCTCCTTTACGTAGTTCACCTTCCTTGCAACCATCTCCCCCGTATCAAAACTCACCATCTCTTTAGTCTGCTCATCATAACTCCAGCTTGCCCCCACCGTCTCATCCAGATACACCTGCGCCCCTTGCTTCGGCAGAACCTTGTAATCCCATATCCCCGCTTCCCACGACCCGGCTCCTACTCCGCTAAACGGTTGTCCCGGTCCGGCAGTGGACTCAAAAGCGCGACCGTAGAGTGGCATACCCAGGACGATCTTTTCGCTCGGCATGCCAAAGTTAACATAATCCGTCACCGCCCTATCCGCCGAGAACGGCGTCGAGTCCGGGTTTTGAGGGTTAGGAAACAAATTCGCCTGATGCCCACTCTTCGTATCCCACGACCCCGAGAAGTCATACGCCATGAGGTTCATAAAATCCAGCGTCTCCCCCATCTCCTTCAAGTAAGGCTGCAACACCCCGTACCGCTCCGGCCCAGCGGGGGCAGCGATGGTCAACAAGAACTTGTACCCCGCTGCCTGCTCAGCAGCGTACTTGTCGAGTTGGGAACGGATTTCTTTCAGCAAGAGGAGGAAGTTTTGTGCTTCTGTGTCGGAGGCGGGGTACTCCCAGTCGATGTCGAGGCCGTCGAATCCCCAGTCTTTCATCAACCCCAAAGCCGAGAGGGCGAACTGTGTGCGGGAGGAAGGGGTGGAGGCTGCGAGGGCGAAGTTGCTGGGGGAGGTTTGGGAGTAGGTCCAGCCGCCGATGGAGAGGAGGACGCGGAGGTGGCGGTGGGCTTTTTTGAGGAGGAAGAGTTGTTTGATGGAGCCGTAGACGTTGGTGCCGATGTCGTTCCAGGCTGGGAGGTGGAGGTGTTAGCTTGCCGAGCGGAAAGAGAGAGGAGGGGAGAGGGAAGAAGGAGGACGTACAGTCACCGGGATAGTGCATATCTGTATCGGCCCATGTGTCTGAGGAGAAGACAGTTCCATCGCTGCGAAGGTTCGCGAAGGAGTAGAGGACGTGTGTGATTTTGTCGGCGGGAAGGTCGGCGGGGTGGTAGTTGCGGCCGTAGATGCCCCTGGAGAGAGTCGAATGTGAGCAAGTACCCGATGCCAGTCACGCCCGTGTCAGGGATCCGAGAAGCTTGAGAATATGGTACTCACCAGTTGGTAAAATACACAACGTTCTTATAGCCAGTAGCTGCTGCCGTGGTATTCACGCCACTGTCACGACCAGTCAAGCTGCTCCCGACCGGCGCAGGCGCAGCATCCACAAGGAATGAACAGAAGGAAACGGCAACCAGTGCGGCTGTCTTGATGAACAGCATCATGGTGGGGGAGTGTTCGAACTAGTCGCAGGCTAGACCAGGCAAAGTGAGGGAGTGATGTTGGGAGCAGCTCGCTTGTCTGGCGGCGCAGTTGGTGATGCAAACTTCGGAGCTAGCTTCTCGGAAGAGGATATGAAGAAGCTTTTATCCTCCCTTGGCTTCCGACCCAACGTCGATAGGTAGTAGAGCACCGTTGGCCCATCCCTTTCTAGTGTGGCGGCCAACACCAGAACATAGCATAGAGGTAGTGACCCAACGACAGGGTCGCTCATCGTCAAGGTCTTGTGCCATGGCGAAGGTCCAGTCTCGTTGCATCGAGATAGCTACATGATGGTGGTAGCCAACTCTGGCGCCCATGCCCGTGGACACTAGGTGGGTATCCGTCTTGCCGTCCCTGTGAGCTTCGAGATGCTTGCTCATCGCCCTGGATCAAATGCATTAAACAATCTCGCAACGTTGCCATGACGGGAGATTTGTACCTGAATGTTCCATGTGTCGTCCTGTCCACCGGGTTTGGTGGCTGTTAACCTCCCCATGGCATCCACGCCGTGTCTGTGAGTTCGGTGTCATGGCCGAGGTCAAAGAGAACTGGCGAGGAAATTGTTGGGCGACATCATCCACCCCTAGACCTCAACTGACCCAACAAGGAGCTTGATATGGCGATATGACCGGACGGTAAGTGACTGGTGATCTGTCTTCATGTGCAGGAAGGGGATGCAATTTCCGTGCCGTGTGGGATTGATTGTCAGGGTGCCTGGTCGGCGTTGTAATGTTCGATCGAGCATTCGGATATTGGCACGAGACGTCGTTACCGAGTCGCGAGTGTTCGGTGTCTTGAGGATGATGAAGGTACCTGACAAGAGAGGGTGGCAGAATGAGACGACGGCCCCCTTGATGGGTGGGGTCTTATCTCGGACTTGGTGCTTGTTCTGTCTTCTCGGTTCAAGGAGTGGATGAGAGGTAGTCGAGCGAGACCTTGAAAGGGGAAGTTCGAAGAAGAGGTATTAGAGCTCGGTGGTCAAGATGCACATGGAAGGGTTGTATACTACACCACGGGGAAGCATCGCAGGGATGCAAGCGCGATCACCGGATAACCAGGCACCGGAATGTTCGGGGACACGCGCTCATTATCTGCAGCGGGAATTGGCGAGATGTGTCTTTATGGTGGCCATGTCCCCGGTCCTGTCAAATCCAAGTGCCGTCGGATCTGGTTAGATCTGGGGAAGCATCATCCGGATTGAGAAGGTCCTGAACGGCCACCCACAACCGCCGGTAATGTGCATGTGCTCGGCCAAATAGAAGAGCGGCCGCCATCTTGCACCGTCTGATGTTACCTCTTGAGTTGTTCGGGAGCATTTGGAGTCCATGAAATGACAACTGAACGTCTGTTCAAGGTCATTTGTCGTCGTCGACTTCACAGTTGTCCCCCGCATTCCTGAAGATAGACGAAATTTGATGTCACCCTACGATCAGGTACACCGCCAATGATGGTCGTTACATCCTCCACGAGGCAACGTGCAACGTTACTCAGATATTGCGATCTGTATCTGGATGCACGTGTTATCTCAATGCCAACGACATCCTTTTTCGGCTATCCGGGTTGGACACAGAAGAACTGTTGACTTTGGATTGACGATGAACGAATGCCGACTTGATGCTGGGGAAAAGGCAAAAAAAAAAAAAAAAACCACAGAAAACGTTTCCAACATACTAACATAGGTACCTTTCCCACCCTCAAAACGCCTTGACAGTTGCCAAGACTTCCCGAGAATTGAGCTGACCACAACTTTTTGGCAAACGGACTTTTGAAACGAAAAGAACAAGACTTCATTTGCCCATATTTCTACCAAATGAGGAGATGAAGGAAAAATGATTTTAGATTCAACATCAGCGTGCTTGAAACTATCAAGAGAGCACTCTTTCTGATCATATAATTGAGTTTCTTGATTTTCGTCTTTCGTTTCGATGGTCCGTTTGTCAAAAAGTTGTGGTCAGCTCAATTCTCGGGAAGTCTTGGAAACTGTCAAGGCGTTGGAGGGTGAGAACTTATCCAAAAGATGGAGCCTAGCAGAGAGTCAGATAAGAGAAGAAAAAAGGAGGGAACGTCAAAAGCCATCCGCATCATAACGCCAGACTTACCAACTCCCCAATCCGTAACCGCTCATAGAACCCCATCCACCAACCACCCCCTAACAATCTCCATAACCTCCTCCCTCTTCTCCATCCCATTCCTAACCGCCTCCTCATCCTTAATCCTCGAAATACCATCCTGATCATATCCATGAACTACATCAGGCACCAACAACCACCTATAACTCCTCTTCACTTGCTGCCGCCCATCCTCCTCCATCTCCGTCACTTCCTCCTGCCAATGAAACCTCTCATCCTCCAACTCCAACAACCCCCCCTTCTTCCCCTCTTTCTTTTCACCAGGACCAGGTTCCTCCCTCCCCAACATCTCCTCAACCCCCGGAACCCTCCTCCCCGCCAACTTACACGCCATCCGCCACGCCTCACCGCCCAACATATCCAGCTCGCAAGCAACAATAAAAACATTAGCGGGAAACCTTTCCCTTCCTTTCACCCTAGTGACCCTCCCCTGAGTCCCCTCTGCGTCTTCTTCTTCCAGTACTTCCACCGCGTACAACGGACTCAGCAACGGGTCCCCCATCTTCTGCCCCGGTGAGACGTAACTCCAATCGAACATGCCCGACACGCTCATCAAGTAGTCCGTATCCCTTCCCCTAAACCCGCCCAGACTCAGCTTATACCGCCTTGACTTAGTCTTAGCCACCGACGGAGTGACAAAGTCCAGCACCGGATACATGGGCACCGCGGCCTTGATCCGGTGACGAATATCAGGTAGCTGCGACACAGCCATTGCCAGGTTCCCGCCGGCGCTCCAGCCGGCGCTAGCGACGCGGTGCGTGTCGATTGGCAAGTCGGAGTGTTTCTCAACTACTGCAGTGGACGGGTCAGACCCGTAGTCGACGAGAAGGTCTAGGATGACGGCCTCGAGATCGTGGATGGCTGTTGGGAAGGGATAGGAGGGGGCTTTGCGGTAGTCGAGAGCAATCACGCAGAAGGGGGTGCCGGCTTCTTCGGCGATTTGGACGAAGCGGCGGTTCCAACCGTCGTTCTCGTAGGGTGCGCCGATGACGAAACCGCCGCCGTGGATGGTAAGCAAGGTGGGCAGCTTCTCGTGAGATCGCTCGGGGTTCGAGGGGGAGTGTGATTTGGGGAGAAAGACGCTATTTGTTTTTCAGTCCCTTTTGTCGAGGGTCTACCCTACTCAATGGCCAGGTAATGAGGAAGCGGGGGAAGGGACATACCGAACGGGCAACTGCGGCCTTGAAGGCAACGCCTTGATGATATCCGGCTTGTTCGGGGAAGAGCCCAAGTAATCGGTCTTGATGGAGTTGATAAAGTTCACGGGAGTCATGACGAGCTTGGTGATGCCGTAGGCTAAAGCGCCGTACTTGAGCTTCTGGGTGAGTGGAAGGGATGGGGCGACATGGACTTCTTCGGAGCTGGTTGGGCCAGCGGTGTCGACGGCGGTGGTTATAGCGGCCATGGCAGGCGATTAGTGATGAGAGGATGTCGGGGTGATGGAAAGAAGCTTGTAAGGTAGAAGGACTGGTGTTGTCGCTGTTATAAGATGCTGTCCGAGGGCAGACTGGTGTAGATGCTCGGCAATCATCGTGGTGGTGATCGGGACATTGGACGAGGGAAAACAAAAGCCCGAGGGTTAGGGGATAACGAGGAAGTCGAGACGATCCTCAAAGGCGGAGCCGCGGCAGCTCCGCCGATAAGGCAACGGACCGTCCCATCCAGATGACCCCGCAGGAGCGTGGCAGCGGGGTTGAAACCTGCCATAGAGGGAACCCCGGGTCTGAGAACAGGGTCAAAACAGGCGCTTTTGAGCCAACAGTCAGAAATAGCTCAAACAAGGTTCAAACAGGGTCGTACCACCCTTTTTTTACGAAATTCTAAAAGACCCATAAATCATATTCCTTATAAAAGCATATCGTCGGACAACACTCTCTTTTAGGTATAAAAGAGCTTTAACTTTGAAAATTCATATAGTACCAAAACGGATGTTAGGCTTTATTAGGATTTTTGCCGCCTAAATATTATTTTTCGATAGTTTACGAGAGAAATTTAGAATAATAATCTTTTCGCTAACATTTTTTTTATTTGAACATTCTTTTCCTAAGAAAACGCTCTTTTTCATCAATATTTTTTTATTCTAACATTCTTTTTTCTAACTCTTCCTTTTTTTCCTCAATTAATTTCCGTGCCTTTTATTAATTATATTAAGCTTTATTTCTAATACATTCGCGTATATAAAGTAAATACTAGATAGCGTAGTTAGTAATATAAATACTTAGTTCCGTGAGGTTCTTATTCGATTCCTTGCTATAATATTTGTAAAAACTATTAAGTAAAAGATATACTACCAAGAAGATGCATTACTAAGAGTATTACTAAGAAAATACATTACCAAGAAAATAATATATTATTAAAAAGATAAACTCCAAGGAGAAGATGAACTATTACAATTATGATGATGTAATGGTTACTATTTTTCCCGATGGTCGCCCGGTGGTCGCCGCTTCCTCTAACGGAGAGAAGAAAAGATATCTCTTCTTAGAAAAAGTCTAACCGGGACCAAAAGTCTGACCGGGACCAATTAGACTATTAGAGCAATAAGTAAAAGAGGGCCTTTTACACTATTGGTCATAGACGTCTGTCAGAACCAAACATTTATATAGACTAGTCAAAGCCTTATACAACCTTTCCAAAATCGAAAAGAAATTTTCGCCCAAACATGCTTGCAGTACCCTTGCCGGACCCTGTTCTCAGACCCGGGGTTCCCTCTATGGTGGAACGCATGGGTGTTCCTTGGGTGATGGTTACAGAAGGGTTAGTGGTAATTGTTAGTGTAACCGATGGAAGGCGGGCAACATGGAAGTGAACAACGAGGTTTGACCGTTGACGCTCGTGATCACCAAGTCTCCCTCCGGACAAGGTCAGAGAGCAAGATAAGAAAAAATGAACACGGATACAACTGGGGTCAACTCACTATCATCAAACGACGCTTTGCTTTGACAGTGGGCCGTATCGGGAGTTGCTCTTGGTCATAGTGGTACTGGTTGATGTCGATGTCGATGTCGGATAGTTGTCATCAGGCCTTCAGGTGAAGCTGTCCCCCAGCTGACTGGGCATGTGAGAGTTGAGGGTTAATGGCAATTGTTATTTGTTAGTGTAGGGTTTTGGAGAGAATATGGGCAGCAATATGAACAAAGCAACAGGCAAATAAATCCAGTTTAGTGAAAGTATCAAATGTGCGTCTCATGTCAACAAGTTCAAATTCCAGGCTTGAAGTCATAAGCAAAACGCAATAAACATCAAATCCATCCAAAGCAACGCTAAACCCAACGTAACTAACCAGGCCTCAACATCATCATAACATCAGGTCATGGTCTCATCAACAAGCCAACACCGCAACCGTCCAACCTCCTGAAATAATAACCAAGCCCACGTTCAAAGAACATCTTCTGCTCAAACAAACTCATAACTCTGCTCGCTCCTAGCATCTTCATCCCACTCCTCGTCGCTGACCTTGTCGTCGTTCTTCGGCACAGCCTCCTCCCCTTCCTCCTCTTTCAATCCACTTCCCACCTCCACCCGCTCGGGATCCCTCTCCCCTACAACGCACTGCCTGTAGGCGACCCCAACAGCGTCCCCCTCACTCCTCCCATCAGCCCCCCAAATCTCCACCACCGCCCTCTTCACTTCCTCCGACACATTCTCCAACCTCCACAACCGCTCCACCCTCTCTTTTACCGGTCCTCCATCCCTCGTCACCAGATTATAGATGACTTCCTTCATCGGGTAGTCCATCTCGCACCTATAAAGCATCTCATGCAATCTCAAGTGGATATCCACCACATCCAACTGCAGATCCTTACCCAGCTTGAACTCCCGTCCCTTGTCCTGGTTCAAGTTGTTGGTGTTGTTGTCCGCCTTGGCGCCGCCGAAGGCGAGGGTGCCCAGGAAGACGGTGGTGATGTGCGAAGAGTGTGGTTGTTCGCATTCGCGGTTGCGATGGCTGGAGAGCGAAGAGGGGTTGGGGCGGGAAGCGTTGCGGAATCGTTCACGGAGTCGTAACAGCCGTTCACGGAATCGGTTGAAGTTCTGTAGATCGGAAGCTGGGTTGCCAGTGACAATGGGCAGGTCATCGTCATCGTCATCGTCTTCAACAACGTCCTTGTTCACTCCCTCGGTGCACCCCACCAGCTCAACCGTCCATTCCCGACGCTCGCCTCGTCCGTTGACCTCGGGCCCGATGGTGAGAATGCCCTCCTTTTGATTCCACCGGATCGGGGTGCGGACCAAGGTGGATGGGTCAGGGCGGTCGGCCATGGCCACTGGAACGGCACCGGTTGGCTCCTCGACCAGCTCAAAGTAGGCGTCTGCGCCGACGACAAGTTGGATGGTGATCGCTTGGGGCCGGGTACTGCCGTGTTTGTGGCGACCCGCAGATTTAGCCGTGTCCAGCGGGATAATGGTTCCCTCTCTGGCAAAGACCGGGATCTCCGACAGAGGACGGTGGACGTCCACGTAGCGGCCTCCATCGTAGACAAGACTGGGATGGCGAATGTCAATGTACCGACGGCCGGTGTCCGGAAGCCAGGCGCGAACGCTGCCCATGAGGGTGGACGAATTGTTTGGCGTGGTAATCGGTGCCACGATCAGGTCGGGACCAAAGTAGTACTGGTTGGGCACTGTGTATGCTTCTTCGTCCTTGTGGTTCCAATACATGGGTTGCATCAGGGGCTCGGATTCGTAGCAGGCGCGCACGTTCATGGTGTAGAGGAACGGGATGAGACGGTAGCGAAGTTGGAGGTAGTCGGTCATCACCTTGCGGGCTTCGGGCTCGTACAGCCATGGCTCCTTGGAGTTCCACTGACTCTTCTCGGAGTGCAATCGCAGGATGGGCGAGAAGCAACCGAATTGGACCCAGCGCGCGGTCAGCTCGTTGGAGCGCACACCGGCGTAGTGGCCGCCGATGTCGTGACTCCACCAGCCATAGCCAATGTTAGACGCTGTCGCAGTAAACTCGGGCTGGAAGTGCAAGGAAGCCCAGGTGATGAGTGTGTCGCCAGAGAAGCCAATAGGATAGCGATGAGAACCAGCACCAGCATATCGGGAGAAGGTGATGGGCGTCGCAGTGGTCTTGACGTTGCGACGGCTGGTGAGATAGTGGTAGTGGTTGAGCACCCACAGCGGGTCAACACCGGGAATGCGCGATCGGTTGCCCTGTTGCCAGTCAATCCACCAAAAGTCAATACCCTCATCCTCCAGATTGGCCTTGAGCACGTCAAAGTAGGCGTCGAGAAACTTCTTGTCGGTGCAATCAAAGCGAATCGGTTCTTCCTTTGATGCGTCGTGACCCAGGGCCTTGGCCACAAGCTTGTACTGGTCCTCAAAGGCGCGGATGCCATCTGCCGGATGATCATTGACAGTAACCTTGAGGCCCATATCATGGAGATTACTGAGGAAGTTCTCTGGCAACGGGAACAAGTCGGGATTCCAGCTGTAACCTGTCCATCCGGAACCGTACTTGGAAGGGATGTTGACCTTGTGCCAGTCCATGTCGATGACGGCAACATTGAGCGGGATTTTCTCGGTTGCGAACCTCTTCATGAGCGCCAGGTATTCCTTGTCCGAGTAGGCATGGTATCTGGACCACCAGTTTCCGAGAGCCCATCGAGGAAGCAACGGCTGACCGCCCGACAGACGGTAGAAGTCCTTGATGGCAGCTTTGTGATCGCCGTGGTAGGCAAAGAGATAGCCATCCTTGCGGCCCGGTTTCCTGGTGGCGATCCAACCGTCTTCGAACAGCATGGAGGCGCTGTCATCGAGCACGGCGTATGCTTTGCGCGACAAAATACCCGGTTCGAGAGGAATGCGCCCGTCGGCCCGGTCCAGAGTTCTGGCTGTGCCGCCCAGATCGCCGTAGCTCTTGCCGTCGTAGCGCCACACATCATTGCCAGCCTTGGCCGTCAGACCGTCAGACGAGAACTCGTTCTTGTCGTAAGTCAGGTGGAAGTATTGTGTGAAGATCTCCAGTTTGTCTTTCTCGTCGTTGACCTTGAACTCGGGGGTAGGGAACGACCTGAAGAATGCCGTTGTGGAAGCACGGTCTTCGAAGCCGCCATCTTCAGACCACTCGAATCGAACAAGCTTATCGGTGAGAACGCTGAAACGGTAATGGCCTCTGTGCCCTTGACCTTTGACAACCGATTTCGAATTCGCGACAGGATCGGCCGTGAAAGAATATCGACTGGGGACTTCGCCTTGAGGCTTATCGGTCTTGTTTGCGAAGGAATATCGGCTGGGAAGGTCTTTGGGAGGCTCGGCGGTGGCATTGCTGGGGAGAGGCTCGGGTGTCTGTTGGGCGATCTGGTCTTGGGCGACATGGCACCGAGGGTTAGGTTGAGGATGCAGGCGCTCGCCGATGAGCCTGCTTGTCATGGTACGAAGGTGGCGAAGTTCGTCGTAAAGATCCTCATTGGTAATACGGTTTCTGATATGTTGTTGATTTCGAGTAATGCTAGCTACTGCTAGACGTCGTGCCTCGGCAAGTTCATCCTGGAAGTCTCTGAAAGGTCTGGGGGGGCTGTTCCGGGGCGGAGGGAGCGGTAGCGGATCTGGCTGAACAATTCCCGCTCGGGAGGATCCGGCGAGGGACTCTAGTATGCCGGCCTTTGTGCGTTCGAGGCGGGCTTGCGAGCGTTCGAGGAGTTCTCCGAGTTCTTCCATTGTCCTCCGTGCCTCCCCGAATTGGGTCGACAATGACATGGGGGCTTGTACCGGGGCTTTGGTTGTGGAATCTGACTGGCGTTTTGTCTCGGATGACGCCCATGCAAAGGAGTGACCATTGTGGGAGAAAGCGTTCGTACTGGTCATTTGGTGCTCTGGCTGCCGTGTTGTCACGGATGATGCCCACGCATACGAATGGCCATTGTGCGAGAAGCTGTGCTCGGGGGTGGGTTGAATGCTTGGAGATGGCTGGGAACTGGTCGCACGGTCTTGCTGACGTTTTGTGACGGGCGGCGCCCAAGCAAATGTGTGACCATTGTGAGAGACGAAGGTGTTTGCGCCTGGTTTTGGCTCGTTTGTTTGTTGCGGTTGTTGATTGGGAGCTGGAGTGGTAACAACGGTTTCGGTGGCTGGGCGAGGACGGGGGACCTCGGCGGCGATGGCTTTCTCGGGAGCCTTAGTTGTGCTTTGTGTGGTCTCTTTTGTGGGATCATGTAGAATTGCCGCTACCACAAGTCGGCTGGGGATTCGTGCCGGGGGAGGTTTTGTAACTGGAGGCGCCCAGGCAAAGAAGCTGCCGTTGTGCCAGAAGCCATCCTCGGCGGCGGGTTTCTGCTTCTGGTCGTCGGCGGACATGGCGATTGGAATTAGGCGGGTACGATATGCGATAACACGGAGCGTATTACTAGGTATAGGGCACCCAGATAAGCGGGATCAAAGGGAGAAGCAATGAGGTTTGGTATTGAAACTTGAGGTCTGATGATGCTGATGATGATGCGAACTGGAGGAGAGAAGGAGGGACAGATGGTCAGAGGGAACAACACCTCATGGACTCATGGCCCTCACCGTCCACGTATTCCTGGCGTTACACGTGTTGGGGTTATCTTTGGGGATGGCGATCATGTGTCTCTTATCCCGCCATTTGATAGGACCACCGATAAGGAGGGTGTTTACACGTAGAGCCGAGCGCAGACAACAGTGGCCGACAGCTGCTGGCAGGCGCTGTCTTACCCCAATTACCCCAATTTCAGGGCTCTAGAACAGTGCGGAGAAACCCCGCTCCCCCCTCACCGCTTATCAACGGCAGCTCTTATCGACCCGAGTCTTTCCCGTCTCTTCATGACATCGACTTCAATTTCGATATCGATCGGCATCAGTTCTAAATACCGGCTGTCCACGGTAGCTTCGGCCTCTAAACCACCGAGAGTTGTGAAATTGGATCCGATAAGGGCCTCCGAAACCTCCGACATTTATCCCTAACTCCGGCCCCGGGTCCGTTCTCCGACCTCCGTATGCTCCTGTTCCCCTTGCACCGACAGTTCCCGAACCACGGCCAGGCGTGAGATTCAACAGGAGTCACATGGGCTGCACCGATTGTTTTCTCTCGAAATGTTTTCCCCGATGCTTCCTCGTGTGCCATCGAACACGAAGCAACACCAACTTGAGCTTCTCGAGTTAGCATTGTTCTAGAAGCCGAATCGTCAACCGAGATGCTGGTGTTGATATTCAGGAACGATGCCTTCCTTACCTAGGTACAGGGGTGCCACAAATGTGCAGGGTTATAGCTCCACTTGCCATGACACCGCTCCCTCTTTCACCTACTATGTAGTAGGTAGTTTCAGATGTCGGGATTCTTCAGTTTATAAAGTTCATCATCCCGTCGTCCGGACAACCGAGACACTTTGGCAACATTGGATAGGAATGAAAGTGGTCGTCAGGGATTGACTCGTATAAGTCCATAGCCGAAGCGGCACCGATGCTCGGACTGAAACCAACCACTCCAAATATTTCATCATCACGGCCCCACCGCCGTTACGGTGCCGGACTGCCGGTGGGATCGGAATCCAGGATACTCCCTTCTCTCGGCCGGAGAACTTTTTTTTCAGTTTCACTTTGCCACGCCCGATTTTGATGGTCAAATCCATGCCTATTCAGGGTCTGAATTGAATGTTTCCAGAATGGAAAAGTCCAGAAACCAACAATGGAACCTCCCTCCACCTTCGGAACCGAGTTGCCGGGAATAATCATGGATGTGACTGAAAGTTGATGCTCCACTCATATCAAGATCGTGTCATCGATCATTCAAATACAGTCACATACAGTTGAGTTACTCAAACTTGATCCCACGGTTGGCTTGTCACCAAACTTAAAAAGGTTGTCTCACACTGCAAACTCTCACCTGTCGATCACTCAGTCCTAGACCAGTGAAAGTGTCAAAGATGCAGATGCATCAATGGTAGCTCCTTCCCTCTTCAGTATCCATCTTGGTTAACTGCAACTGTACCTTCCCGTCATAGTCACCGCCTTCAATCGGATGCGAATTGCCGGCCGGGATATATATAAAACTGGACCTCCGCTCTCCACCCCACCATAAATCTGGTGACTCTTTCTCAACTTGCAAGGCCGTTCCTTCAGCCGACCGCCACTTAATCTTCCCTTCACGATCATATTTCTAGGTCTCGGTTTCCTGCTCGTGGGCCATCTTCAACATTTCGACACGCACCTTTTCTTCCTTCCAACACCCACTCTTCGCGAGCGTTCAGTTTGAGCGCACTACCGCGTTGCCTTGGCCGATTCCCCGAAAGAGAAAGCGCCATGGCTGAACCCGACTTGAAACAACAAGTCACGGACTCGCGCAGGTCCATGTCGACGACCACTGCGACAGAAACTCCTGACGCTGACCAAGGATCTCGCCATGACCCGGGATATGACGCCCACGAGAAAAAGCAAGAGCAAGCGGGACAGGCTTCACAGCAAGCCGCTGCAATTCCCGCCGAACCCGTGCCCCTCCTGACCGGCGAACCGCAAAGCGAAGCGCCCATCGTCGAGCAGCCTCCCAAGTACTCGATTCACTCAACTTGGGCCAAGCGCCTCATCATCTTCGGCGCTTCCATTTCGGCCTTCTTCTCGCCCCTCACGGCCCAGATCTACCTCCCAGCTCTGCCTACCCTGGCTGACGACTTCAACGTCACCGCAACCAAGGCGAACCTGACGGTAACTACATACATGATCTTCCAAGGCATCACACCCATGTTCCTCGGCGGATTGGCCGATTCAGCAGGCCGTCGACCTGCCTACGTAATCTGCTTCATTATTTACATTGCGGCCGACATCGGTCTGGCGCTGAGCAAGAATTTCACGAGTATCTTGATCCTTCGAATGCTGCAGAGTGCAGGATCGAGCACCACCATTGCTCTTTGTCAGGCCACTGTAGCCGACATCACCACCAGCGCTGAGCGTGGCACCTACATTGGCATCACTTCGCTTCCCCAGGTCTTAGCTCCCAGTCTCGGACCAGTGCTAGGCGGTCTGTTAACCAACTACCTCGGCTGGCGCTGGATCTTCTGGCTACTAACCATCATGGCGAGCGTCAACCTCTTGGTGCTGATCATGTTCTACCCCGAAACGTGCCGCAAGATCGTAGGCGACGGCAGCGGTCGCAAGGATTCGCACTGGGTATACTGGACAGGCTGGCAGCTCATCCGCGACAAGCTAGCCCGTCGCCAACGCCGCATGGAGCGGGAGCGTCGTCAAGTTGAGATCTCCAAGGAAGATCCCTCCAACCACAACAACGGCCTCCATCATACCATGTCGACTGCCTCTGCTCCGCGTCAGAAGATCAAACTCCAACTCACCCCGCCAAACCTCATCGAGTCTCTCACACTTCTCTTCCGCTCCAAAGAGCTGGCTATCCTCCTCTGCTACTCCGCCATCGTCTTCTCCGGCTTCTACGCCATCGGCACCGCCATGCCTAACCAGCTTCATACTCTCTACGGGCTTAACGACGTGCAGATAGGTCTCATGTACCTCCCTTTGGCGGGCGGTTCCATCGTCACAGCCTTTGCTATTGGCAAGGTGATCACTTGGAACTACCATCGCCATGCCAGGCGGCTGGGTATGGTAGTAGACAGAACCCGGCAAACGGATCTGACCGCCTTCCCCATCGAGAGAGCAAGACTAGAGGTGGGACTACCGCTGCTGGCGCTGTCCAGTGCTGTGATAATAGCTTGGGGCTGGGCGATGCAGAGCAAGACGAGTCTGGCGGCGCCTTGTGTCTTGCTGTTCCTCTTTGGAATAGGCATGATCGGTTTCAACAACAGTCTCAGCACGCTGATTGCGGATATCTACCCGGGCAAGGCGGGAGCGGCGACGGCGGCGAATAACTTGACGAGGTGCTTGCTCGGAGCGGCGAGCAGTGCGGTGATTCTGCCGATGATTAACGGGATTGGGAGTGGATGGTCATATACGATCTTCGGGTTGTTGTATATCGGGTTCGCGCCGTTTTTGGTGCTTGTTATGAGGAGGGGGATGAGATGGAGGGCGGAGGAGAAGTGGAAGGAGGAAGCCAAGGAGGAGAAGAGAAGGCAGGAACAGAGAGAGCGTGAGCTTGTAATGAGCGAAGCGGAAGGGCAGTCATAAGTCTCTTCGCCATGACATCGAAGAGGAGTGGGGGAAGGAGAATGTGTTGATGATACCCATTGCTTTCATTGCTTTTAAGCGTAGAGGTAGCATTTCCTGGTGTTCGGTTCGAGGAAAAGACGGGATGTAATCTCCAGGTTCAACATGTAAAACATCATGTACGATTTCTCGTATTAGATTCAACTTTGGTAGCATTTAGCCTCAGACACTTTGTAATTCCGCAAAATAGACAAACATACATGATAGACAAGAACTTCGCTCTCAGTTCAAAAGTCAGAAGAGAGACAAAACTCCACACACACAAAAAGGGGTGAAGTGGAACCAAAACAAACAACCGAGTCATGAGCGAACCACCATGATCCCAGCCTCAAGAAAAAAATGCAAAAAAAAGAGAATTTTCAAGTGCGCCAGCCGCGAATCGAACGCGGGGCCCATCGATGGCAACGATGGATTTTACCACTAAACCACTGGCGCTTGTTGATGTTTTGGGCTCTGCGGTGTAGTACTTATTAACCATTACGAGATCTGGATACCTATTGATGAGAAAACCTTAGAACACTACCAACCAAGCTTGGAGTTGGAACTGATGCGCGGCGTGAGTTTGATTACGAGTCGGACTGGATTGTCAGAGCCAAAATGGAAAAAGCAGATTAAAAGGAAAAAGAAATCAGATATTGTGTTTCATAGAAGAACCTGTCACAAATTGTGCTGCTCTGTTGGAAGGAAATTGCATCATCATATCGTTACGGCCGGTTTGGTGCATAACGTGCTCCTCCCGATTTTTGTGTAGGACATTGCGGGCCGTTTGACTTGGGCGTACATGTACTACGATGGTTCATCTGGAAACCGGGCAGGATGAACTGAGGTGCCCGCATTAAGGTAAAAACGACCCGGAATTCCCACACCACAGTATCTTCATCCATCATTACATGTTGATCAAAAGTGCGAGAAGCTCAGCAATCTCAGAGCTGAGCGTCCCGATCGCCATCGTCAGATATTCTCGGTGACGGCATTTACCAAACCCCACACGGCCGGAAGGCGATCCTTGCCCAAGAACGGCCCACCATCACTCGGCTCCCGTTCCCGGAAACCAGTGGGGGTGACACGGGCAGCTCCGCATTGCGTCCCCGCTTTTGACGACAGATAACTAAAACAACCCGCGCCATTCCGAATCGAGGAGGTGTCAACCACGTCTCGGCAATCCCGGTCTCCGCGTCAACACCCACCATTACCAATCGCCTTTTATATGCTGCGTCATCCCCAACACTGATGTCTGTTTGACCACCTCGAGTTCCAACCGTCTTTCGATCACGAAGGAAATCATCATCAGCAACCATGGAGAAGGGAATCTCTCTCCCGGTGGCCTACACGCCCACGCCGGCCCCGGCATCCAACAACCGATGCAAGTCCCTCAAGACCGTCGCCAAAGCCCTCGCTCTCGGTCTTCCCCTCTACGCCCTCTACGCCTGGCACACCAACCAAGCCGTCCTCCCCTCGGCCCTCTCCCGCTCGTCGTCCGCAAACGTCAACTTCGCCTCCCAATGCGTGCAACCCTCCCCGCTCAAGCCCAGCCAAAATGACAAGCTCGACCAAGCCTACGACTTCCTCTCCACCGAGGCATTCCTCAACACCTCGGTCGCCCGCCTCTCCGGCGCCGTGCGCGTCAAATCCGAGTCCTTTGACGACCTCGGCGCCATCGGCGAAGACCCGCGCTGGGACGTCTTCTACGACTTCGCCGCCTATCTCGAGAAGACTTTCCCGCTGATCCACTCCAAGCTGCAAGTCGACAAGGTCAACACCCACGGCCTGCTCTACACCTGGCAAGGATCCAACAAGGACCTCAAGCCCACCTTGCTCATGGCCCACCAGGACACCGTCCCCGTGCCGCCCGAGACGATCCCCGCGTGGACGCACCCGCCTTGGTCCGGCGAGTACGACGGCAAGTACATCTGGGGCCGCGGGGCGGGCGATTGCAAGAACCAACTGATCGCCATCATGGAGACGGTCGAGCTCTTGCTTGAATCCGGCTGGGAGCCCAAGCGGACGATTTTACTCTCCTTCGGTTTCGACGAGGAGTGTTCGGGCCGGCAAGGCGCCGCGTCCCTCTCAAAGTTCATCGAGGAGCGTTACGGCAAGGATTCGTTGGCGGTGATCGTCGACGAGGGCTCCACGTTTGAAAAGACCTGGGGCACGCTCTTCGCCAAACCCGGCACGGCCGAAAAGGGATACTCAGACATTTACATCACCGTCCGCATGCCCGGCGGCCACTCGTCCATCCCGTCGGACCACACCAGCATTGGTGTTTTGAGCGAGCTGATCACGCGCATCGAAGCGGAGCAGTACCGCACCCATCTGGAAGAGGAAAACCCGTATTTCACCCAGTTGCAATGCGGCGCTGCGCATTCGCCTCAGTTTTCGCACAAGCTGAAGAAGTTGCTCCGAGCCCACCACCGCCACTCTTCTTCTCCTTCTTCTTCTTCGGGCCGCCAGCAGCAACACTCGGAAACCTGCAAGGCCAAAGTCAAACCCGATTACCTCGCCCTCGAAGCCGCTGCTCAGGGCGGCCCAGCAATCAAATACCTCATGCAAACCTCTCAAGCCGTGGACGTCATCGCAGGCGGCGTCAAAGTCAACGCCCTCCCGGAGCGTGTTCAGGTGACGGTTAATCACCGCATCAACATTGGCGAAACTCCGCAGGTAGTCTACGACCGATTGACGAAACTCGCCGCGCACGTCGCGAAGAAGCACAACCTTTCCCTCCACGCTTTTGAGTCCCCCTCCTCCTCCACAGAAATCGAACCAGCCAACTCCATCATCCTAACCAAATCCGATCACGAACTCTTGGTAGCACCCGTCACCCCCTCCCAAGTAAACCCCCACGGCCCGGCGACCCCTTTTTCGGTATTAGCAGGCACCACCCGCGCGCTTTACGGGGAGGAAGTCATTGTGACTCCCGGAATTATGACGGGCAACACGGACACGCGATACTACTGGGACCTCACGAAACATATCTTTCGGTGGGGACCGGGGTATGATCCGGCGGATGATGATTCGGGACTGGGGAGTATACATACGGTTAATGAGCGGGTGAGTGTCAGGGGACATGTTAATGGGGTTAAGTGGTTTTGGATGTTTTTGAGGAATATGGATGAGGTTGATGTCGAGTAAGGTATAGATTGGTGGGAGTGGGTGGTTTGGAGGTCGAGAGTTGGGAAGGGATATGGTTTCGATAGAGCTTAACTTACCGCACCACCCCTTTTGTCTTGCCGCACCATATTTTGACTTGCCGCACCATATTTGCCCTACATAATAGCCAATGATAGCTAATATATAAAACCCTACGTTTTATATAGTAAAACCAGCCCGTAAAATATTTTAAACATTTAGTCATATTAACGAAAAAACTTGGCGATTTTTATATACGATATTTCTAGGTAGCATAAGGTCCGAGGTCACGACTGCCCCTTCCGTTTTTTCTTCTTTTTTTGTTCTTTTCCTGCTCACCTGTTTTCCTACCTCTAGGTTCCTTCCCTTCATGTCCTTTGTGAGACCACACATCTCAATCTGCCAGATGCTTCGCAGATGAAAGTTCCATGCAAAGCCCTCCAAGTCGCTCGCAAGTACCTTACGCAACCGACCTTCAGCTTGACAACAATTTTTGGCCCTACAAAGCCCATTCGACCTCTTCCACATACTTTTTCTTGCGTCCTCGTTTGTTCCTTTTTCGGCGCCTTCTTGAAAGAGTCATCGTGGTTGAGGGCCTTGATGGTGAGATCGGAGTGCTCTTCGCCGTTGTCTGCGCTATTCGGCCAACCTCTTCTTGCATTGTCATGCTGAGCATTGTTTCCACTATCCTCAAAGCCATTGTTCTGAGCTGGGTAATCCATGTCATCTGGCCAACCACTGCTCGTGTTGTCACCAGAGCTGTTTTTGGAACTCTGGCTCCAATCACTGAACCCGTCCATACCCTCCGGCCAACCAGTGCTGGAGCTGTCGCTTGGAGTGGACTTGCTTAATGACGACTGTTCTAAGTTTAAGTTCGCCATCTTGTCGGCAAGAACTTTGGGCGTGGAGTTGGACGAAGGAGCGGTTTCGGCCTGGGTCGGCTTCCAGGATGTGGTCTGTTTGGGTTGTCTGTATCCTTGGTAGTTCCGGTTGTTTCCACCTTTCTGGTTTCCTTTCCACTTTCCTTTGCCCTTGACCTTGGGTTCGGGAATCGGCGCCTTTGCGAGGTTGGACCGGTAGATGTTAGGGCTGACCCAGTCGAAAGAAATTGGGGCCAGGTCGACCTTCTGATCGAACCAAGCCGTCCATTCACCCTCGGTCATTACCATGAAGCGTAGAAAGGCAATCAGCTGGGCGACTGTATCATTGCACCCGTTGTGCAATGGCAGCCCCTCTCCTAAAGCGCCCAAGGAACTAAAGGCCTTTTCGCCCTTGGTCTTAGCATTGCGAGAGTTTGGATTCTCGTGAAACCGAGCACGGAAGGGATACCATAACTGGTAATCCCAGAGCTCGATGTTCAAGCCCAAAGAAGCAGGGTTTAGTCCGCCGTGGTAGAATGTGGACTCCTCGCAGTGCGAAGCCCAAGTGATGATCTTGATGGCTCGGGTCGCGCCAGCGGCTTTCTCGTCATCAGTGAGGTTTTGTGTGGAAACGTCCTGGATGAGGGTTCGGAGACGTTGGATGGTGTCTTCTTTGCTGAGGAAGGTGGACTCAACAAATCGACAGTGGTAGGGCCTCGCATGGTGAGCAAGACCGGGGTTCTTGTCGGCGCGGCGGTGATAGGGCGCATCACATGTCTCCTCCGTCTTATTCCGGAATTCTTCGGTGATGATGTGCTCGGATATGATGAATTTAGCAAGGCTTTCGAGGCGGCGATTGCTGTTGTCGCCGGCCTTGGGGCGATCGTTGGACGATGGTCGCTTTTTCGTGTCGTATATGGCGACTCCCAGCTCTGACATCTTCTCATAGTGTGTGATGCCGGCTCCGACAAGGTGGTCGACATTCTCGAAGTCGACGGAAAGGATGACTGGGTCCTCCCGTCCCAACACCTGGCGGAACTTACGAAGGGTCTCGTAGTCCCAGACCAGGGTTGGCTCTGTCGCGGTGATGTATTCCATGTTGTCTGATGCGGAATTGTTAGCACGAATGACCATGCGCGGTAACATCATCGCTCTTACCTGATTGTTTTCTGTGAAGTGATTAGGAGAGGGAAGGAGATGCAGTTTGCACGTGCTGTGAGGCGAGCTGGAAAAATAAAAAGTTCCAGTTTGTGGGTGTGGTGTTGAGGAGAAAAGAAGAAATTCCAGCTCCGGTGTGGGAGCTGGGAATTAAATAGGTTGTGGGAAAAATTGTAACCTTCAAGCCCCGCCAGGAACTGTGAATGGTATCATCACGAAGAGTAGGTAGCCGGTGAATGTCGGTGTGAAGGTTTGGAGGTGAGGGACAAGATCAAAACTTCAGGTTCTCCAGGGCCGCTAACCAAAGAATCCACAACATCAGGTTGTATCCAAGGCTTGGTGATAGCTCAAGGGTCCGTTGAGTGAAGCGCATTGCTGGCTGGTCTTCGGTTCACTTCGATCGTCATCCACACTCTATATAAGTGAGTTTTTGACTCTGATGATGTCTGTCTTAACCCAGTTGTTACGTTCCCTTGGTACAGTTTGATTCTCGGATCGAAAGACGCGACCCCAAGCCCTGATGACTTCGACTTGTGATAGTGCTCTTTCCAGGCGTCAGTATGCCCAATGTTTTCCCCATTTCCCTCCGGACTCGCGAATACAATGTACACCCAACCATAAGCGTCTGTAGCAGTGGAAGTGTTGTCTGCACATAAGGACGAGTTGTCTACATACATAGACCAGCCATCTATCCCAGGGGCCTCGACGTCGGTTTGTCGGTTACCTCTGTCTGTAGAGATATATTTCTATGTTGAGGTAGTGATCAAAGCACGACAAAGCGGCATCAGGAATAGACGTGGGAGCCTCAAATACCCTGTCACAAAGAACATACCCCAAATCACCTCCACTACCTCTATTTTGCATGTAAACCGCGAATGAATGTGTAAGGTACACTAGTGTAAAGAAACCTCGAGTTTGCCACTTGAAATTTGCTTTCCATTCGAAGACTGGACCTGGTTCCCACGATACCGGTTCCCATGCCCCCTTCTTTGGCTTTCTTGGCTGATGTCTCTTCTGGTATCCAGGGCTCCGGCTAGTTAATGTTGTGCTTGTAAATGGTCATGTCCAGCCAGTCGACCGAAATCGGAGTGAGGTCGATCTTGTCATCGAACCATGCAATCCATTCTCCGCTCTTCATGACCGTGAGACGCAGGAAGGCCAACAGTTGTGCAACTGTATCATTCGTTGCATTGTGAAGAACTGTAGAGGACTTTCCTTCATCGCCTGTCGTTCCCAGCACCCCCAAGCTAGCAAAAGCTTCTTCTCCCTTCCCTTTGCTTGACCATTGTTCTTGCCGTTGTTGAAAGGGATGCGGAACGGTGACCACGCCTGGAGGTCCCAAGCTTGGATGTTATTGCCGATCTCGTGCGAATTGATGCCAGCCTGGCAAAGCATCTTAGGTATCCTCGAGGCCGGTATTCCAGAAAAGAAGTTGAAGTTTGACCTGCCTCTTGCTCACCACTTTCGCTTTCTGTTGTATCGTAGTGAGGTTCTGTGTATTACTGCATATTGGTGTATTCTCATCATGCTATATAGATCACCCACATACACTCCCGGGGTCTTCTTTACCTAGAGGTACCATAGCGGGAAAATAGGGAAAGTGTGAAGCCTTTGCGGGGGGGTTGAAGCCTTGACAGCTCGACTAGGTAGTCTATGTGTTGATTGCACGAGACCGCAAACATTGAAGCGTCATGTATGGCTCAAGACATGGCAATTATTTCAAGCCGCTCCAAAATTTCAGACACTGCACATGAGAGGATACGTAATGGGAGAATATTAAGCAAAGTCTAACGGCTGCCTAGAGGTACATAGATAGCCCGGAACTTTACGTCCGATACTAAAGAGTGTTGTGGGATGCCCAATATCTTTGCCGTTCCTCCACTTCCCTGCAGCAGACCGAAAGGAGTCCTGAAAGTACAGGCTTCCTATAAGCTTTCTAGAACCATTCCAACGGATACTTTATCCCCAATCTCGATTTTCATTAAAACCCCGTTTCCTCTTTCGAGTGATCTGGCTCTATCGGTGCTAAAGGTCGTACCCAGAGATGCTAAAGCCACACACCCCGGCCTGTCGCTTTGATGCTGGTAACGCTCTACCGCCAGTTTGAGCGGTTGCCTCTTCCCCGCGGAGCAGAACGTCCCCTATAACCATTGGCCTTGAAAGAGACTCCTGCGTTTCTAGACCGCTCGTTGTAAGCGTCCCACCAGTCATTGTGGTTGAGAACCCTGTCACGATCAGTGTTCTCTTTGGAGGTCTCGGTCTTGGAGCTCTCGTAGCCAGTGCTCGAGTGTGCCCTCCAACCATTGCCAACATGATCGTGAGATCCATTGCTTGTACCCTTGGGCCAACCGCTCAATGGGCTTTCATCACCATACTCGCTTGAACCCTTGGGCCACCCGCTGAATGGGCTTTCATCGCCATAGTCGCTTGAACCCTTGGGCCAGCCGCTGAATGGACCCTCTGCCTCATCGCCATACTCGCTTGGAGTCTTGGGACCGCTGCTGGATGAACTGTCACACCCATCATTGTTAGGAGTCTTGGGCCAGCCGCTGAATTGACCCTCACTCGGATTGCTTCCCGAACCGTTTCCGAAACTATTACCCCAGCCGTTGGTCGATGCGATGTTGTCCGAGTCGGGCTTTTCCAAAGTGGACGGTCCTCCTGTGCTGTTCGGTGTCTCCTTGATCACAAGTCGAACTCTGGTCGCTGGGCTCGTCGATATCTTCGTAGCGGCTGCCGTGGTCGTCGTCTTGTTGCTTGGCTGAGACGCTGTGTTCCTTCTGGGCTGTCTGGTGTTGTACATGTAGCTCTTTCCACCCCGAGGCTTTCCGCGGCCCTTGTCCGTCGGCTTGGGCATGGGGTTTTGGGCGATGTTGTGCTGGTAAACAGTCTGATCGACCCAGTCGAACGACATCGGGGTTAAGTCAACCTTCTGGTCAAGCCAAGAACTCCACTCAGCTTCTGTCATCACCATGAACCGAAGGAACGCGAGAACTTCCGCAACCGTGTCCTTAGTTGCGTTATGAAGGACGGTCGATGGCTGTCCCTCAGAATCCAGCGCTCCCACAACGCCCAAAGATGCAAAAGCGGTCTCGCCTGCTGTGCGGTAATGGGGGAAGCGAAGGCGGAAGGGCATCCATATCTGGAAGTCCCACATTTTGACGTCCGAGCCGAGTTCGTCCAGGTGAACCCCAGCCTGGCTAAAAACCTTCTCTTCCCTCTCCGCACACCAAACGATGATTCTCACTTGTCGCTCGGCACCCGTTTCCTTCTCGTCAGCGGTGAGGTTGCTGACCGTAGCCTGCCTTATGGCATCCTTCAACCTTTCCATCCCCTGCTCCTTGCTGAGGCCGATAGTCGACCTCGCAAACATACAGTGATAAGGCCGCGCTTTGTGCGGCGCAGGGGCCTTATTGGGCTTCTTGGTGTTCTTGCGGTGGAAAAAAGCAGGGCAAGTTCTCTCTGTGATGCCCTTCCACTCCTCAACAATGATATGTTGGGCGGCGATATCCTTCGCAATGTTACCTGTATCGAGACTGGTGCTTTGTCGAGGATCATAGGTGGCGATGCCGATTTCCGACATTTTGCCGTAAAAGTCTTTTCCGAACTGCTGGTTCAAGTGGTCGACGCATTCGAAGTCGACCGCAATAATCACTGCGTCCTTCGTCTGAACACGGAAGTCTTTGAGTTCTTCGAATGAGTAAACAGCGGGGGGAGCTGATGCGCCGATCCCTCCTGGAATAACGAGACCATCGTCCAGGTCGCAGGCGTCTGAGTCCCAAGTGGAATCCATGATGAAGAGTGTGGCTGCTGATGTTGCTGCTTGCCTTGATCTGGATGCAAAGGATGGTAGAAAAAAAAGTTGTGGGGAGGAAGAACTGGGAATCATCTTATAGGACGGCGGGAGAGAAAATCGCCAACCACGGGGCGCAGTGAATGGGAACGAGCCTTCAAGGTTTTCAGGTCGAGACTACGGGCTGGCAAGGAATCCGGTCAAGGTTAAGGTCCCGTGATGGTTTCAAGGGCATAATATCGGTGAATGTCATTTTCGTACAAGGTTCTGTTCATCCAGCACTGCCTGGCTCCCTTCCCGGCTTTCTTCCCGTACCTTCATCCTTCAACTGGACCTCCGAGGCCGTCCACAGCTCCTATGTGCATTTGAGACAGAGTAACGTGATACCCATTTGTACGACCCTGGTGGGCACGTTCTATGGATGAGAACCATGCCGGGTTGGGCTTGTGAAATTTCTTGACCGTTGTTGATCCCTTGTTGAACCGAATTCTGAACAGCGACCATGCTTGGAGGACGTCGTTGCCAAGCTCGTGCAGGTTGATGCCAGCCTGTCGGAAGATTCTATCCTCAAGGCCTGAATCCCAGAAGAGGATTCTGACCTGTATTTGGTCTCCGTTTTCCTTTTACTTGGCAGTGAGGTTCTGGTTTGTAAGGCTTTGGAGGACGTCCTTCAACCAGTTGATCGACTCATCGTGGCCTAGAATGGTTGACTTTGCGAACTGGCAGTGGTATGGCCGCGCTTTGTGAGGTCTTCCCGGCTTGTTTTTGCGGCCCTTGTGCCAAAAGGTTTTGCAGGTCACTTCTGTCTCGTGCTTTCACTCATCAACCAGGATGTGATGAGCGGTTGTAGATCTTCCCAAGTCCTCGAGGAGTGTATTAGACTTGGGGGTGGTCGACGTGGTTTGGGATGCGGAGGGACTATTTCGCGGGTCGTAAATTGCGATGCCAATCTCTAACATCTTTGCTAGAGGTATATAGCACGCGCAAACCAGAAATTTGACAGGCTTCCATAGGACAGTCCATGTGTTGATAGGAGACGGCCAATTGTGAAGCCGTACGCTCTGGAGTGGTACTGGCAGAGGACAACGAACAAACGAAACAAGGCAAAACTGAAACTGGTAGCATACGTTCCGGTTGCTGTTTGAGAAGCAGAAGTTAAGGCGACGAGATGCATGTGGCGGTTGCCTTCATCGAGCAAATTTGTTTGCATGGAATGAACTGTTCACACTACAAGATGATGGGCAATGAGTGAGGTACCTATATGTTTCAAATGAAAGCTAGAAAGACGGGTAGGTAGAGGTACAAAACGTTCCTTCTCTTCTCTACCTTCCGGGACAGGAAAGTCCGAGCCTGTCGCAAACAACACGCTACCTGTACCGCCTTGTAAAGCACTAGTCCGATGCCCAGACGCCAACAAATGCTCCTTCTACATCCTTCTCAATGTCCCTTCCCTAAGCGTCATCAAGCTAGAGGTGCCTGCAATACATCTCGTGAGCTCTCCATGGATGTAAGACGGTATTCACAATGAAATACATGAATTCTCCATAGTCCTACCCCTTCATATCCTGAGACCTGTTCTCTGCGGACAACCATCACTCGCGGATCCTCCAAGACATTCCAGATTACCAGCCCGGCATACCAGCCGGCCAGCCCGAGACATGCTCGCTCTTCGGCACCGCAGCGGTGGTGGGCCTCCTGTACTTGCCCATGGCCGAAGAAACTTTGCTCTTGTCGTACTTTGCCCAGAACTGGCTAACCTCATCGGTATTCGCCACAGGGGCAGTGTTCTCTTTGCCCTTCGGTGCGATCTCCTTCTGGCTCTCATCAGACTTCTTCGAGGAGGAAGTGTCTTGCGTGGGTTTGCTGGTTGTCTGGGTGTTGACCGAGGGCTTGCTGGTTGTCTGGGTGTTGATCGAGGGCTTGGTGGTTGTCTGAGTGTTGATATGTTGAGTTTGTTGGCGGTGCTGGTAAGCCGACTGATTCTTGAAATGCTTAGAGGATTGACCCTGAGAAGCCCTGGTGTATGCGTTGTCGTGGAGGGTCCTGGGCCGCATGTTAAAGTTGTGCTGATAGATGCTCGCCTTCATCCAGGACATGGGCATCAGAGGAAGATCAGCAAGCTGGTGGAACCAGGAGTTCCATTCGGACTCCTGCATACTCAAAACCTTCAGCAATGAAAGCAACTGGGCCACGCAGTCGTTCGTGGCGTTGTGTAAGTTGAGGCCATCTCCTAGAGCGCCGAGTGACTTGAACGCTTCTTCGCCTTTGGCCTGCCCCTTCTGGAAGCGGATCTGAAAAATCGACCAGAGCTGCATGTCCCAAATCGTGACTTGGGAGCCAGCAGTAGTCAGGTCAATCCCGGCCTGCGAAAAGACCGTCTCCTCCATGTTGGCGGCCCAGTAAAGGATGCAAATGTGCCGGTCCTTGCCACTTTGGACCTCAGACTTGGTGAGATTCTGGCCGGAGAGTTCTTTGATGAGGTTCTTCACACCTTCCAGTGCCTGTTGGGTCGGTTTGATGATTGATTTGGCGAAGGCGCAATGGTAGGGGCGCGCAGCATGCTGTTTCTTCGGATCTTTGGCAAACCTCTTGTGATAACCTGCCGGGCAGGTCTCTTCGGTGACACGGCGAAATTGATGAACGATGGTGTGATGGGCGCGAATGCACGAGCCGAGGACCTCCATGTCGTTGGTGGTCGACGTCGACACCTTCTCACGTGGGTCGTACGTGGCGATGCCCACTTCTGACAACTTCTCGTAGTTTGTCGGAGCAGGCTTGTCGAACTTCTTCACGAGGTGATCAACACCTTCGAGGTCAATGGTGATCAGAATTGCATCCTCCAATTCCTTCTTAAAGGAAAGGAGGCTTTCGTGGTCCCAGACCATGGGAGGCGCAGGCGTCATGGGAGCCATGATGACGAATACTGAAGACACTTCTAGGGTACCTTATGTGTTAGTACCGACTTGGATGATGCTTGCTGCCTGCGGGATTATCCTTACCTCAACTTTGCGGTGGGTTGCTAGGACACTGGTCTGTCGACGAGGGTCGATTTGATGTGTTACTGTCTTGACAGTTCGGTTTCCTATCTTAACTTTTTGAGTTCCGATTGTAAGAGGAATTGACCTGGAGAAGGAAGAACAGAAGTGCGAGTTAGAGGAGGGGAGCAGGGGATTAAATATGCTGTGGGAGAAATAAAACCCAGGTCACGATCAGGAGAAGTGAATGGGATTTTGGGAAACACAGAACGGGAACAAAGTCCTCGTTGATCAAGTCGAATCAAGGTCAGATATACCTCTAGGAATAAATAACCAAGCGATAAAACTGCCTTTCAACTGCTACTGCCGTTATCTCGTGCTATTCATGAACACCTGCTGCTGCAGAAGCAGCAGTGGCCGAGGCCTCGAGTTGAGGAAAAGGGTCGTATGAAGCAGGCTGGTCTAGTTTGTTCTTGACGCTATTGACCCTCTCGTAGAAGCTCTTCAAGACGCTGAGATCCTGGGCCCTCGTGGTCTTTCCCTTTTCGAAACCCAGAAGGGAGACACAGAATAACAAACTTAGTACCTATCCTCCACGTTCTTGCAAAATGCCAGTTGGCCTTGGTAGTCCCAGGCCGTGGGATTTGCAGGCGTTTTGGCGGCCATCACATAGTTGACTGATGCCTAGGTCTGTTGCGTTAAAACCGCCTTGATCTAGGATGTCTTTCTCTAGGCGGTAGTCCCAGAAGAGAATCTTGATAGAGCGTTGCTTATCGTTTTCAAGCTCTTCCTTAGTTCGGTCTTAGCGTGCCAGCTCCCAGAAAAAAGAGCTCAACCACCACAGTTGAAGGTCGAGCGCGCAAATGCACAGTGGTAAGGCCTGACTGAGTGCTGTTTTCCGGGCTTATCGGCGAACTTTCTGTGGTAAAAGGCCGGGCAGGTCTCTTCAGTGTACTTGGCGCCTTGGATTTCCGGGCTAGTAATTCGTGTTAGTCTATGTTTCCTCTATAATATCCTTAAATTCTGTTGTAATGATATGCTGGGCTTCGATCGTTTCTGCTAAGGTTTGGTAGTTTGTTTTTTCGAGGTTGATACGCCTAAAGTTTATAGTTGCGACTCCAAGCTCTAAAAACGCTTCCAAGGCAATCGCATCTTTTCCTTCATAGTCGATACACTCCACATCAAGTGCGACGACAATACTATCACTAATAGAGCCTTTAACGAACCTCTTAAGATTGTCAAAGGCGTACCTTAGATATCTCTAGACGGGGGGGCGTCCGCCACAAGAAGACGGGGCCAGCCTAACATGGAGGATATGATGGAGGGTGGTAAGGTGGTGATTTGGGTAAAGATGTTCTACTGGAGCAGTCTCGGAATGGATTACATTATATATAAAGGTGTCAAAGGTCCAAGGCCACATGCAAGATAGGCCCAGGGGTTAACGCATAGAACGAGATCGATGGTCAAAAGAGACATATAGAGGCAAGAAATAATGATGGTTTTTAGCTTAACCACTTATCTACTATGGAATCTTTTCGTCATGCCGCCCTTCTACAATCAAGTCTGAAACTCAGAATCGAGATACCACCTTTGCAAAAATTGGAGCCAAGACCTCTTTCCACGTCCCGAGAGCTGCCTCTGGGAAAATACTGTAGAGCCTGCCCGTACCTCGACAGTGGATGTACCGACAACTCTCAAGGGAGTCCGATGTTACACCTCTACCAGTGTGAGTTCAGTTGTCTGGCCACGAGCCGTGTGGCCACGAGCCGTCTGTCCACGAGCTGTCTGGCCACTCTTCTGACGGAGTTGGTGATGGTATTCGTGGTGGAGGTGGCAGTGGCGGTGGCGGTGGCGGTGGCATAGGAGGTAGCGGCTGGCTTTTCGCCCAGTTACTACGCCAGATGGTCGGGTCGATGAAGTCTAGGGAAACCGTGTTGAGCTTTTCCCGGTTGTCATGCCATATCTCCCATTCCTTCCTCGTCATGGTCATGAACCGAAGGAAAGCCAGGATCTCGGCCACGGTATCGTTCGCCGCGTTGTGGAAAATAATGCCTTGAGAACCCTTTTCACCACCCTGTATTCCCAGAGAGGCAAGGCCACCCCACAGTTGACGCGCATGCGCTCATCAGGCCATGGGAAGAACACCCTGACAATTGGGGACCAGGTCTGCAGATCCCACAGCTCGATGTCTGTACCAAGCCCCTTGAGGTCGATGTTGACTTCCTCTGCATCCAATACTTCCATCTCCGTCCGATAGTCCCAGAAGAGGATTTTGATTTTCCTCTGTTTCCCGCTTGCTTTCTCCTCTGGGGTGAGGCTTTGCTTGGTCAGGGTCGTAATAAAGTCAATAAGCCAGGGGAATGACTCGTCCTTGGTTTTGATAGTTGAGTGTGCAAATTGGCAGTGGTAAGGGCGGGCATAATGCCTCGGACGCAGGTTACCCGGCGGATGGATAGTTGGGTTTGTGCACGTTTCTTCGGTGCACCACTGACATTGGTAGTCGATGATATGCTCCGCCTTGATGTGACGGGCTAGGCTGCTTAAATCGTTGTCTTGATATGATGCCAGGCGCGGGTCGAATACAGCCACGCTAATTTCGGATATGGTGCACCACTTTGGTAGAGGGGTCCTACATTATTTGAAATAGTCGACCAACTCAAAATCGAGGGCCGCGATTATAGTGTCATCCAATTCAGCCTAGAATGTTAAGGTCGTTATATATTATAATATGCTTCGGTGAGCTCGTCTAGCGTACGTTGCTAATGATAATCTCTATTGTGAAAAGTTGTAAGGTGCGGGAGTAGTATGGTAAACATGTTCTCGTGGGTTCTTGATAGGATGATGTTCAAAATATATAGAGGTAGGAAGAAATGGAAAAGAGGTAATTACTTAGGAAGAAAAAGAGAGGCGTCTTCTTTGCAAGATGACCGCCCAAGATCTCTTGTTGTTACTAATCAGGCAAATGGCGGAAAGAATTTGCAAAGAGCTACACTCCACGCACGCCCAAAAACTCCCCAGGTACGCCCATTTTTCCAAAGTGCAAGAAGGAAAAGGAACCATACTCGCGCTTTTACCTCACAAAAAGTGCACCGTCTAGTACGCTTCCTCAATTAAGACTTAACGAGTTAGAATAACGTCATACCAGCTTGGAGAATGGACGGAAAAGTGTATATCGAAGACAAAAGCCAATGCAAATAGAAGTACGGAATCTTTTTTTTTGAGTGTCTTAAGGTGGTGTACTTGAAGGGCGTACCTAAGGAGTTTTTGGGCGTGCGTGGAGTGTAGCTCTTTGCAAAGTCAATGTCTGGCAAGGTGGGTTCTTGTATGCGCTTCTGCTGTGAGCTGAAGAGCAACGGCAACAAAAGAAATCGACTTCTTGCTGGATGGATGTCTGTGATGGTCGATGGACACTCGGATGCATTGTAAATGATCATAGTTGAAGATCGGGGCTCAAGGAGGCGGGATCAGGCGAGCCGAAGGGGAGGCACACTCTAGCATATTGAGGGTTACAGGTAGGTACCTCTATATACACCTTTTAAGGCGGTGCTGAGAGACGAATCTGAAAAGAAAGGCATCACGGGTTAAAGTAAATCACAGTCAACATTGAACGTAGTAAACTAAGAATAGAATTTCCAACTATCACCAATATCCCATTCTGAAGTTTTTATGTCCACCTCCACCGCCTCGTCGTCCCAGATAATATCTGTTTCACCCGCCTCTTCAAGCCTCCTGATCCTTTCCATCTGGCGCGCAATGCGGGCGTCTGATTTCGCCCAAGCAAGGTCCTCTTCCGAAAACCGGGATCGAGTGGGCCGCTGGGCATAATTATGCGAAAAGGTTGCCTGCATTTGGTCCCACGAGGCATGTGCTTTGGGTGGCAGGTCTTCCTTCCTGGTATGCCAAGTGTCCCACTCTTGCTCTGTCATCGTGATGAACGAGAGCAGGGTAAGGACCTCCGCAACGTTGTCGTTGGCTGCGTTGTGGAGATAGATGCCTGCAATACCGAGGGAGTGGAAGACCGTCTTGGCCTTCGTGCGATGAGGGCGGCGCAGCTCCCAGGACTCGGGTGGGAAGAATGGACGAATCTGCCGGAAGCGGTGATCGAAGGGCTGCCAGATCTGCAGGTCCCAAAGTTCAATATTTCCCCCCAACTCCGCCAGGTCTAGGCGCGTTTGCTTGAAGAGACGCTCTTCTAGTCGGGAGTCCCAGAAGAGGACCTTGATCTCCCTCTGAGACCCCTCCTTTCGCTCTTGCTCGGTGAGGTCCTTTGTCGTTAATGACCGCATGTAGTGGTAAAGATCCTCCATGGCATCTGCTCGGCATTTGAACACGGACTTTGTGAATTGTCCGTGGTATGGCCTTGCAATGTGGTTGAATTCCCACCTTGGATCCTCGGGCAGGTGATCCGGGTTGGGGCACGTTTCCTCCGTAATGTCCTTGAACTCTGTTGTGATGATGTGCTGGGCTTCGATCGCTTCTACCAAGGTCTGGTAGTCTGCTTTTTCGAAATTAATATGCCTGAAGTCTATAGTTGCGACTCTCAAGCTTTGAAAAAGCCTCTAAGGCAGTTGTATCTTTGCCTTCATGGTCGATATACTCCACGTTAAGTACGACGATGATGCTATCGCTGATGTTGCCCTTGATAAATATTTTGAGGTTGTTGAAGGCGTAGATAGGCGGGGGGCGGTCCGCCTCGAGAAGACGGGGCCAGCCTGACTTGGAGGACATGATGGACGGCGGTAAAGTGGAGGTAGTGAGTTGGGTAAAGATGTTCTAGAGGGGTGTATTAGAATGGATGTAATGAATATGTAAGAAGAGGAGGGAGATAATTACTTTGAAATGAAGTGACGCAAGTGCGTTCGAAGGTTGTCTTCCCGGATTCCTGGCTTTTGCTGGTAAGGAAAAAGGCTCAAAGATCTGGCAGAGTCTGTTCTCGTGAGGGTTGTTCTCGCGGGTGGTTCTCGTAGGGGCTTTTGCTCTGAGTTGAAGAACGAAAGCAAAGGAACAAAAATATTGGGTGGTGGAGGGAGGAGGGTTTAAATAGGGGTGGAGGAGAAGAAAAAAAAATATCGAATTTCGGACGCCGAGTGAAGGGAAGTGGAAGTGGCTACAACAGACCAGAGGTGCACAAACGTTTTTCGTGTCCGTCGTCTTATGTTTTGGTGTTGTTGATGCACCATCCGGGTTCAGATCAGAGTGGCCGTACTCCGGATTGGGAATAGCTTCAGGTTTACAGGCCGTTTTCCAAAAAGTGAACGGAAAAGACTGACCCAAGGCCCCTTCACCTTGCTTGAAATCTGTGTCTGCATGCAAGAAACCTTGCCCTACTCGTTAACAGATCGATTCGTCTGACCGAGAGGACCAAACAGACACAGCCATGCTCGCTCGTCTGGTATGTCCCGTGACTCAGGCTTGAAAGGGCGGGAAGATTGTAGGTATCGGCCCAACCTTTCCACCCACGATAACCCCTCGAGTACCTGTACGTCTGTGAATGGGCTTCCGTTAGTGCCATCCAGTCTTCTACCCATAGGCGATGACCAAAACAAAACGTGCAAAAGGGAGATACTGGTAATCCAAACACAACCTCTATCTTGGCCCACCGGAATCTCCTCCTTTTGCCTCAAACCCCCTTGACCCTAGCGTTGAGACATCTGCGGCCAGAGGCACGGGATTGTGTGATGTCCGACGGAAGCCAGGGCGCCGCGTTCGCACTCGAGTCCGGTGCATTCCCTCGACTATCGTAGCAATCCTATAATTCCGTTTAGCCGCCTCGCTATTGGCGTTCGAAGCCCATTGTTGTATGCGGCGAGCAATTGATCGGTGGTCGTCAAGTTAAGGTTCTGAAAGGAGAAGAATGGCCCCCATCAAGAGGCAGGTCGTAAACAGGAAGATCAAGGCTCAGCTTTATACATATTGAGAGTCACAGTTTCCAGTTTGAATCTTTGCCTGATGGCAGCTTCCCATAGCAATGCTCTTTGTGTAATCCAACAGTAGACGTTCGATTGGCAAGCTCCATCAACAACAAGCCGCCAAGGAACAGGGCAGGAGTGCTCTTGCTCCACACAGTTTGTCTACCGTTTTCTACAGGACAAACTGATGACATCGTAAAGAGGAATACATTGGAAAACAGTTGACCATTGGGAAACTAAATGCAATCCCGTATGGTAACGCACTAATCTCCCTAGCTTGATTGTTCACCCTGAGTCAACGACAGGAAGTCATGTAAAAAAAAAAACATCAACAATATCAACAAGAACATGAACCGAATGGGCAAGATTGCAAGAATCAACATGGGAATCAGAAGTAATAAATAGCATTCCACCTAGACCGAATACCAACCAACGCGAAAAGCTGATGATGTTATCAATATGTTGTGCCGTCCACCCCAACTACCTTACCAATCCCTGACTCACCCCCTGATTCCTTCCACTTCATGTTTGGTGTCTTCCAGATGCAATCACCCTCTAGCCAGTAGCCGCTTTCCCCCTTTGTCCCCATGTAAACCGTCACCCACCATGCTACCATCACACCCCCACTTTCACCCGTCGCCCTTGCCTCACGCGTGAACCCTGATTGCTTCCACTCACTCCTCCTTACGCGTCACCTTTTAGCGGTAGAGGTAGTGACTGTGACCACATACCTCTACAAGCGAAACCTTTCGATTCCCCACTCGGGTAGAGGGAGCGGCGTTTTTGACTTTGGCACTGCTGATTCCCGCGGCCCGGCTTGAACTCCGGCCCTGTTTGTGCAAGAGATCATGCCAACGCCTGCTTCCCTTTGGGCTTTGATTGATGTATCCCAGTTCCCGCAGGCTTGTTGTTTGAGACTTTGCTCATTGGCTCCTTTTTGATGATTTTGCGCTTGCTGATGCTAACCGCAAACTTTTGCGTCGTCGTGACTCAGTCAGGTCTGCGGGTATGTTGATTACCTGCAGAACGAAGCTGAGCCCAGTGGATGGCGGCAGATGATCCCTCAGGGGCGGGCTTGCTGTTGGTTGGCGGTTTGGCAGTGCCTGCATGTGGCGCGGTATCAGAATTGAGAGAAGCGTTGACGAGCTGCCTGTTGGGCTTGCTAGATCCGATGGGTCTGGTGGCATGCTTGTTGCCTCTGTGGTCGGATTTGCCGCGCTTGGTGTCTAGAGGAGGGGACCTGGTGCTTTGCCAGGAGACCGTCTTCTTAGTTTGGCGCCTGCTGTGAGCGACGAGAGTCCAGCCACTTTCCTCAATCTTTGTGGTGGATGGGGTAGAAGTAGATGCTGCAGCGGGGCTGATGAGTACATGCTTGCTCATCTTGGCCGGCAGTCCAGCGACGTGGTCCTCAACAGGTTCCGGCAGAGTCCAAGCGGACGACCAAGGTGTAGTTGACTTCCAACCCCAGGAATCCCAGGAGGAGGAATTCGACGTCGTTGAAGGCCAACTAGATGTCGGTGACCATAGCGTAGTTGGAATAGAGACCTTCTCTACCGGCTTTCGCAGAGCATCAGCCCAGCTGCTTGACTCCGGCTCGCTACCGATAGTGGTGGAAGTGACACCAGCCTTGATCTCGGCCATTGCGCTATGGTGGACAATGACGGGCTCAGGATCCTCAGGATCCTCAACTTCCTCAGGCTTCTCTCCTGGTTGAAGCATCGGGCGAAGCTCCTGGTTCGACTTCCAGATTTGGTCATTGATCCATGACAAGTCAATCGGATCCAGGACCCCAGGGTACAAGTCCGAGCGACCACGCCACTCCTTCCACTCATCCTCGGTCATTGATGAGCATGAACCTCAAGAACGCGACAAGCTGAGTGAAGGTGTCATTGGCAGCGTTACTCGTCAGGTCTTCAAAACCGACCGTCTAACTAGCGGGCGGGCCACTAGTCAGGGCCAGCGACTCGTACACGACCAGCGACTCGTACACGACCAGCGACTCGTACCTAAAATTGGGGGTACCTCCCTACACCGCCATTTTGCTAGTAAATTAATATAGATCTATTTAATAATTTTCTTTTTATTACATATAACCTAATTCCCCGTACTGCCTAACATTTTAAATATATACCAGCCATTTGTACTCAACTGCTTACTTCTTAAATTATTTGCTTAATAATATTAATAAGTATACTTATATTTACGTATAATTAGTCTTAATTATATTTAACCCCCTTTATTCAATTCCTTTATTTCCCTACTATATTACTTCCTTCTATTTCTCTATTAGACTATCTTTTTATCACTATATCTCCTATTTACTACGCTATACTTTATTTACTTCATAAATCTACTAACGGCTCCTTACGCCCTAATCTAACGCTTATTAACTTAATTTTTAATATTAAAAATATCGTTAGTAATGTTTAGGAGACGCTCCAAATAGAAAGGAGCGTCCAAACCGCCGTAAAAATATTTCAAAATAAATGATTCAAAACTATAATAAATATAGCGAAGGCATTTCGAATTTTATATAAATAAATTATTAACCACTATAAGGGAGCAAGTTCTGTAGTAGGGAATAGCAGCTTTAATAAACTGTTAATTAGAAAGGAGGATTTTATTATATATATTTAGATTAATATGCAAATATTTATTAGTTAATATTACTTATTATTTTTATTAATATTTACCCTATTAACCGTCCTTTACAGGTATCGAAATAACCCTTTAGCGGTTAGTATTAGCGGTAATTACTTCAATAAAATTAAATTGTGATAATAGTAACGATAATTCTATTATTATCCCTCGTATTAATAGTAGATAGGTATATCGATATATAAAGAAGGAAAGTTTCTATAGCGTTCGAACTAAATCGATAGCGTAAGTACGTAAGGCTTTATAGACTAGGATAAATATAGAAGAAGTCTTTATTCTTTCTATAATACTATTACGAAGTATAAAGTTAAGTTAAATAATATATAGAATAAGGATAAATTTAATTTTAAAGTTAGCGTATCAAATAAAGCCTATTATATATAGACTTATAGTAAAATAATTAAAATATAATTTATTAACCCTAATTAAAGAATTTTTATTATTATCTTTAAAGCTATTTCTATATTTAGTCGGACTATACCTCCCTTCGTAAATACTTCCTAACGTTAATATTATATACAAGTATATTAATAATTCCTTCGATAACGGGACAATTATTACCACTTCCCTACAAAGTTATATAAATAACTAGTATACATTAAATTAATTCAAACACCAAGAGGAGCACTCATAACCTATTAATAAAGAGGAAAGGAGGGTATTAATATTAAATAATTATAGTAATTACTATACTATTAAATTTTACGAATAATATAGAAAGAACTATATTACACTATTCCTTTTACCCCCTCATTCTACCCACTTCCTTCAACCTTTTAATATCAGTATATTCTAAATCTATAAAAACTTTTATTAAATTAATATTTGGAAGAGGATAGTATTCTATAACGTGGATTTTAATAAATTAGACTTTCTTAATAGCGTTAAGCAACTCCGATAAAAGGTATTTAAAAGGAATAATATTTATTCTATTTAAAAACGAACTGGTTTAAATCCTTTCAACCCTAATCTAATTCTCTTAAACCTTCGTAATCCGTTAACCTTATTAATAAATAAAAAATATATTAAATAGAGGAGAGGATGCATTACTCATCTTACTAAGCAAGGAATTATTAATTTTAATATAGAAGAAGAAAAGATACCCCTTCGCATACCAGAGCTCGTACTATAATTATACTAAATAATCCTTCTTTACTTATATTAGCTAACCCCCCTATAATAAGAGAACTCCCTACTTTAATAGAGCTATTTATACTAAAGACAAAGGACTATACTATTTAAGATTAGAATAGTACAATTATATTAATATTTAACTTCCCGTTTATTAAAAAGTATAATAAATATATTAAATAATAGCTATCGTTTATAATTAAAAGTAATTGCGCTATCTTACTTACAGTCTTATATATACTAGCCAAGCGAGATAAAGCTAGCAATACCCTCAATCTAATAGCCGTAAAGGAGGTTGAATTTAAATATAAGCGTAAAGAAGAAATAATTAAGGTAATATTACGTAATATATATAATACTAACTATTTATTAAAGCATAGCAATATAATTATTATTAGTAATAACCGTTTACGCGTTGCAACAAATGAATACCAGCGTATTACCTTTATTAAGAAAGAAGACGAACGTATTTATAATTACGAATTTTAATAAGAGTAAAATATATTAAGGGGATAGATTAGTAGCTTTATTACTATACAAAAGGTACAGTTAGTTAGCGAACGGTTACGGTTATATATATTTAAAATATTAAGAAAGGAAATTTGATAGTATATTAAATTACATATTATACGTTTTTTTAACTTCGATTAGCTAATTAATAAATATTATAAAGAGAGGGCTAACCATTAGAATTACTATTAAATAGAAAAATAGAAGGCTATAAATAAGGAGGTTAAGCAATTGAAGTTTAACCGTACCCGTACTATATAAGACGTTACCCTACCCTTATACTAGTAACTTCCTAGTAATCCTCCTAAGCTACGTACTCTATAAGTAATTAACGAAGTAAGAAAGAAGGTTATAAATAATATTATTACCGCTAAATTAACTAGTAAAGGTAATATCCCCTTTATAAAGGAGGAACTAGGGGAAGTTAAAATTATTAAAGATAATGAGCTAGTAAATATATAGAAAGACCCGGAATAGTAGTATCCTAATAATAAACGATAGGTATAAATAAATTGAGAGGATAAAGAGTATAAGGAGTATAAGGACGAGGATATCGAGGATGATAACGTCGATAAAGCTATTTACAACGACGATAACGACGACGAAGAGGAGGGATATAGGGATTGTAACTATAAAGAGGTTGAACCCCTACAATAATAAGGGATATATAATTTTTGATATATTTAATTTCCAATATAAATAATCTATATTATTAGATTCATGCATGTGCAAAATAATGATAATTTTATGGGTTGATACATATGCTGGTCGTGTTAGCGATATTGTATGCGATTATAAAATATGGATATATTATTAAAAAAAACTATTGGCTCCGGATGAGCGACTTTTATTTGCTAGTTAAATGGCGGGTGGGGGATGTACCCCGCTCGGTACGAGTCGCTGGTCGTGTACGAATCGCTAGCCCTGACTAGTGGCCCGCCCGCTAGTCAGACGGTCGGTTTTGAAGACCTGACGAATATGGAGCACTGCCATGCCCCCGGCCCCCGTTCCGAGGGCCCCAAGACTGTCAAAGGCCTTTTCGGCACCCGTCCGAGCCTTTTCGTTTCTCGACCGGAAGGGCTTGAACTGTTGAAAGCCCCATGCTATGGCCCCGTACCAGCCGACATCGAAATCTATGTCGTGGAACCGGGTAGATTCCATGCGAGCGTCCCAGTAGATGATCTGCACCATACGACGCTTGCCTGTCTCGATTTCTTCTGCGGTGAGATTTCTAATGGACAGATCGCGCAGAAGGCGATCAAGGTCAGATAATGCCCCCTCATGGGTTCGGAAGCAGGACTCGGTGACCATGCAGTGATAAGGCTTTGCCGTATGCGCCTTGTCGTGGGTCTTGTGGTGCGGGGCGTCGCACGTCTCTTCGGTCCATTGGCGCCAGCGATTGATAATCGCGTGGTATGTAATGATGTACTTGACGATCGACGACAGCCTCTCCGTGGAGGTGTTAAGAGGCGATTGCTTTGGACTACATGTAGTCGCCGAGGGAGACCCGGAGTCGAGACGAACGTCCCGAGGGTCGAAAAATGAAGCACCGACCTCGGACACCTTCTCCCAAATCTCCAGCCCGTTTGCATGGATACCATTCCGGTGGTCGATTCCTTCCAGATCGATGGCTACGATTACGGTGTCGGCATACAAGGACTGGAATTCAGCCAAGCCCCTATAAGTCTTAACCTCGGGTGGTGGTTCTGGCATAGGATTATAGGAACCGTGGGCTGATCCGAGTAACACTTGAAGCACATTTTGTTGAATGTGTAGGTAGGTGAACCAGGGTAACTCAACCGCTTGAAACTGAAATGGTGCGCCGCTGAAGATTTTTGTCAGCTAACCGAAAGGAAAAGGTTGTGAACGGTCGACAGATAGATCAACTTACGTTTGGTGTAGGCAGGTACCTGAGAGCTTGTGTACGGAGACAAATGTGAGTACGTTCTTGGAGATGGAGGGAAGTTAGCTTTGTGGGTTGTGCTCTATAGGGAGGAAGCAAAAAAGGAGGAAGATGACGATTGTGGAGGGCTATAAATAGTAATCCTGGAGGGTCAGAGATATGGAATATTTTGAGTGGTGGGCCACATGCAGTACAGGTGAATGGTTGCCAAGAGTTGCTGTGAAGGGAAGGCCTCACCAAAAACCTTGAGTGGTGATCATGTTGAAAGAGACGGGACTGCAACAAGTTCCCCTGTTGCCAGAGGGATCATGGCGTGGTTGGTGAATGGGTGGCATTTTGAAGGAGATAGTATGACAGTTTACGACGTCGCGTTTGGCCTCGGTCCGAGTTTTGTAGAGGTATGGAGCTCGGAGACGTGTCGGAGCTGATTTACGGACGATGTGATGAGAATTGGTTGGATGGAGGAAGAAGATCTTAAAACGAGCGAGGAGTGCTCCTCTTATGAGTCTGTGAAAGCCGAGACCTCAGCGCTGTATTCAAATCAAATATAAATAAATATCGATCTGTATTTATTTGAGTGGGTCAAATATGAAATCGTATTTATTTGAGTTGACATCGATATTTATTTGGTTAAATATTTGAACTCGTAAAATCGTGATTTCTGGTGCATTTGAACCCTGATTTTTCATTTTTCTTTACGTACAGCCTCCCTAGACCTCCCTAAACTTCATTAGAATACTAGATTCCCTATTCGAGACGTCGTCGTCGTTGTCAGTTCTTAAACTCCTATTTTAGTTATACTTTTTAAGCCCGTTCTCTAGCCAGAACTTCAAACTCTCGACGATATTAATAGACTTAGCGGAAAAATTGTGCTTCTAATTATTAATAATTAGTCTGGCGCTGCTAAAAGACCGTGTATAATCGTTTGCTATAGAAGGAATAGAATAATAGTTAAATATTATACGTATTGAATGAGGGTATAAGGATTAATTAGTTTTCTATTAGCCGATTATATTATTAATAGCGTAGATTTCGTCGTTGAGGTAGTAGTATAATTTATTTTCCTTCTTTGGCTATAAAGGGAGGGTATTATAGAAATTAGGGTCGATGAATTAATCGTTATTAGTTAATTTAATTTATTAATTATTGGTATTAATTGGCGGGTTTTGAACAAGGGCGTTGGCGTAGCTTTTATGATATACGATTTGGAAATCCTTAATAATTTTTCTATATTTGTAATTAGAAAGATATTTTATTACCTATTTATTATAATAATTAGGGTTGAAGATATGAATAATTTAGTATATAATATTTTCCTTTTTTATTAAGTCTTTACATTTTTTTAGTTTAGTAATAATTCTATTAAATATTAAATTAATGTATTCTATACCATTGTTAATTAAATCGTTAGTATAGTTAATACGAAATTTATTATTTTAAAAGAACTCGATTTAAAAGGAGGAGGAGGAGGAGGATTGGATTTGAGGAGAGGATTAAATTTATAAAGTGCGTATACGGTACCGTTGGGTATTAGAGATTATAATATTAGATTTTAGGATATTTAGACCCTTAAATATATTAAAATAATCCTTTTATTGAATTGCACCTTCTTATTATTAAAAATAGTAATAAAGCGGTATAAATTAGGTATAACGGTTAAAAAGTAAAGACCCCGCTTCTTAAACTTTTTAGTAAGGTTTTTAAAGTAATGTATTATATTTATAATAGAAGTAAAGATAGTTTAATTATTATTATTGAATTGATTTTGTTTAGGGAGCTTCATTGAGACGTTTAAATATTATATAGCCTTATTAATATAGTAATTAATAAAGTAGCGTAATTTCTAAGCGCGTTATATTATATAGTAATTTGAATTCTAGTACGTTATGTTATTAAAGATAATGCTAATAGTAAGAGAAACTTCGTCTTCCTTTATATATATATTTAGGAAGGGAGACAATTTATTATTAATATTAGAATACTGCCTAAACTATATAATCTCTTAGAACTTTATCCGCTTTAAAGGGTTTCGTTAAATAAATTATACGATATTATAAAGCCTTTTAACTAACCTTTACTTGCACTACTCCTATAATATAATATTTTTTTTAATAGTGGAAAAGTAAGAAAAGGAATAATTAGTATTAGTAGTATAAGATAGGGAGGATTTAATAATAGCCTTCGTACTAAAATTTAAAATATAATTAAAATAACGAAAATAATAATAAAGTACTTTTATTTCGAATTCCTCGTTCGAAAGGGCGGGGTATAATCATTTAAAGACGTAATAAATATAATAATTATTAGAATTAATATTATCGTACTAAAAGAAACCGATTTTATTATTTTTAATTTTATAGAATTTAATAATTCGTAGAAGGCAAACCCTAATATTTTCGCCGTTATAATTACTATAAATTTAAAAGAGGCTAAATAAATTATTTTTAATACTATTATAGTAATTTACGTAATAAACAAATATTGAAAATATAATAAAGCCGTTTAAGGAGGTCTAGAAATTAAGAGAGAAGTACTTCTATTAAGAGGACTTATTTAAACGCTCTTGAAAATAAATAAAATAGTATATATACTTATTTTTTATCTATATTATAAAGCTATAGTACGATTTTAGTAGTAGGTTATTAACTATATTACAATTTATTAACTATAAGAACCCTCGAAATACTTTTTTTAATAAAATTAAATAGGAGGCGTATTATAATAATTATTTCTACTAATAATTCGCAAAATACTTCGTTAATAGGTTTAACAATAAGGAAGTTAATTTATTATAATTACTCTACGATAGAGCAAGCCTTCTTAAATTTTAGTTAATCGGTATCCTTGCTAATAAGCTTCTTAATTCTATAAATATATTAAAAGTGAATAAAAATTGAATTAGTAATATAAAGGACATAGAATTTATTATATACATTATAATATTAATAATTATCGAACTTATGATTTCTAAATACTTTAATTAAATAGGAACTTCGTTTAAAATATTTATATAACTATATTTTTAGTATATATTAATCTCCTTGCTAAATAACCTTCAATATACCTTTAATATTCTTAGGTAAATCGTTAGGGTAGATCGCTTTTAAATAATTGATTTATCGACGGAGGGGGAGACGGCGTATCCTATCGAATATATTAATAGCCTCTATATACGCAGTTGAATCTTTAAAAGAGATAGTTAGTATATTACCCGCAATAGACGAGGTTCCGGGGTTTTTAATAACGGGTATTTTAATAGCGGCGGTAGTAGTATTAATAGCGTTAAATAGAAGTTAGTACTAATTGGCGATAAGGGGGAAGGATAATTAATAGGTATTGCGAACGATTTAGTGCGGTTGGGTACAATGAAGCTTAATTTTAGAGGCGAGCTAATTAGGGTAGAAGGTTGGCGATATAATGTTAAAAAGGCACTTAGAATGCGGGCGGTAATTTAAAATACTAGAAATTTTAAAATGTAGGTCCCTCTAGGTAGCTCGAGCGAATTAATTAGTTGTATATAGGGTTTAGGATGCCGTGTATAGGGGTTTGGGGTCCCGATAGTAGTAATCTTTAGGGGTAAAAATAAAGGGGTTTTGCTAATTTGAACTTTAACTCGGGGATTTTGCCGGGCGGGCAAATATGTCAAATCAAATATCGATGTATATTTATTTAGGCAAATCAAATATGCACGCATATTTATTTATTTGTATTTGATTGTTTATTTATATTTGGCTTGGCAATTTGATTTCAATACAGCGCTGCGAGACCTTGGGTACCTTATAGTATGGGAGTTTACCTACATCTACCAACGCCCGTTGGCTCGTAGAACCTTTCGGCTTTAGTCTTTTTGGCATGGCCGAACCGGTTCAAACCGGAAGCCAGAGCTGAAAATCCCAGTGCTCAACATCGTTGTCACAGGAATAGTAGCCCAAATCGTAGAAGAGCTTGGACTCGGCGTTTGCATCCTAGGAAAAAACGACAACCTTGCGGCGGACGCCGTCGGCAACTTCCGTCTCAGTAAGGTTATGGCTCTGCAAAAATTTGAAGCAGCTGGCTCGTTACCTTCTGACTTGACTGGACGTCGCTGAGACAGAACGTTGCGGTGTAAGGCGAGGGCTTGTGCGCCCCGCGGTGCCAGGCCTTGTAGCGATTTGGGCAGGTCTTCGATGTCACCCAAGCCCACTCGTCAATGATCGTGTGTTGGACTTGGATGGCTTGGATTTGCTCGACCTCAGAATTCGATGAACATCTTCTTGGGTCATAAACTGCCACGCCCATCTCGGACAGATTTTCCAGAGGAAGATAAAAAGCCCGGCGATACGAAAATAGTGTCTTTGTGTGTCCTCTTGACTTCGACTAAGTCCACATAGTTGTGGACAGCCGGGGGCGCAGGGCACGTAGACTTCATTGTTGATAATTCGTCTTGAGCTGGGAATTCCTGCTGGATGTTGATCGGGGGATATTGGAGTGGGTGTAGGTTAGTGGTAACGTGGTGGTGGTGCGGTGTCGGGGGAGAGAGATGGGAAGGACAGGATATGAAAGGGAAGAAATGGTAATAAGAAACAGAGGACGGTATATAAGACAGGTGAATTTGTAGAGCACATCGGCGGAAATATCTCCTTCCATCACTTCCTGCCCATCTGCATTTCTCGTCGATCAGGCATATGTCGGTATAAGCCATCAATCAATTAGAAAGCCGTTCGACAAGTGACGTATAAGGCATGGGAAAGGGAAATGAAATGTTGAGTAGTGATGCTAGCTACGTTAACTGGGTTCTTCTTGTGCCAATGTCAATCTAATGAGGGCTAACTAGAGGTAACCTTCTGCAAGCAGAATCATGATAACCATCCAAGCTCCGAACTCCCAACTGAAAGCATACTGAAATTAGCTGCAAAACTGCCCTAACCACTGATACTTGGTGATCCAACTTTAGACCATGGGAATATACCGCCTCCGTTTTCCCTTTCCGTGCTTCTTCGTCGTCTTGTTTGACGATCCAGCCTTGCTGGAGTCATTGCCGGTAGTAGCACTGATAATGGCGAGCGCGTCCATGGCAAGGGTGGGGGGTGTGGGGGATGGGCTAGAGGTAGGTGAGGGGACAGTAGAGGGTGTAGTAGAGGGTGTAGTAGAGGGTGTAGTAGAGGGGTTAGTAGAAGGTGAAGTTGATGATAACGGCGAGGTTGAGGACGAAGTAGAGGGTGAGACATCAGGCGGTTTGGTGAGCGGCCTGTCGGTACTTTCCGTGACGCCAAATGGCTTCTTCGCCCAGCCTCCGTTAGCTGACTTGACATATGCCTTTGCGGGTTGACGTGTGGCGGAGAGAAAGGGGAAGGCGGCAGCGTCGTGCAAAGCCGGGGGAGGGCCGGCGTTCTGATGATGAGGTACGGGATTTGAAGCCTCAAATGACGCATTCTTGGTGTGATGGACACCCCGGTTCTTGTTCTTCCTATTGCGGCAGCGGAGGTAAGGATTCTCATCCTTGTACTCGCCCCCCAAGTTGGCATTTGATAATAAAAAACGGGGGTTGACCCAGCTCAGGTCCAGGGGCTCGAGGTTTTCCATGCCGAGAATCCAACGGTTAAAGGACTCCTCCGTCATGTGGAGGAAGCGAATAAAGCTAGCCAGCTCGGCCCAAGCATCATTGGAGCCGTTGTGCATAGCAACGGCGTTGCCTTCGGGACCCAAAACACCGGTGCTGGCGAAGAAGGTCTTTCCGCCGGTTTTATCCTGGTCACCGAAACGGTACAGAACGGGACTCCACAGCTGGAGATCCCAATGCTCGATGTTCCTTTTTCCAAGATCGAACCCGAAAGCGTCAAGGATCTTGGGCTCAAGGTTGGAGTCCCACGACAGCACAACAATCTTGCGACGAACCCCCGCAGCCTGCTCTTCCACGGTAAGATTCTGAACGGCAAGGCGGTCCAGAAATGCAGCAAAGTCTCTGAGAGCCTCCTGGGTCGATATGACCTTGCTGAAACAGAATTTTGCGGCGTAGGGAGAGGCAGAATTTGGTTTGGACTTGGGGTGTTCCGGGTGGTGCCACCGTCCAACCTTGTTTGCTGGGCAGGTTACTCGGGTGAGCCACGCCCAATCACGACTGATCGTATGGCTGACTTTGATGCCCTTGATACATTCTGCTTCATCAAGCGACGAGGAACGGGGATCGTAGGCGGCACATCCTACTCCGGAGACCTGGTCCGAGATCTGTTCGCTTGCGTTGTGGTCAGTGGTTTCGAAGTTCAAGGCAATCGAGATGGTGTCCTCCAGAGCAATTTTGAACTCTTGCAACTCATCGTATGTGGAAACCTCCGGCGGCGAGGGGCATGCGGACTTCATGGTGATAGTGAAGCTGGTATTGTTTGCTGAACAATATTGTAGGCACCGAGGTTGAGGTAGGAGGGGGTGGAGATAAGGTGGTTTGGTGGCTTGGGGAAAAGAGAGAGGCGGACACAGAATGAAGATTTTTGAAGTTAAGGGAAGAAAAGGGGGGAAAGAGAGGAATTTATATAAAACCATTTACCAAACCCAAACCGTTGGGCAGATCAGGGCAAAGGTTCAGCCAACTTATGACTGCATATTATGATCCTTCACTCGCAGCACCGGAGGCCCGACAGAAACCTCAGCATACACCGGACCAAAGCAACCACCAGCGAAAACCTCGAAGCCGCCAACACGAGCGCGGAGTTTCAGGTTGTCTGCTGCAGCCAATATACGCGTCATTGCCGAAAGCCGCAGCCCCCGTGCCTCAGAAACCTCGTGACAGCGTTGATGCTGGCTGTGAATGCAATAGTCGTGAAGTCAGATAACTAAAAAAAAGCCTGGAAGCCAACCTGGAACCGACTGCTCCGGAAGTCCGGATAGCTGCTGCGGGGACGGCTTTCGAGCACCATTGTTTTTACAAGACCACCGGTAAGCCCCCTCTTCAATTCACCACCACTTCAATCCTCTTCAATGCTCAACCTTTCGGCATCCATCTCCATCAAAGTTTCGAACCTCAAGGAACGGAACCAGGCCGATTTCCGTCCGTACTTCAGCGATGCGTCTCTTCGGCCACTTGGCCTGTGTTTGATTATTCCCATTATGGGACAAGAAAAAGAAGGAGAGAAAGATTCCAGGTTGGGAATTACTGACTCCATTGGCCGCTTCACCCCTTTCCTCGTTTGCTGGCGTCAAGGACACCATGGCGAGTGTGCAAATATCAACCAAGTAAGTGGATTGAACCAATCGAACTTCAAATAAGCACGGAGTTGATGTGCATGAACGCTGAACAACAGCGTCAGGAACATGTTGTGCAGTGCTGCTCCGAGTCTGCGCCTTTTGGGTCGCACAGGACCCGCACAGGGAAAGGAGAGGATCCACAATTATAACCAAAAAGGGAAGTCGAGTAAACAAAGCAATCTTGTAGTGATCCTAAATGCTTCGTCAGCATGCGTTTCTAGGGTGAGGACAAAGGCAATAGCTCATGTTAAAAGCGGTAATACCAATTCCGAGAAAAGGACGGAGGGAGGGGCAGCGGTTGGAATCTGTACATGCCCCTCCAACAGGCGCTCATGTGGTTCGGACTGCCTCGATTGGGGGTGCCCTGCGGCCCTGCGCTGCCCTGCCGTGACGCGTGTCGTGGTGTTTGACATTTGAACGGGCTGCCGTAGCTGCGTTGCATGAAAGAAAATAAAGTTCGGACCAGAAGAAGACGCAGGACGATACCCTGCTCGGCTGCAGCTTGGCAAGGCGTCAGGAACTTGGGTAGGCTTAGGTGCGCCTGCCGTGTGCATTGCCCGACATGACGACAACATCCGAACTGTGCACTAACAGCAGCACCCTTCTACTCAGGTACCCAACTCCACTATAAGCAGCGTTAACGAGCTGCCGATACTTCGCTTCTGTTACGAGGCCTTCCACTGCGCCCGGTCCATCGGTGCGAGACCTCCAACACGACAAGTCTTCCACCAACGTCACTCTTCCCCGTTCAACTTTCTTCAGCCGACAACAACTACAACCACGATCCAAACCCGATACACCAACGATTTGCGCGGAGCTACCCAGACCTCGAAACTTCGACAGCGCTTCGAGATCCCTTCGTTTGCTAACCCATTCCACAACCCAAGACGCCTTCGCGTACCACGACCAGGCCCCCGACCCGCCCTCGAGACCGCTACCTAAAGCGACCATGCCCGAACGAAAGCCCATTCCTTACTGATTGCCCATGATCCCACCCCTCTGCCGCTTTAGTTTTACTCGACAGCGACACACGAAACCAACAGCCTACCATTACAAGCAACACAAGCTCAGCGCAACTCGAGCAACTTCCAATTGCTTCCCCGCAACAGCGAGGCCCTCGACTTACTCTCAACCCATCCACGAACCGAACCGAACCGAAGTACACCGGCACGATAAGCCCAACAGCCCAGGCCTTTCGACCGGAGTCCAGACCTATGGCTTCGACCTCCGCTACCCTGGTTTTATACTAGGGCCCGTAAGCCAGAACCCCGGAAGCACTGCCGGCGCCAACTCCTACGTCCCTCGCGAAACCAGGAGTCACTTCATGGCCAATCCGCCTTTTGTAGCAAGAAACAGACTAGATTAGGTGGGCCGTTGGAGCGTAGAACACAGGCTGAGGTGCCGGGGACGAATCGGGAGTCCGTGCCACTGGAGCAAAAGCTAGGACAGTGGATGGAGTGGTGACAAGTGCCGCTCACCGGCTGACGGTTCGAGGGAGAACGTAGTTGTCCTGAAGGAAGATGAACGTGAACATTATAAGAACGAAGATAAAGCATCTCAGAGGCCTGATTCGAGGTTCCCGGAGCTCCAGAGTCCAGACCCCAACACGGTCAACAGCCAAGAACAGTTTAGCTTTGCATAGGGTGGTGTACTCGAAGTTCAGAGAGATACTTGTGCTGGTGCTGTGAACAGGACTGAGAAGCTGACTAGAAGACCGCTGTTCCTCGTTCCATGATTCCCTGCATTCATTCTAACCTGTATCCCGTGTGCAAGGCAAGTATTGACCGCCTCCAGTATCCAAAACGAACAACACCAATCCGACTATGCAGTGCCCAGGGCCTGTCTTCCAGTTCTGTTGCCGTATGCCAGTGTATGGCCAGTACTGCCGACCTCCAAGTAACCGCTCCCCAAACCAAACAAGACACGTCGGTCAAAGAAAGCATCCCAAGCACGACCCAATCTCCCAATTCGGATCCAGCCGCTCATTGAACTCCGCAACCTCCGGATCAACCCAATCCAGCTTGACCATATACTCCTCCGGAAACCACGTAAAGTCCCTCATATACTCACTCCACGCCCCCTCCTCGCTATGAAGCAAGTACAAAAACGCCGCCAGCATCGCAAAAACATCATTGCCCGCATTGTGCCCACACGCCAGGACCCCAAGCGGCGCCAGCAAGTTGTAGGCCGAATCGCTCGTCTCCGCGTTCCGCCTGGCCCGCTGGAGGTTATGCCACTTCTGGAGATCCCATAGCTCGACCTTCGCCTTGTTTCCCGCAGGGTCAGGGTACTCAGGGAGCTGGATTCCCCACTGCGACATGATCTTGATCTCCAATCTAGCGTCCCAGAAGAGGAGGATGACGGGTCTTCGCTGGCCTTGGGCGATCTCTTCGGTGGTCAGACCGCGGGTGGGCAGGCGGTTGAGGATATCTTGTAGTTTGTCCCGGATGGCGCGAGCGGGCCGGATGCGGGATCGGGCGAAGACGCCGTCGTAGGGGTGGGCGACGTGGCCAACTATTTTCCCGCCTTTGCCGGGCCAGGTGGTGTGCATGAAGGCGTCGCAGGTCAAGGGGGTGGTTTTGCGCCAGCGGGAGGCGATGTAATGCCTGACGTGAATCTTCTGGAGTCTTTCCTCGATTGTATGCGTGGCGGAGGCAGCGGCATCTCGGGGGTCGTAGACGGCGATCCCGAGCTCGGACATCCGTTGCGATTCTGACAGGACTTTTTGGTGCCTTGGATGGTCGATCATTTCGAAGTCGAGGGCGACTAAGATTGTGTCTTTGAGATCATGGGCTATTTCGTCAAGCTGACCGTGGTACCAGACTACAGGTGGCTTGCGTACCGGGCATCTGGGAGTACTGGGGCTGGGACTTTCGGGCACATCTGGATCGTTATGAGCGGTTGTCAGCTGGAATGTCGGATAGTGTTTTGTGAATGGGTGAGCGGCCTACCTGGGCTCTCGTCGCCTTCGCTAGGTGGGAGAGGAGGGAAGTAAAGCTGCTTTCTCATGGTAAGAGAATAATCTGTGATTATGTTGATAGAGGTACTGATTGACGCTAGTTGGGGGGATGTCCGGTTGTCGGCGGGAGCTTTGAAGAGCGACCGAGTCGGTTAGGATAATGAGATATCGAGAGAACTCTGTTGAACTTGTAGAAGAGGAGATTGTTTCGGAGACGGTAAACATTTACACTGCCTCAGGCCATGATTACATCCTGCAGTTAGCGGACTTCCAGTCGGCAGGTGCCATCAGAACGTCGAAGGAAGTTGTGATCGGCATCAAGCACTTGCTACTCTTTGTACCTTCCTCATCAGTCCAGTACGGCTGTTTGATGTGGTCCTCGGTGTGTGTTATGTGAACGGATATCCACTGACGTTGGGCCATCCTTCCATTTCCTTCCGGCCAGGACTCATTGCTCACGAACATGCACGATATGGTTTTGGGAAGATGTAACGAGGTAATAAGAAGCAGGATGGCTAATCCTAACTTTCCTGATGCATTTAGCCTGCTCACCGACAGACTGATATGGGCCTTGGGTGATCAGCCCAAAACGGCATTTGTACTCTGCCCTGAGAAATCGCTTGTGTTTCTTGACTCACCCTCCAGGATAGACGGCAATAACAAGAGAAGCAAAGATCCAGAAGAACCAGTAATGCGAGGAGTCAGATATGGGCCGGTTGCTTGGCGTCTAACAAACCAAATTCTCATCGGCCCCTGACACAAAATTGTTTTCTTCCCCGACAACGGTACGCAAATGATGGCTCATCGGCAAGGCCGCCAGTCAATCACTGATAGGCATGGACGCGATGAAATGTTAGACTGAGACCAGAAGGCAACTGCGTGATGTAGGGCAGCTTGAATCCAGTGACAGAGAGGGCATGGTAAGCTGCAGAAAGGTCTTGCTTGTAAGAGGATCAACCAAAATGAGATAAAGGAGAAATGAATGTGAGATGGGGACGGTTGGCTTAATGATATCCAAACTACAGGGTACTCAGCTCAAAGAACAGGGTAGGCAGGTTCCAGCTTTGAGATTGCAGAGTGTCCATGAAGAACGTCGTTGGCGATGTTTTGGAAAGCGAAACGCACGGACAGGAATGAGATGTCGTTGAACTATTCGTGGCTTAAAACCACGGCTGTTCAAAATGACGCGCCCATCTGCCTGCCGGGAGCCTGGGGCACGGTCCTCATCGCGCAATTTGTGGCCCAAGCTCCCAGCAAGCGGGCTGACACGGCTGATCCAGAGTGGCGGTCCACTGGGAACGAAGTGGTACGGTGGCCCAAGTGTTGGCTATGATCAATTGAAAGTTGGTCCGAGCTCTCAACTGCAACCAACTACCAGCCCTTTTATATCAACGCCTCCATATCACTTGCATACTTAAACTAGAAGACTCACCTACATCCAAAGGCATCACATTGTCCATCACATTTACAACTCTTATCAATTCCTATTAACTCTTATACCTCTTATTAACTCTTATTTATTCCTATAGCCCAGAAAGAGCAAAAGGGACAGGGAAATCCATTTGCATTAATACTCTACCCTAAAGTCTAAAATTTGGAGAAGAAGCGAAGGATCCATTTGCACTACTACCTACCCTAAAAAATCTTGGCAAACCTCGAGGCTCTTGCTCGCTCATTCTGACCAAAATTTGGAAAAGAATTGGAGGATCTATTTATATTACTACCTTAAATCTTAGTAAACCTCGAAGCTCTTATTGACTCTCAGTCTCAACTCATTACACCCCTTTGACTCTAATTGATTTTTATTAATTCTAGTTGACTTCTATTAACTCTGGTTGACTTTCATTGCCTTCAGTTATTGCTTCATTATTTCATTACTTTATTGCTTTATTACTTAATTACTTAATTACTTTATTACTTCATTGCTTTATTACTTCATTACTTCATTGCTTCATTACTTCATTGCTTCATTACTTCATTGCTTCGCTCCAATACTTTGCTTCATTAGTTCGATAAAAGGTATTGCATTAGATTATGGAAGCTACCCTTCAGTGTGAATCTAGTGCCTGCAGCTGGCACGGGCCATTTTCCAACCAAACTTTTTCAATTGATCATAGCCAACACTTGGGCCACCGTAAAGTGGGCTGCTGGCGGTTTCGGGGCAAAAAGTCCACTGAAGGGTGGCGGTTGGTTACGTCGCCAGCGGACGCGCAAGCGCTAGTCCTGTCTGGACCTTGGCTCGGACTTGGCCAACCGTTTGGGTGGGAAAAAGTGTCCCAGGCGAAACGAGAAGTGTCCAGTTCGGAGACAAACACCAGCACCAACGCCAACGTCGACCAGAACAACACCCGAGTACCCGACACCATCGAGTCGATTGCTCCCATCACCAACATATCATACGCGCGTCGACCACACTCTCAAAGACGCCGTTCAATGCCGTCTCTATAGTCGACAACCACCCAACCGTCGAACCGCTATCATGGCGCCGCTCGTCGACAACGCGCAGATCCAGTCTGCCGAGTTGTTGAGGCCGCTGCCTCTCTACCTCCACGCCTACGTATGGCCGTTTGCCATTATCTGGCCCATCTTCTTCCGCTACTATCTCGATCAGGACCTCTACGATAAGCACATCAACGGCCAGGAATGGACCTTTGTCTGGGCCGGCACCATCATCACCGTCCAGGCCCTCGTCTGGCTCTGCACCCACTGGAACATCAACCTTCGTGCCGCCTTTACCGCGAAGAAGGCACGCTCCGTTCAAGATGCCCAGCTGATCAAGGTCATCCCGGTTGCCAACGCTGGCATTTCCGATATCTGCCCCATTGTGCGCGATACTGTTAGTTTGCCCCTGTCAAGTTATCCCAGGAGAGATAGAAGACTAACCACCTCACAGGCCGGAGGCAAGACCAACATCTCCTTCCTCTTCCAGAAGCGCCGATTTCTCTACAATGCCGAGACCAACTCCTTCAGCACCCTCACGTACCAGATCGACGACGAACCCAAGCCCAAGCTCGAAGTCTTCCAAAAGTCCAGGGGCATCATGACCGCCTCGGAGCTCGACCGGCTGGAGCAACACTATGGCATGAACACGTTCGATATCCCCGTCCCTACCTTCACGGAGCTCTTCAAGGAACACGCCGTCGCCCCCTTCTTCGTGTTCCAGGTCTTCTGCGTCGGTCTGTGGATGCTGGACGAATACTGGTACTACTCGCTCTTCACCCTGTTCATGCTCGTTGTCTTCGAGAGTACCGTCGTCTGGCAGCGCCAACGCACCCTCAACGAGTTCCGCAGCATGAGCATCAAGCCCTACGACATCTACGTCTACCGCCTTGGCAAGTGGACCGAGACCACGAGCGACAAGCTTCTCCCCGGAGATCTTGTGTCTGTTACACGTACAAAGGAGGACAGCGGTGTTGCTTGCGACATGATCTTGGTTGAAGGAACCGCCATCGTCAACGAGGCCATGCTTTCTGGTGAAAGCACTCCTCTGTTGAAGGACTCCATCCAGCTTCGTCCCGGTGATGCCCAGATTGACCCCGAGGGTCTTGACAAGAACGCCTTCCTCTGGGGCGGCACCAAGGTCCTGCAGATCACCCACGGCAACCCCGATGAAGAGAAGCCCAAGCTTGCGTCTGGTGTCCCTACTCCCCCCGATAACGGCGCCATGGCCATCGTCACCAAGACCGGTTTCGAGACCTCCCAGGGTAGCTTGGTTCGCACCATGATCTACTCCACCGAGCGCGTCTCTGCCAACAACGTCGAGGCCCTGTTCTTCATTCTGTTCCTCCTGATCTTCGCCCTTGCCGCTTCTTGGTATGTCTGGGACGAGGGTGTTCGCAAGGACCGCAAGCGCTCCAAGCTTCTGCTCGACTGCGTCTTGATCGTTACCAGTGTCGTTCCCCCCGAGCTTCCGATGGAGCTTAGCTTGGCTGTCAACACTAGCTTGTCTGCTCTTGCCAAGTTCGCCATCTTCTGCACTGAGCCCTTCAGAATTCCCTTTGCCGGTCGCATTGATGTTGCCTGCTTCGACAAGACTGGTACCCTGACTGGCGAGGATCTCGTTGTCGAGGGTATCGCTGGTCTTGGCCTCGGCCATTCTGGTACCGACACCCCCCGCGAGTCCGATGGTGCTCACAGCCACATGACCCCTGTTGACGAGGCCGGTTTGGAGACTACTCTTGTTTTGGCCACCGCCCACGCTCTTGTTAGGCTCGATGAAGGAGACATTGTCGGTGATCCCATGGAGAAGGCTACCCTTACTGCCCTCGGCTGGTCTCTTGGCCAGAACGATATGCTCAAGACCAGGACTGGCGCCAAGAGCACCGTCCAGGGCAACGTTCAGGTGAAGCGCCGCTTCCAGTTCTCCAGTGCCTTGAAGCGTCAGAGCTCCGTCGCCACCATCAACGCTACCGATTCCAAGACCGGCCAGAAGCTCAGGGGCACTTTTGTTGCTGTCAAGGGTGCGCCCGAGACGATCATGAAGATGCTGGTTACCATTCCCAAGGACTACGAAGAGACATACAAGTACTTTACCCGCCGTGGTGCCCGTGTTCTGGCGCTTGCCTACAAGCAACTCTCTACCGAAAACGAGCTGGGCGCCAGCAAGATCAACGACCTTAAACGCGAGAACGTTGAGGCTGACCTTACCTTTGCCGGATTCCTTGTCCTTCAGTGCCCTCTCAAGGAGGATGCCAAGCAGGCCGTGCAGATGCTCAACGAGAGCAGCCACCGTGTTGTCATGATTACCGGAGATAACCCGCTTACTGCCGTTCATGTCGCTAGGGAGGTCGAGATTGTCGACCGTGACGTTCTCATTTTGGATTCCCCCGAGCACAGCGCCCACGGCGAAGAGAAGCTCATCTGGCGCAGCGTCGATGACAAGGTCAACATCGAGGTCGACCCTACCAAGCCCATCGACCCTGAGATCATCAAGACCAATGATCTTTGTGTTACCGGTTACGCTTTGGCCAAGTTTAAGGGACAGGTTGGTTGGAAGACGCTGCTCCGCTATACCTGGGTCTACGCTCGTGTGTCCCCCAAGCAGAAGGAAGACATTCTTCTCGGTCTCAAGGATATGGGTTACTACACTCTCATGGCTGGTGACGGCACCAACGATGTCGGTGCGCTGAAGCAGGCTCACATCGGTGTTGCTCTCCTCAACGGTACTCAGGAAGATCTTATTCGCATTGCCGAGCACGCTCGTAACAACAAGATCAAGGATATGTATCAGAAGCAGGTTGACCTCATGAAGCGTTGGGGCCAACCCGCTCCTCCTGTCCCCGCTCTGATCGCTCATCTCTACCCGCCTGGACCTTCCAACCCGCACTACAACGTTGCTATGGAGCGTGAGGCGGCGAAGAAGGGCATCACCGTTGAGAAGCTTGCCAAGACCCTCCACCACAATGCTCCTATCGAGACTGTTACCTCCCCTGGCGCCCAGGCTCTCATCAACCAGGACCCCAAGCAGAGACAGGCTGCGGCTGCCCAGCAGGCGTCCACCTTTGCTGATAAGCTTACCGCTGGTATGATGGACATGGACATGGATGACGACGAGCCTCCCACGCTCAAGCTTGGTGATGCCTCGGTCGCTGCTCCCTTCACCTCGAAGCTCCGCAACGTTATGGCCATTCCTAACATCATCCGCCAAGGCCGCTGCACTCTGGTTGCCACCATTCAGATGTACAAGATCCTTGCCCTCAACTGCCTGATCAGCGCCTACAGCTTGTCTGTGCTCTACCTCGAAGGCATCAAGTTCGGTGACGGTCAGATTACCATCAGCGGCATGCTCATGAGCGTCTGCTTCCTGTCCATTTCGCGCGCCAAGTCGGTCGAGGGTCTCTCCAAGGAGCGTCCCCAGCCCAACATCTTCAACTTCTACATCATCGGCTCCATTCTCGGCCAGTTTGCTGTGCACGTCGTCACTTTGATCTACATTGCCCGCTTCTGCGACCAGCTCGAGCCACGCGCCGAGAGCGTCGACCTCGAGGCCGAGTTCTCCCCTTCGCTGCTCAACTCTGCCGTCTACCTCCTTCAGCTCATCCAGCAAATCTCCACCTTCGCTGTCAACTACCAGGGCCGTCCCTTCCGCGAGTCTCTGTCTGAGAACAAGGGCATGTTCTACGGCATTATTGGTGTCACTGCCATCGCTTTCGCTTGCTCCACCGAGATGGTACCTGAGCTTAACGAGGCAATGAAGCTTGTGCCCTTCACGGACGAGTTCAAGTACACGATGACTGTGGTCATGATCTTGGACTACGTTGCCTGCTGGCTCATTGAGGTTGTCTTCAAGTACCTGTTCAGCGACCTCAAGGCCCGTGACATTGCGGTGCGCCGTCATGATCAGCTTGAACGCGAGAAGATCCGCAAGGCGGAGGAGCTCAAGAAGTTGGAGGAAGAGAAGAGAAAGAAGGATGAGGAGGAGGAGAAGGCGAGGATGGAGAAGGTGGCCGAGTTTGAGAGGCGGTTGCGGGCGAGAATGGGGGGGAGGGCTGAATAGTTGTGGTCATGATATGGCATCTTGATGAATGTTATGACTTGACTACATGAGAGAAAGAAAATGGGGTGAGTGAACTGGATATGTTTCATACCTATTAAACTACATCTTTATAATTGGGGGAGTTTGTGATAGAATTGGTGGTGTACAATACATACTATGATAGATTAAGTGGATAGATGTCTGTTCAGCGTGAGTTTGTCTTGTCGTGAACCTTGTTTGGGCCTAAACTGTCGTCCAATTGACCAAGACGTGCTGACACCCTGAAAATTATCGATGCTCTTCGAGTCTTCGGGACGAACTGGCCCTTTTACCCGGATGCAACATGTAATTGTCGTTGTTGAGTGTTGACGAGCGAGTGCACAGACCACCCGAACAGTCCAAGTCCCTCTGTGTCGTTGTCCTCAGCGACAAGTGACATCGGGATGTGCTGTCATTGCTGCCTCAGGCCCCAACTTACAGTGGGCTTGGGCCTCCACAGCGCACAAGCTGGCGGGGCGGGGTATCCCCAGCCGACCATTCCGAAATGTTGACCGGCTGCGCTAAGCCGGATTGGGCGGGCCAGGAACGAGACAATTCGTTGCACAGCTTCATCAACATTTCGCGCGCGCCGAGCTTCCAACTTTTGCTCCTTTCTCTCTTCTCTCCCAACCGTCGTTACACATCCCGTCACGATAGCAACCATGTTCGCCGCTTCCAGAATCCAGACCCGTGCCTTCTCGGCCTCTGCCCGCCAGGTATGTTGTCGTCCCTAAAGTGGCATTTGAGTAATTATCATGTCATAGCTCCAGTCCAGCTTGTCCCAGCTCCTCCAAGCAGGAAGCTCAACACCAGTTCTGAGACTAACATCACCACCCCAACATCACAGCTCTCCAAGGTCGCCGTCCTTGGTGCCGCCGGCGGCATTGGCCAGCCCCTCTCCCTCCTCCTCAAGCTCAACCCCAGAGTCACCGAGCTCGCCCTCTACGATATCCGTGGCGCCCCCGGTGTCGGTGCTGATCTCTCCCACATCAACACCAAGAGCAACGTCAAGGGCTACGAGCCCACCGCCTCCGGCCTCGCCGAGGCCCTCAAGGGCTCCGAGATCGTCCTCATCCCCGCCGGTGTCCCCCGCAAGCCCGGCATGACCCGCGACGACCTCTTCAACACCAACGCCTCCATCGTCCGCGACCTCGCCAAGGCCTGCGCCGAGTCGTGCCCCGACGCCAACATCCTCGTCATCTCCAACCCCGTCAACTCCACCGTCCCCATCGTCTCCGAGATCTTCAAGAAGGCCGGCGTCTACAACCCCAAGCGCCTCTTCGGCGTCACCACCCTCGACGTCGTCCGCGCCTCCCGCTTCGTTGCCGAGATCAAGGGCACCGACCCCAAGGACGAGAACATCACCGTCGTCGGCGGCCACTCCGGCGTCACCATCGTCCCCCTCTTCTCCCAGAGCAACCACCCCGAGCTCTCCAAGAACGAGCAGCTCATCCACCGCGTCCAGTTCGGCGGTGACGAGGTCGTCAAGGCCAAGGACGGTGCCGGTTCCGCCACCCTCTCCATGGCCATGGCCGGTGCCCGCATGGCCGAGTCCCTCCTCCGCGCCTCCCAGGGCGAGAAGGGCGTCATCGAGCCCACCTTTGTCGACTCCCCTCTCTACAAGGACCAGGGCATCGACTTCTTCTCCTCCAAGGTCGAGCTCGGCCCCAACGGTGTCGAGAAGATCCACCCCGTCGGCCCCGTCGATGAGGTCGAGCAGAAGCTCCTCGATGCTTGCCTTGTTGACCTCAAGAAGAACATCCAGAAGGGCAAGGACTTCGTCGCTGCCAACCCTGGCAAATAAGTGTATTTCTCTACTAGCCTAGAGGAGTGTTACTGAAGCGAGCGCGCACTTTTTCTTACGTCCCTATGGTCATGCCAATCTTCAAAAGCTCTACTACGTACGACATTCACATGCGTGAAACACAGCAATTGGGTTGTCTGCGTGGGAACGGGTTAGCATAACTGGTGGAGATGGATGAGAAAGTGCCATCGTTGTTTCATCGGACATGACGGAAATGGGTGGAGTTAGTTTCAACCAGGACAAATTCGCGGCCATGACGGAAGTAAGTGGAGTTGGGAAATGTACTTGTGCTATTATCGATATCCATACCGGGGTTTTCTCGGTCGGACTCCTCTTTACATAACGGCTCTGCTGGTTTACAAAAAAAGTTAATGGCTTGGTTGAAGTTTCGTCTGCCTAAAAAAAGAAAAGCAATAATGTATAACTATCATGACCTTGAATGAACGTTCTGTTTGGTGCCGCGGCCCCCTTTCCTTCTTTCCATTTACACGTTGCATTCGAGTGCTCAAGCTGCCAGGGGCTCGTCTCGTCCATCATGGCGTTGTCACGAACAGCACCGAGCTACAATCCCATCACGTCCATCTATGCCAATTCAGATAAGATATGGAAGTCAGTCGCAGGCGGGCGGACCACCGGAGATAGCGGCAAGATCAAGAGATGTCAGATACTGACCACTGCGCCAAACACCCAAAAATTGGAGCTCCATCGAGGTGATGGAGTAGTGCCAGCTCTGAACCCCCTATATTTGACAAGAGAAGCCCAAGTGGACTCTCCTTCTAATTATACCCACATCCGTACCCGTACCCATCACCCGTTGCTCCCGAGCGAGCGGTCGAACGGCCGGGCCCGCCGGGCTGAACGGAACAGGCGTTGGTGCGATGCCGCCGGCAATCTTTAACTTCAGTTCGACAGCAACCACACCCAGCACCAACTTCGTCGACTCGGCCTCAGCTTCCAAGTGACAACGCATCTGGATTCTCCGGGTGACAGGCACGTTCTCGACCATTATCCATCGACAGCGTTCCGGGGATACCTTGCAGCTTGCTCAACATGGAATAACGAAATTGCAGTTCTGCCAATGAACACTCTGCCCCGGGCACGATCACCAGTCCCCTTACACCCGTTGGACAGCCACAATGAACAAGTACAATCGAATGGATGGTCAACGTCACTACCCAGTGTACCCACGATGCCACAACGTCACTACCCAGCGCACCCACGATGCCACAAAAGCAAGCTCAAGCTCTCGGAAAAATATCACTCCAAACAACATTGTCGAGTCCTTAGCGAACAGCAATGAGCAATCATCTGTCACTGGTTCAAACTTTTCCTTTTTTTGGTCACAACAGCAGCACAAGATCAAAGCAAAACTAGGAACTCCTTTTGACTAATACTGTCTGACTATCTCTGTTACTTCTTAGCTTTTTACACAATCCCTTTTTCGAACCCAACTCCATCTGCCAATGGCAGTCTTCCTATCGCTATGCCTAGTTACTATCACCGTCCGTCCCATTTGCCGTCCTGCCTTCAAAGAACTCTTTAAAGCACTACCTAGACCGGGCCGTTGAGTAGTCCTCCTTCTTCTTGTCACCCCTCTGCGCTGTCTCACAACCACTACACTATACTATGTCTTGTACCTTCATATCGTCAGATAGATACCTTAACCACCCGATCCGGCGATCCGTTCCATCCTTTGCCATGGGCCATACCAAACCATACTATCCCCATCCCCATTCTGCCCGATAGGCTGGGTACCTTCCCTCCTTATGAGTACACCCCGAGGGAGTAGCTCACCCTACCTACAAAAGATACATAAAATGATAATTAATGCCATTCATAAGTTTCCACTCCCATCCGCCATCCCCCATGACTAAAGGGTACCTAGAGGTATCAAGGCCCCCCAGTCATAACCGTCACCACTTCCACCGTCTGCCCATTAACCACCACCTCCTGTCCCGGCACCACCGTCTCCCACTCCACATTATTCTCCGACTGTGCCTTTGGACTTGGACTCTTTTGTGCCTGTGGGCCCTCCGATACCGATACCGATGTGCTCGCCGCAGCGGTAGCGGAAGGGGTGGTATTCACCGCAGGAGCCGGAACCGGAGGGGTAAAAGTAATAAAAGAAGTAGTCGTAGGAGTCAAAGCAGCCGGAGTCGAAGCAGCGGGAGCAGGGACCACAGCCTCGGAAGGAGTAGTCTCACTCTCAACCGGCACCAAAACCGTCATCACCGTCGCCTCCTTATTCCCCACCTGTCCAGCGGACACGGTAAGCAAGCTCGTCACCACACTGTCACTGGCCCCGGCAGCCGCAGCCGCAGTGTTCACCACCACAGGCCCCGGGTCAGGAGCCACGGGAGCCTCAGCAGCCGAGGTAGTAGCAGGGACCACAACCGACAAAACCGTCGCCTCACTATTCCCAATCTGCCCAGCGGGGATGGTAACCAAGCTCGTTGAGACCTCGGCCGAAGGAAACGTAATGGTTGTTGTCACGTTCATCGTCATGAGTATGGACTCGGTCGTTTGGCCGGGGAGTGTGATTCTTGTTACGCCATCTGGCTGGTCTCCTTCCTCTTGTTGCTGCGTTGTCACCTGAACCTGCGGACTCGGACTCGGACTCTCACTCGGACTCGGACTCTCACTCGGACTCGGAGCCGGCGCCGCTGCCTTCACAAGCGTACTAACCAACGCAGCATACTGCCCGCCAATCGCCACATACTCGGGATGATCGGCGTCCCAGACGAACATGTGCACCTCGTCAATGTTCTTGGCTTGCCAGTCGCCTGAGCCGACGGCGATGCCGTCGAGGTCGGAGCGGGTGGCGCGGATTTGGCCGGGGAGGAGTTGGGGTTGTTGTTGTTGTTGCTGGGTGGTGGCGGGGGCCGGGGGGGCGACTGGGGCGGGGGCGGGGGTGATGGTGGCCGTCAGCGTCCGGTACGAAGTCGAAAGATTGGCATCCTCCACGTTTTCCAACTCTCTCTTCCCCTTCCCTATCTCCGGCTTGGGTGTAGGGAGTCCCGTAGGGATTCTTCTCCAGTCCTTATTCTCGACGGATCTCTTGCCCTTTATGTTCTTCCCCTTGTAGCCGTTGTGTTCCCACATGTCCGGTTCCTCCCACATATACCAAGTTTTGTAATCCTCGTGAAAGTTAACGGGCGTCTTGGGCTTCGGCTGCGGGGATGAGGAGGGGACAGAGGGGACGTCGTGGACCGTCTCTACGGCCTTGGAAGACGGGGACGAGGACGGGGCATCGTGGACCGTTTGAGTGACAATAACAGGAGAAGGAGCGGTAGTGGTAAATGTTTCCCCGGCCGTCACAGTGGAAGTGAAAGATCGGGTAATGGTTAATATGCCCTTGGTGTGAGCATTGGGGGCAGCAATGGCGGAAAGGATTTGCCCGATCAGAAGGGCGGCGTAGACGAAGAGGTAGACCAGCGTGATGGATATCACGGTGGTGATAGACGACTTGGTTAGGTCTTATGATCAGAAAATAAGTTGGATGTATTGGGAAAGAAGAGGGTTGTTTTGATGATGAAGACCTCGGAAGGAAAATGGTCTGTGGCTCGGGCAAGCTGGCTGGATCAGACATAGGGTTTCGATAGGGTTTCGGCGGACGTGGCTTCATGCTGCTTCGTGGCATTTTCCATTCGCATGTCCGGCCTGGTCATGGCTACCTTACCTACATCCTGTTTTCTTGGTGGCGACATGTCCAGACCAAGTCACCAAGGGCATAGATGCAGCAACATCTTGGCCGGACGGCAGCCTCCTTGAGATTCCAAGGTTGAGGTTGCTCGAGCATTGACGGGTAGGTAGCCCATAAACCGACTGGTCGATTGCCAGGACAATCACAAATTTGAGTCTTCAACAGTTCAACTCATGGCTCTTGGAACGGCTTCAGGCTTCCCATTTTCTGGAAGAAAGGAAGAACCATGATATATGCGCCTAGTCATTGGGAAGTTCTGGTGGTAAAGTTGATAGACGTGTCATCATTGCTATCACGGAGGAGGCGGAGAGGTATGCCTTGGGTCTTGCTTCAAGGAAAAAAAAATTGATCTGTACAATGCAGGGAGAAGTCCGAGAGGCATACCTGCAGCGACTTGACATTGATAAAACAAGCAACTGATTGCCCGGCCGGCTGGTCAGTGACTCCTTTGCAGCTTGGACTGACCGGCAGCATCAAAACTCCGTGCTTTCATGCACCCTCCGAGGGCGGAAGAACAGGTGTCGACTCGTTATCTCCGTCTTTCGTGAACATCACCGAAGAATCCTCTCGCCGGAAACGAGACTGGTGTTGCCAATCTGAGCGACAATTTGACAAAGTTCACTGAATCTTCAACGGGACTGAACCACCCATTGTTCGTGGAGTAAGAGTCCTTTCTCATGCCAATGGGTATCACAAATTCTTGTTCGTGTTGTAGAAAGAAAACAAGAAAGTCAAAAATACAATGTCGAAAGGATCGACAACTCACAACAACCTCTCAATCTCCTCGCATCCCTCCGCAACTTCTTTCCTCCGCCCCGTTCCCCCCTCCCCCCAGAGCAGACAACACCCTAACTAATCACCTTCTCAGTCTTCTCCTTCCCATCATTCCCCACCCCCGTCTGCTCAATCTTCCTACAAGTCCTCAACTTCGAATTACAAACCATGCAATAACACCCATCATCATGACACCCGCAGTCATACGCCTCGTGGTCGCCATCCCATTCCTTCTGCGTCATCATCCTCTTGGGCTTCTCACCACCGCCTTGGTCCTTATCAGCTCCCGCATAAGCTCCTGCATCAGCGTCATTCTCGCCAGGGATAGCGACCCGATGCGTACCCTTATCCTGCCCCTCCTTCAAGCTGCGACCAACCTTCCCCTTCGTCGGCACCTGCACAACCTTGGGTTATTCACGAGCTTTAAGTTTGTCCACCGGCTTCATCTTCGTCCTTCCCGCACCTCCTTTCGTCCCGTTGACAACCGTGTGAGGAGTAATCGTTGGCGGTGCGGCAACGTCGATAGCTTCCGGCTTGGTATCCTCCTCCGAGGAGACCGTAGCACCGGAGTCCCGCTTCTTCTTGGAATTGGTAAAGAACTTCCTTTGGTCCAAGCTGCAGCTCTCATTGGGAAACTTCTTGCATCGAAGGCAGTAACACTGATCTTTGTCAAAGCAGAAGGCGCCCAGGGCATTCTCGCATTCGAAGCCCTTGTTCCTCTTTTCCAAAACCGCTTGGTTATTGGGAATGGGAATGGGGCTCCGGCGACCAACCGTAAGCGGATGGCCAAACGAACTGGTTCTGTGAAGACCCGAGCCACCACCACGCTTCTCGTTGATCAAACTCTTCTCATCATAATGCACCACATCACCCCCCTCGATGGTCAACAGCTCATCATGATCATCACCTAACTGCTCAACCCCATTGTCATCCCTCCTCTTTGAACGGCCCCCTCCGATCTTCCTGACTCTGCAATTGTTCAGAGCAATTTCGCAATGGAAACAGAAGCAGCCTTCTTCGAAGCACAACCCGCCCACCGAGTTACGGCAGGTAAGTTGGATTTTTTTGTTGTTTGCTATCACTTGGCTGTAGATGTGCATAACATAGTTGGGCATATTCTGTGGTTTTGGGTTGGTGTTCACCTCACTGCCAAATGTGCGGGCTTTGAGGAGGTTGTCGAGGAAATCCGTCAGGCCGCGCTTCTGATGCGCAGGAGTGTCTTCGGATGCCTCAATCAAGGAGTCGTCTTCGGCGTCGCTGCCGTCGATGGTATCCAAACGGTCTCGCTTCCTCTTCTTGTCGCCGACGCCATCCCTCTGCGCAAAGTTGCAGTTGTCTGGCCAGCGCCGGCACTGGAGGCAGTAGCAGTAGCCGTTGATGAGACAAAAGCCGGCGATCATGCCCGTCTCCTTGCATTCGACTTTTCGGGTGCCGAACCCGTTGTTGCCGCGAGCAAAGAGCTCATGGTCGTGGTCGTTCTGCACGTTCAACTTGCGCTTTTCCATGGCTGGTGCGACACCGTTGGCGTCCCGTTCAAGAACGCTGGCCTCGGGCAGGTGCTCCTCCACCTCCATCTTGACCTCCACATCTCTCTTCTTCCCATCTTCCGTGTCATTGCCAGGAAGGAAATCCCGCTTGCGGGGGCCCAAAGCCTTGACTACCTCCGCAGGTAGCGTCACGGCGACATCAAACTGGAGGGGCGGGTTGGCCCTCCTGAACTTGGTCTCGAAGTCGGACTCGAAGTCGGACTCGGGCTCGACAGAATCAGAATCAGGATCGCGGCGTTTCGGCTTCTCACCATCCTTGATTGGCCAACCACCGTTTACTGGCTTTCCGTTCTCACCCTTGACCATGCAGCCACAAAAATCTTCGGCAATACATACCATTTTGGCTTCCTTGTTTGCGCAGTAGTATCCTGGGCCACCTGTTGGGCCGTCGTTCCGGCGGCCCACAGTGGGGGATATGATGTTGTAAACGTTCGTGGCTTGGGAGTCAGAGTCGGAGGTGACGTCTCTCTTGTCCGCTGGCTTCTCGTCTTCTTCCTTCTCCTTATCCTCGCTGCCATCACTGTCCTCGTTGTCTGAGTTGGAGCCGGAGTCCTGAACAGGCTTATCGCCCTTCACCATCGTCGTCACTGATTCTCCAGTCCCGGTCTGCTCCGTCTCGTCGGTGTAACACCAGCATTCAGTACTTTTGGACTGCTCGCACATGATCTTTGCTCTGGGGTCGGTGCAGTAGTAGGTTGAAGCTAATTTGCGGGTAAGAAGATCTCCGCTGAGTTCACTGAGAGGGACCAAGTCTGCCTCATCTTCCCCTGCGGAAACATCGCGCTTCTTATTCTTGATCGCCTCGTCCATGTCATCCAAGTGGGCCTTCTTACCGTCCCATCTCCACCCGTAGCATCTGCATTCTTTGGGCTTGTTTCTATTGCGACCGCACCGTACGACCCAGTCCGAGTTGGAGCAGTGGTAATCTAAAAAGTTGGACGTATCCGCGCGACGGGCAATAGGCATGCTGTTGTGGTCATCAACGTCTGCGGGCAGATACGAGCCATACGAGCCAGAGTCAAAAGCGTTGATGTCCTCGATGCTGTCGCGCTTCTTGCCGTCCCTGGCGAGATGATACGAGCTAGAGTCAACAGCGTCAGGAGAGTCGTCGACGCCGTCGGACAGGTCTCGCTTATGTTTGGGGGCGTCGGAATCATCCTTTTCCGCCGGCCCCATGATCTTCAAATAGTGGAAGCCCGTCGTGGCATTCTTTTGGTATGAGGCGCAGCTGCATGTCTCGATGGTAATGTTGCGGATATCGTTGCAGAAGGGGAATTCATGAGTCTTGGTGCATTTGATGCCTGGGTGGCCGGGGCTGCGGCGTTGAACGTCAACGTCAAGACCTCGCTTGGTCTTCTTGATCGGCTTCTCCGTATCCCCAACCCAAACTCCAAAGCGGCCATTAGCATTCTTTTGGTTCTTATCCCAATGGCGACACCACAACGTATCCTCAGGACAATCGTAGTAGTTATAATCTTTGCAGGTGACTAGGGACCCTTTGTTGGGGCAGTGGTAACTGGGTAATAGCATAAAAGCATCGAAGCGGGAATTGGAGCGACGTTGGGCAACATCGGAGACGGAATGGAAGTCGAACATTGCCTTGTTCATGTCATCTTGACTCAGCTCTTGGGGCCCAGGGGCGCGGCGGTTGGGCGAACTGGCTGGGGGGTGGTGGTTCCAGTAGTCGCCGGTGTGTGACTGGGGACCGCGGCGGTTGTGAGAAGTGGGAGGGAGATGGGAAGGGAGATGAGACTTCCAGAACTCGGCGGTGTGGGAGCTGCGGCGGGGGAGAGAGTGGACGGGGAGGAAGTCATAGTCGCCGTCGAGACCGGAGGCGGAGGCGGAAGGGGGAGAGAGGGAGCGTTTGGCGCCGTTCTTTGCCTTCTCTTCTTCGGCCTTCCCCTTCTGCTCCGCCGCCTTCTGCTCATCCCTCTGCTTCTCCCAACTCCAGTCCGAGCCCCCATTAACCGGCTGCTCATCGAGCTTCATGCCGTCCTTCCAGCAGCTACACACCTCCGTCGTGAGACTACACCTCATCGCCGCATTTGGCGTGGCACAGTGCAAGTCGTCGGCAATCATGCGGCGGAATATGTCCCTTGGAAGAAGGTGGAATTCTTCTTCGGAGACGGTGAAGTCATCCTCATCCTCGACAAGAACCGCACGGATGGGGGTAGAAGTGGATGGCCCATCAAGAGAGCGTTTCAAAGGTGTGCCGTCGCTGTCACGAACAGGGATTTCCCTCTCAGCTTGGGCACTCCACATTGTACGCCAATAGCAGGCGCACTCATTAGGCTTGTCATCCTTGCAGCCGAAAAAGAAACTTTTGTGAGGGCAGTGGTACCCTTCAGGGAGGGGACGTATACGGCGGGTGAGGAAGTTCAAGTGAGACTCGGAAGAGGAGGAGCCATCCGATAGATCCTCCTTTCTATGCGGCGTTTCGGTCCGCTTGTCCTTGTGTCGTGAGTCGTAGTCGTGGTTCGCCGCACGAACGATGTTGGCCGCTAAGGGAGGGATCACGCTCCTCTTGGCCTTGGGCTTATCAGGGGTAATGGCTGTGAACTTGCAGTCCTCAGAATACGAACCACTCTTGCATTCTGCGCAGAGACATTTGTCCTCTTCGACGCAGAGACGGCCGGAGTTGCCGGAGCAGGTGCCATCTTGGCGGGTAGTCAGATGGGAGCTGGTACTCTCATCGTCAGAGGCATCATCGTCAGAGACACCGTCTTCAGAGTCAGACGTGGTATGATCGGACTCGTTAGCAGCCGCTGACACCTCAGGTCGAAGACCAACAATCGTAGTGGTGGGATGGATGATGTTGGAGACGGTTGCGGCACTAACGATGACGGTGTCCTTCTTGCCGACCGCGGTGTTGGTGAAAGTATTGGGGATGATGGGGGAGGCGGTGATGGGGACCGTCGCCAGGAGGGCGGAGGCCGCGAGCGTGAAGACCAGCTTCATGCCGAAGGTCTGTTGGGGGTTTGTCTATGCCCCAGGTATGAGTGTATGGTGTTTCTGTTGTGCTTAGTAGGGGAACGGGTATAAGGGGACGTGCTAAGGGGACGGGTCATGGGAATATCTCAGAGAGAGAGACGGAGGAATGAAGCGGAGGGTGGAGGATCACTTACCAAGTGGTTTAAATACGGACTTTCCGACGACTGAACACGATCGAGCCCATGACCCTTTTCTTTCCATAGGGGTTGAATAGCCCATTGAGGTTTCTGAAGCACACTAGGACTCATGGCATGGGAGGGACTGTGCCGATCCAGGCAGGCGATACGCTGGGCATCATGGCGAAAGAGTTGCAAATTGAGGTGAAAGCATATCCCGTTGCCTTAAGTTGGAGGCTATTTCGAGATAAAGAGAACCCAGCACTGAGTTTCGGAGGGGCGGCTTATTGTTTTGTTGATGACAAAGGCCACCCGGTATCGCGGCGGTCTAGGATGGTTTGTGCAACCATGGTGACGAGACCGATCATTCCTCCACGGGCTAGAACAGCAGCACGAAGGCTTGGTGCAATATGGCAAAGTTTCATCCAAAAGATGTCAGCCGAAGTCCGCCACTTGAGCTCACTAGCAAAAATGAAGAGTCGTGAAAGAAGGCAACACGAAGCATGGGGACTTGGCTTAATTGGATGCTTGCCAAGAAGAACAGCCGATGAGAGAGAGTTGAGTTCCCGCCCGACTGAAATGGAATACATACAGCACTTTGGAGTAGGCTCGGCCACGACTGCCGTACGTGAGAACTTGAGCCAGGGAGGTCACGCTCCTTACTGGACTCGGACTCTGGCTGGGGAAGATGAAGAGCTGACAGTGCGGATGATGACGCTGGTAAGCCTAACGGCTACGGGCCCAAGGCGGGAAAACATTGAAGTAGAATAATGTTTGACCACCCGGGAAGCATTCTTCGGCACAATGATCCTCTTAGTGCATGGAATGGGACCGTCACGGGAGAGTGTCTTTGTTGATGTTGTTCATGTTGCACAAACAGCCAACCCTAACCCGGGAGTGATGAGAGTGCTCGAGCCCTGGGGCCTGGAGTGACAGCGGCAGAGACTGACAGCCCCCGCCAGCGCCAGCGCGAGCGACAGTGACAAACAGCAGCATGCTACGGCCTGGAGTGGTCAGCACACCCTCTGCGCTCAATGATGAGGACGAGGAAGCAGGACTCAGAAAAGTGTAAAAGGGCTTGTATATGCGAATTGTGACGAGAGCAGTTGGCGGATCGGAGTAGTCGGCTTGGGTCGTCTGCCGTTAAGGCATTTTTGCAGTGCTGGGAATCTCTTGAGTCTGGCGACGTCGACTCGGCCATGTCTTTTCGCGGTTGTGTGGCCCGTGCTTGCGGGAAGGCACAGACCTCTCCGCCAAGAATACAGCGCCTAGACCGCCAAGACTGCAGACACTGACCTCTTGATTGCGCTGTGACAGAACTGGAGGAAAGAACAACATCGTCATCGATTGAAATTCCCCTTTTCAGTCACGACCCAAGAGAACATCCATCTGGTGCTTCGCGCGATTGCTCTTGCCTCTCACTGCTTTGATTCTCACTCAATTACTCCAACCTTACCGTCGCAAAAGACAGCAGCGCTTTCCCCGCGCTGCGCACCATTGGCCAAGGTGGAGTCCTGGTTGCGACACGCCCCAAATCATGGGCGCCGAAGGAAATGGCGCCTTCCTCGAATATCATGAACCAGACAGTTCGTTATCGCTTGTCACTCGCTCCCTCCTCAACAAGGAACGACCAGCTGATTCCTCCTTCTCTTCCAGTCGTCAGCATCTTGACGTTAATCTCTTTCTTCTTCTTTCTTGCCGTGTCCGAATGGGTGGCCGACAAGGTGCTCCGTGCGGGGCTCATTGGCCAAATCATTGTTGGCCTCATCTACGGCGTCCCCATTGGCAACATCCTGGCCCTGGAATGGCAGGAAACCTTTCTTGCCTTGGGCTACATTGGCCTCATTATCATCATCTTTGAAGGTGGCTTGACTATTCGTCTGGACCTTCTTTGGCAGAACTTGTTCCTCAGCACCAGCGCGGCGCTTCTTGGTGTGCTCACCCCGATTGCCCTGACGTTTGCCCTGTTCTATGCTGGCTTTGGCTATGGTCTGTTTCCCTCTGTCATCTCTTTGGCTTCTTTCATCGCGAACGCGTACTGACATTCAACACATAGGCCCCCTCGAAGCCTTCATCGTCGGCACTGCCCTCTGCTCCACCTCCATAGGGACCACCTTCGTCGTCATCAACAGCGCTTCGTCAAAGCACGACTTCGCCCAAACCCGCGTCGGCACCGTCCTCATCAGCGCAGCCATTCTCGACGATGTCTGCGGTCTGGTCCTCGTCAGTGTTATCTCCCAGCTGCGCGACATCGAAAATGCGAACCTGGGCTGGGTCATAGGGCGGCCTATCCTGGCCAGTGGGCTCATGGCCATCCTGACGCCTCTCGCAGCCAAGTTCGTCCTCGGCCCCCTGTTCCGCTTACCGGCTGTTGAGACACGATTCTTCCGAAAGTTCGGACACGTCGCCAACATGGCCCTGATAGTGTTGGTCCTTTGTGCGTTCCTGGCCATTGCTGCGTATGCCGGCGCAAGCGTCCTGTTCGGTGCATTCCTGGCCGGGACAGTTGTGTCGAGCCTACCTAGCAAGCAGCATGTCCACCCCGACGAACCAAGCGACACCATCGACCTTGATGACGATGCGAAACAGAAGAGGCCAACATTCGGCGACACTTTTGCGCGATACATCCAAGATGCGCAGCGCTTCATCCTTCAACCATGCTTCTTCGCCAGCATTGGCTTCTCCATCCCCTTCATCGAGCTTTGGACAGGCGAGGTCATCTGGAAGGGCATCGTCTTCACTATCATGATGGTTCTTGGCAAGTTGGTTGTCGGCCTAGTGATTCCACTGTGGGATCTCATCGCAAATAAGAAGCCGGATCCCTCAGAGAAAGCGCTTTCGACACCCCCGGCAAAACGAAACTGGGCCCCAGCAGCCTTCCTTGGTACTGCCATGGTCGCGCGCGGCGAGATAGGTCTTCTCATCATTCAGATCGGCTTGAATGAGACACCGTATCTGTCACGGAAGGCCTTTGTCATTGCAGTCTGGGCCATCGTGCTCAATACGGTCATCGGCCCAGTATCCGTCGGAACACTCTTGAACCGATTCGGAAGCGCGGTTGCGGAGGATCAGCGGTGGGGGATACAAGCAAAAAACGCTGGAGGCGAAGTCAATAGGAAGCCTGAGGTGGTATCCGAGGGTACTGGTACCGTGGCGCCCTAGCCGTTCCGACGCATTACTTCTGTCAGCGTTCCTTTGCGACTGTCAAGTGTCAGCTGGATACCAAGGACCTACGACTCTATTAAGGGTCTGGAAGCTTGTCGTCTTACTTTCTTTGATCTGCAATCTTCTTGCACTGTATCAAGAGGCAAACTTCCTTCTTCCGAGGACGACTTCTCGGGATCCCCTGCCCTATAACTGTCAATATGCCCACCAATGCTCCCATACAGGCCTTCGCGGCTGAATTCAGGGCCCGCGGCTCACAAATTCGGCTCGACTCTTGGCACCACACTACGAAGCACCTACATATTACCGTCCCAACGGTAGCAGCTCCAGTATATTGCTTTTCCAAGTTTAGAAACATTGAGCCTCCATGTACGATTTTTGACCGCCAAGATTTCGGGAGCGTGTTCCGATCATGAGCGACGGCCGAATCTTCCTTGGATCCAGGTACAAGTCGACGCGGGGAAGCCACCATGTCCACCACGCATACCGTGTCCATGGAACCCTTTTGTTGACAGACCTCAACATCGTTGGACCCTACGTCACGAACCATTCGGGTTCAACACGGGCGCAGTCGCCGCCTTCGTAGTCTGGCCAAGTGTTCATGCGCCGGGCATATAAACCGGCAACACCATCTGCGTGTTGTTGAATAACGCCAGTGGTGCTATCATCGTGGTACGGCGGATGCTTGCATGATCACTGTCTGCTTCTCCTCCTTCCTCTCTAGTTACGATGTTCCAGTTTCACATTTGGGCCCTTCTCGGCCTCTTTGCTCTTCTCTCTTCGTTTGCCACTGCCTTAACAATCGTTCTCGAAGATGCGGGCCACCTACCGGCAGGGTGGAAGCTCGATCACCATGCCACCGATTCCGATCAGATACAACTGTCCATTGCGCTGAAAGAAGCCGGGATAGAAGAGCTGAAAAGACGCCTCCTGCAGCAGTCTACATCTGACAACGACCCCAACAGCCGCCACCTCACAAAGGAAGAAGTCGACAAACACCGTCAGCCAGACCGAAAGTCAGTCACAGAGGTAGGCCGTTGGCTACAGTCCCACGGCATCAAAAGCTACAAGGCGGAGAACAGCTGGATCACCTTTGACGCTACAGCTGCTACCGTCAAGGCGCTCTTTGAAGCCGACCTAACCTACTACTCGTACAACGGCGATCCCAGCACCCGAATCCTTCGTGCCCGTTCTTACACCATCCCCAAGTGGCTCAACGACGACATCGACTTCGTCCACCCGCTTACACACTTCACGCCTCCTCGCAACCGCAATGATAGTACCCTCCGCCTCGGCCGTCGCCAGCCAACTCAACCCGAACTGTCCGCCCGGGAGGGCTTCTTTGCCCCTCCTTGCTGGACCGGCACCTTCCCTGGCTGCATCCGCAAACTCTACAACCTCACCTACACTCACCCTCCCCGCTCTCGCTCTCCCTCTCCTGTGCGGTTCGGCATCGCCGGTTTTCTGGAACAATATATCACCCACCGCGACGTGACCTCCTTCCTAACCACCTACGCTCCCGAACTGCTCCCTCCCACTCCCACTCCATCCCGGGGCGGCAGCGGGGGCAGCCTAACCCGCCCGCCCGTCACAAACACCACCACCGAGCCCCCCTACAACATCACCATAACCCTCCTCAACAACGCCACCCCCTGGGACCCGCATCCCACCGACCCCGCCCTCTCCAGCCTCGAAGCCAACCTTGACGTACAATACGCTCTCAGTCTGGGTCATCCTACGCAAGTGATTTACTACGCCACCGGCGGGCGCGGGACAAAACTCGATTCGGCTGGGCGTCCCCTCCCTGCGAACGATCCTAGAGCGAATAACGAGCCCTTCCTCGAGTTCTTGCAAGCCTTGCTGGCCTTGCCTGATACGCAGATCCCGCATGTGCTAAGCATCAGCTATGCAGACGACGAACAATCCGTCCCGCGAAAATACGCTCACAGAGTATGCGACCTCTTCGTTGCCTTGGCAGCGCGCGGAACAACAGTGCTGGTGGCAACCGGCGACGGCGGTGCCGCGGGAATAGGCTTCTCGGCCGGAGGCGGCGACAGTTGCATCAAAAACGATGGATCAGGTAGAAGAGCTTTCGTCCCTACCTTTCCTGCCTCCTGTCCCTGGGTTACCAGCGTGGGAGCAACTGATAACACGGCCCTAAATCTAACCGGCGCTGAGTTTTCCAGCGGTGGCTTCAGCGAGTACTTTGATCGACCTCTCTGGCAGCGAGCGGCAGTGGACCCTTACGTCTCCAGCCTTCTCCGCTCTCAATCAAGCAAACCGGGTCAACCAAGCCAGCCCCGTGATCAAAAAGGAGTCTACTTCTCCCACAACGGGCGCGGAACTCCCGACATTGCTGCCATCGGCTCAGGCTTCCAGATCATGCACCGCGGAGAGATAGTGGAAGTACGCGGGACGAGTGCGTCAACGCCGGTGGTGGCGGCCATGGTGGCGCTGGTTAATGATCAACGCTTGAGACAAGGAAAGAGGAGCTTGGGGTGGCTGAACGGGTATTTGTACTTGGACCAAAGGGTGAGGGGGGTGCTCAGGGATGTGGAAGAGGGACGGAGTGAGGGGTGTGTTTTTCCTGGGGATGTGATGGAGGAGGGGAAAGATAAGGGAAAGGGGAAGGCGAAGGGGGAAGGCCGAAGGCACTATGGGATGGAGAAGAGGCAGGGGAATTCGACGGAAGAGGGTGGCGGGGATGGGAATCAAGGGGAAGGAGATGAAGACGGCGAGGAATGGGAATGGGAAGGGGAAGCCGGAGTGGGAGAGGGAGAAGGAATAGGAGAAGGGGACCGGAGTGGGAACGTGATAGTGGGGGGATGGGAGGCGAAGGGGGGCTGGGATCCAGTTACGGGGCTGGGAGTTCCTGGTGACTTTCAGGATATGTTGAGGGTTTTGGGCGGTGGGTAAAGGGAACCATACCGCGACCTTTTCTAGCCAAAGCGAGCGGTATTGGACTGTCCATGTTCGGTTTACTCATAAGACCACATCGCCAGGGAGTTCCCTGACATCCAAAGCATCCCCGGCAAAAACCACACCGTCCAGATATTTCGATGGTGTTTCGACACCCGAAAGGCCGCGCAACTGGATTTCAAGGACCGAGCATAGCTCTAGACAAATTCTACCCGCACGCATATCTTTCCTTTGCGCACTTGGTTATTTTGGTGCTGTTGGTGCTGTCGGTGGTTGTGTGGAGAGCTGCGGCTGGGCGGGGCCGGAAGACGGATGAGGGGCAGGCACGACCGGGCCGTACCGTGCCCCACCTTCCCCGCCACATCAACGGCCCGCGTCACGCGTGCGGAGCTCTCGCCCCGCCACTTCCATGATCCATCCATCACTCCCCCCTCAGCAGGTCGTGCCTGGCGATCATTACACTAGCCTCTCAACTGCACAACCTCGACTCTATTCTCCTCCGTGTCTTCCTCGTTTCTACTCCTGTCCTCACCAAGTGCCTCGCGGGCCGCATCAGGAAGGCATCGTGGAGACCGTTCTCTGTCAGCGGTCCAAGTGCGGGGGCAGATTCAATGGCGGGGTCACCGTTCCAATGGAACTCATCCTGATCAGAAGTTCAGAACTCCTCCCGCTCCAGGACCTGCTTTTACCCAAGTCAGATCTCGAGGATGGAGGTAAGAATAGTGTTTTTCCACTTCCCAGATGTCAGTTGCTAACGCGACGCGACGCATACAGAATCGATAACCTTAGCTCTTCGCGTGGCCGTCAACACCAGTACAATAATCCCGTCGGGTTAGGGTTGTGATCACGCCCTAGTTACTTCGGCAGGATGTGATGCATGGCCGCAATGAAGTTGACTCGCGGCATTTCGCAAGTATAAAGATATCTCGGAGAATCCGAGTTGACTTTATTGGTCACTGCGGGGTAACGGCTCCAACCACTTTTTCGACTCCATTCAGACAGTGGACATTGCCGGTGCTACTTAGTTGGGACTAGCCAGACTCCCAGACCTGCAGGGGAAGCATCCACAGTGGATTGAACCTGTCGTGCTTGCCGGACGATGGCCTCTCTTGTGCTGTTAAAAAGGCTTGCCCACGAACACCCTTCTCTCCCCGAGTCCCTCTCCGAGTCCCCTCCTTCAAATTCTGCCCTGTCTCTTGCTTCCGACACAACAACCTTGACAAGCACACTACCTAGCGTCGCGACCATGGTGACCAGTCCCAAGAGCCCCAAGAGCCCGGTCTCTCAGAGCCCCAATAGCAACCAAGCGTCCAGCCCGCCGGCACCCGTTGTCTCTGGTTCAGGCCCAACACCGCTCGGCGCCGAGGAACAAAACGCAGCTGGCCTTCTCCCGGCCTCGCACTGGACACAGCAGCCAGTAAGTCACGGGTTCGATGCATCTCTCATCCGGAGGATTAACCCATTGGTTCACAGCTCGCAGAAGAGGATCCTGCAGATGACGGCGCCTCTACTATCGGTTCCTTTACTTCGAGCACCGCTTCCTTGAGTTCGAAAATCTTTGAGTACCGCACTATCCATGGAAGAACTTACCACGGTGATGTTGGCAATGCCGAGGCATGGGAGCCCAATGACCAGCGTCACGTTGAGGCCATGGAGATCTTGTAAGTGAACCCTATGGCTTCGCAAGATGGATGGACTTGATCGTTTACTGACGTGATTCATGCATCGGAAAGCCACCACGCCATGCTAGTTCAACTGGATGGCAAGCTCTATCTTTCTCCGCTTGACAAGAAGAAGGTCCATAGAGTGCTCGACATTGCAACAGGCTCTGGCATGTGGGCTATGTAAGTTCTCCCCAGCCTTCTGTTCCTCAAATCCGAGCCGGGTGAAGCGACTGTGTGATCGGTCCCTGCGACAGAGACAGCCAAGACTACAAGCTTGGCATCAAGTCTGTGCAGCCAAAGTTGCGACAACCATCACAAAGAGTCATCATGTTGATCTACAACAACTGAGGGGACTTGCACCTTCAGCAGGCCTGTCTCCACGCAGTCGCAGTGACCTGCTACACAGTTGCGTTCACCGCCTCGATTAGATCTGTGCTAACCAACTCTTTCTCTTCATTGTAGTGATTTTGCCGACGAGTTCCCTAATGCCGAAGTCATTGGCACCGACGTTTCCCCTATCCAGCCGTCCTGGGTCCCTCCAAACGTAAAGTTTGAAATCGACGATTGTAACCAAGAATGGACTTGGGCCGAGAATAGCTTCGATTTTATCCATATGCGTATGCTGATTGGCGTCGTTGACGGCGATTGGTCTGCCCTGTTCCGGAATGCCTTCCGGTGCTGTAAGCCGGGCGGTTACGCGGAGAGTTGTGTTTGTGATATCACTTTTGTGAGTGATGATGGATCGGTGAAGGAAGGTAGCGCTATGGACCAATGGGGCAAGGTTTTTACAGAGGGCGGTAAAAAGCTAGGCAGGACGTTTTCAGTGTATGAAGAGGATTTGCAACGCAAGGGCATGGAAGCGGCCGGATTCGTTGATGTTGAATTCGTGGACATTCAATGTCCCATAGGGGTCTGGCATCCTGAGAAGAAACCGGCGGAAAGGGGGCTTTGGTATAAGATGGCAGTTGAGGCAGACCTTGAGGGTAAGTTTTTGTCGTCAAGATCGGATATTGAAGTTATACTAACCCGTACGACAGGATATATCAACTACATCTTGCAGGTTGTAATGGGCTGGACTCCAGAGGAGACCAAGGCTTTTGCTACACACGTCAAGCAGGAATGGAACAACCCCGAGATTCACGGGTATTTCATGATCCGTGTGGTATACGGCCGCAAGCCGGAGTAAAGTGGAGGGGGGGAAGGGAGTACATCTCGGCGAGTTCCCGACTGGGCTACCAATTGCCATTGGGAATTGAAGACTGCGGGGTTTGGTCCAGGGGAAGTCAGAGCGAGCATCTTTTCCTGTCATGTTGGATTCGGATAGTTCTCGTGAGAACAGTCATGGTTCCGCATAGAAGGCCTACCAGGTACATTCCCATCAGTTTGCTGTATCTTTCATCAACCGCCTAGCTTGGCTGAAGGAGACTGCCCGGCGCCGTTATCTTCCGGGAGATTTAGGTCGCACAACTACGTCGATCCCGGCACTTCATCTCTCTAGCATTGGGCATACTATCCGTTCCACTTCATTCACCTCTTGGGCCTTGGCTGAATTCTTTCAAGACCACACAGAGTCTCAATCCATCCAGCTCTATGCGCTTTTTATATCTCACGCACACGACTTCTTATCCACATAGATGGTGAACCTTGGTGGACTTTATAAGTGTGGTAAGGATCTGGCGCGCATTTAATCCCGACCATAAATGATTACTCTTTTCAGTGACTGACCAGGAGACTTGGATAGACCAGACTTCGTGATCCTTTTTTTCGGGAAATCTACAGTCTTTTATTGGTAGGTCCCGGTTCCGGCACCTATCCTTTTGGCAGGCTTGAGTTGGCGCATTTTCCAGCTGCAAAAAGGTCCAGACTGCACACGCTGCCGGCCCATTATTCAGTTCAGAGGATGCCAGCGACACATCTCCATGAACTGGTCAAGGCGAATTCGAAGAATGAACGTGTGTCCCATCCCATACAGTAAAGACCCCTGAAAGTGCAACCCCCCCAAAGTGCAAATACCCCCTAATGTGCAAACGATTTGGGCAGCCGGAATTGTTTTGCTATATAAAACCTGCAAACTGCAAAGTGCAAACACTCTAGCCTGGATTTGCACTTGCAGGGGTCTTATTTTGGTGGGAACGAATATTTATACTCGGCTACCGGGGCTCCGGCGACCCACTTTTTGGCTTAGCCGGGCGCCTTCCACTGGCTAGAGGGTGGCTTATGGTCTGTGCACCAGAGCCTCCAAGTGCAAATACCCAGAAAGTGCAAAAGATTTCGCCCGCTCGGATTAGTTGCACTTTCAGGGGTCTTTACTGTATCCTGACAGACCCCGAGGTGCTTTTTTTTTTTTTCCCATTCAAATGGGATTTATCCCCAGACTCTTCTGGCCAATTACAGGTCTGCTAGGCACGCGGTGTTGAAGCCATCACCATGTCTTGGCATTCTTGGCACAAGGTGGATACGATACGATCCGTACATGCTTACCGTGCATATAAGCTAGACTTCGTCCCTTTTCCTTTGATCTCTCTCTCTTCTCAATCAATCAAGACATTCACCACCACTTTCGTCGTCTCTCACATTCACACGTGATCACCTCCTCCGTATGGTTCAACACGCAGGTGGTTGACAGAAAAGACCGAACACTCTTGCACCCAGATCACACAGAGCATATTCAGTGCTTCAGTTTTTGTCAATCACCTGACACGTTGAGGCGTCGTCGGCCTGCAGCCCTTCTCAGGATGTGGTTGGCCGTACAGCGTGGGGATAAATCCCATTTGAAAAAAATGCGAATTCGGATGCAAGTGGCCAGTCTTCTCGCTTAGTCTGCAGTGCTGCAGGGGCAGAGAACCCCGGCAGTTGCTGCAGGCGTCTTCTGCAGGGTGGATTCCAATTGGGCCGCCGCCCGGCACTCACTGACGGTGACGTGGTCAGGACTCCAAGCAATGGGAATATTTTTCGCACCATTGAACGGCACCGGAATGCTTACCTTTCACAAGCTTTGTTCGTCGTGGAGTAAATGGACCGGCCTCGAAGGTTCTTGAGGAGTTGGGGGGACAATGCCGAAGTCGGTCACCTCCACACCTGTCACGAACTCGCCAGGGGATGGGACTCAGTCGGGATAAAAACGGCATAGCGAGGAGGAGCTATTTGGGAATGACGATTCCTTCCCGCAGGGTACAGCAGCAGCGATGTTTGGCACCGGATTCCGTAAATCCGGTGTACTGAAATGGAGCAAAACACTACTCACAACCAGAACGGGACAGCCCACCCAACAAAAAGGTTATGGTGAGGACCAGATCTGGTCATGATAGGTTTCAGAGGATTCCAACGAAGGGAGATTCATCAACAAACCCTACCGCTTTTTCTCACTCGATATTCTGCAACCCGCATCAACTGACCAGGAGATTGGTCGAAGCCAGATATACCCGGCGCTATACCTTGTTGAGTGAGTTTGAGTGAAACCGTATCGGGTGAGAAAAAGCGGTAGTCATTCAACCACCAAACAGAGAGGAAGCAGAGCTTCACTCCCCAAGTTAGCTTTGACGATCTGGTGGTCAGTTCACAAGACAGATGGGTTCACGGGGGAAACTTGGCGAACTCTTTTTGGGGCGGAGCAGCCGGAGCTTGAGTGTATTCTGATCGGGAAACTAAGTACACCGGAATCCGGATCTCCGAGACAACCCCGGCCGATCGAGACAAGCCCGGCCGATCTGCTCCTACCGAAAAAAAGTGTGAAAATCACCCAAAATTAGTACAGATAGCTCCCATTGGTCCAACCCACCCTAAAGCCAGGGTCAACAACAACCATCGGTCGTGTCCCGCAAAAATTTGACTCCATTCACAACGGGCAACAGCCAACTGGATGCTATTCAGGCCAACAGTCCCGCCTAGCCATCTTGAAATTGGTAATCATGATCCTAAAAGAGCCTTCTGTAAGTACCACGCTAACGAACACGTGCATTACTTGCGCACCGCACAGTGAATCAAACGGAAAAGACGGTGTGCAGCGTTGTTCCCGGACGATAACCCTCTCACCTGGGGTCTTTAGAGCGCTCCGATGCCCACCTTCAATTTCTGCCTGTCCGTTTCCCTCAGTATCCTTATACGTACTTGTCCTCAAAGTCGCAACCATGGCTTCCAGTAGCGGCCAAACTCCCAAAAGCCCGCAGGCTCAGAGCGCCAAAAGCTCGCAGAGCCCCAACACCTCACAGTCACAGAGCCCCAAAAGCTCGCAGAGCCCCGAGGCAGCATCGCCAGCACCCGCTGCTGCACCCGCTGCTGCCCCCGCACCTCTGCTCAGCGCCGAGGCGGCGACTGCGGCTGGTATTCTTCCTGCATCGCACTGGGCTGATCAGCCGGTAAGTTGAATTGCTTTTTTTGATCCCATCACTGAGAAATCAACTAACCAAAACTTACATATTTTTCGTAGCTTCCCGAGGAACGTCCGGACGATGATGCTGACTCTACGTTTGGATCGGACGTCGGCAGCACCGCTTCCTTGACCAGCAGCATTTTCGAGTACCGCACCCACCATGGCAGAACTTACCACGGCGATATCGGTAATGCCGAGGCCTGGGAGCCCAACGACCAGCATCACGTCGATGCCATGGATGTAGCGTATGTGCGCCGGATTTTCTTATGATGCCCTATAATTTTGCGGCGACACTCGGAATCCAGGACAGTCCGGCAACATTGGTTCAAAGGTCAGGCCAGTTGCAGTTGACTGCCTGTACTTGATCATTGATGTAATTGGCAGACGCTTAACCCTGCTTGGTCGGACTGCCCTGAATTCCGATTTTGACGAGACTAGAGGTATACAGTCAGAATGCAGACACTGACGGCCTTTAAAGCCACCACTGTCACACAGTGTGCCTCGGCGGAAAGCTTTTCATGTCCCCTCTTGATAAGAAGAGGGTCCAGAAGGTAGTGGATATTGGCACAGGCACCGGCCTTTGGGCAATGTAAGTTTTCCCCGCAGCTGCTCTCTTGGGTCCCCTGTTCTTTCTCCGGCGATTCTCAGCCTTATTAATACCATCTTACTTCCACGCAGCGATTTTGCCGATGAATTCCCCAACGCGATCGTTATTGGTACCGACGTCTCCCCCATCCAACCTTCGTGGGTACCTCCCAACGTCAAGTTCGAACTCGACGATTGTAACCAGGAATGGACCTGGGCCGATAATACCTTTGACTTTGTTCACATGCGCATGTTGATGGGCGTGATTGCCGACTGGTACGACATCTTCCGCCAGGCCTATCGGACCTGCAAGCCAGGCGGCTATGTTGAGACCTTCATCGGCTCTCCCCAATTCAAGAGTGACGATGGGTCGGTAAAGCCAGATAGCGCCCTGGGTCAATGGGGCAAAGTCTTTAGTGAGGGCGGCAAAAAGTTCGGAAGAACGTTTGACGGTGTTGAGGAGGATCTGCAAAGGAAGGGGATGGAAGCGGCCGGCTTTGTCGATATCGAGGTCAAGGACATTCTATGTCCGATTGGCACCTGGCACCCGGATAAGGAGGCTGCAGAGCGAGGACTGTGGTGGAAGATGTCGCTTGACATGGATCTGGAGGGATATCTCACCTACATCTGCGCCAACCTGCTGGGCTGGACGGTAGAAGAGACAAAGGTCTACTGCGCCCATGTTAGGAAGGAGTGGGCTGATCGTAGCATCCATGGCTACGTCTGGTTGCGTGTCGCATGGGGCCGGAAGCCAGAGTAAAAAGAGTGGCCGTGCTCGTTAGAAGCACTACTGCTTTGGGAAAATTGATGAAGGTTTTGGTTCCAGATTTTACGATGCTGTCGCGGATGTGGAGACGGAAGTGACACTCCGGGACGGGAGTTGAAGCTTGTGATGCCGTGTTTGGTGCTGCTGCGGTTTGAGGCCAAATTTCACCAGAGGGAGCTAGTAACGGGAAACGAGTTGCTGAAGCCGTTGATGGTGGGCGAGTTTCTGAGGAAGCCGTACGTTGCGAGGGGGGCCGGCGTCGTGGTTGCTTCGAATGTTTTGTTTAACTGTTCTCAAAGCTTGCTTGGAGACAGTGACGTAGTTTGTCGATTCCGGGTTCAAGCCAAGGTGAGAAGGTTCAGTTCTGACTCAGCCAAAGGATGATGATGGCAATGGGCGAAAGCATCATGATGATGATTATGACGATGATGAGTGTCGTGATGAAGAGAAAACTTCAGTATACTCTAAGGTTAGCCTCCGTATACTCCAAGACCTATAAAAACATTAAGGTTAGGGTCCCTGGCAGCCTATGATAGGCTATGGCACTTAATATCTAAAATTCCCACTTTTAGCCGTGAAAATACCTTATTTCAATGTACGAAATAATGATATGTATTTTATGAAATTTTTCATTAGTCTTTACGAGCCGTATACCCCTTTTCTAATTTAGCAGTTTTAAGTAATTTTGTACGTTGCATTACTACCCTGCAATACTACCCTGCTAATCAACCGTGCCAGCTCTATATAGTTAATTAATGTACGTCAATTAATTGGTATTAGTTTTAATGTATATTAATAGTTCGCTATAGATGGCCACTAACTCTCGTCGTTGTTGTTGTAACTTTATCGATACCTAAGCGACTTTTATAAGCGCTACTTCCTTTTTTCGAAAAAGTTAGCACGTACTACTAGACAATCCTATTTATACCCTCCCCCTTAGGGTAATAATCGATGAAATCCGTCGCGATATTGCCAAGTTCTATTGTTGTCGTCGCTTTAGTATAACGATTTTTCGAATTAATAAATATTTAATACGTAACCCTAACTACCCTATATGTCAGAATGCAACACGGGCGCGTATAACCGTAGTACGACGAGTATGTATAAAATGATAAAATAACTAAAGTTAAAGAAGGAAAGAGGGAGAGGTTGAGAGTTAGGCTCGGTTGCGCACCCTTATATAGGGTGTGCCTAGATTCTACCAACTTCTACCGCCTTCTTAATCTAATATTATATATGCAATATATAAGTTGCAATACCAATTAAATAGTTGCAACGAACTAATTAAATAGGCTTATATATTTTAATTCTAATTTAGCCAATTAGAGGTCGTACATCCCTAAGGATATAGGTTTTATAATAGGACGAGTGGGGCCTTAGTACCTATATATAGGGTATCAAGACGTATATTATTATATTACCCCCCCCCCCCCCCCCCCCCCCCCCCGGGTTAAGGCTTAGCCTTAGAGCTGAAAAATGAAAAAAATGAAAAAATTAATTTAAATAGGAATCGAATACTTTTTCTAATTTTATTTCCTTATTATCATTCTCCAACTTAATCCTACTTTCGAACTATTTTTAAACTTATCGTTATTAATATAAGGTTCCTTATTTCTTACTAATTAATTAGTTAATTATTTAAATAGTCCCGGTATTACTACGTTCGCTTTATAGTAATCCCTTAATAACTTTACTACATTATTGAAGTTATTTGCTAACTAGAATCGAGGGTCGGGGTCCTATCTTTTCTATTCTACTTAATACTCTAGCTTCCCTCTTATAATTTTTAATAAAATTATTTTTAAGACTTCCTATTCTTCTTTATTTCTAATTATTTCGCCCGCGGGATTCTCATTACTTTATTTTAGGAGGGGATTATTAAGGTATAGTCGTAAATAATTAATATAATAAATAATTATACTTCTTTAATTTTCTAGGACTTTTAATTCGTAGGAATACCTTTTTATTACTTTAATACAGTATAGTATTCGAATTTACTTTTAATTTAATTTATCATTGGGCCAATCCGTAATTTAGCTTCGTTTAATAATAAAGATTCAATTATTAATACTAAAGTTGGGTTCCCGCCTATATTTATTAGCTTATATAGTTTATTATTATTATACCTTTTTAATATTCTCCCAGGCTACCGCGTAATATTATTTTAGACGATCTATTAATTAGTAAGCTTCTTATCGGTTAATTTCCTTGCGGGCGGGTCGAAAGTAAATTCGGGTTTCTTAATTTAGGATATTAGGTATTATATAGCCTATAATTACTTCTTTTAATGATAGGCTATTAAAATTATTATAGGGAAGATTTATTTAAACCGTATTTAGCGTAGGGATGTATTCGGACTAATCATTTTAATTATAGTTAATATAAAGCTTTAATTATTAATCGATATATTAATAGAAATTCTCTACTCATTTTACGGTTTACGAGTATTTTAAAGTAACTAATTTTTATTTAATATTAAAAAGTAACAATATTTCTTATATTATTTAAGATACGAATTAAGGACTTCGGTCGCTAATAACTTCTACCGGTAAGCTATAGAGGCGGTAGGGGCCGCGATAGTATAAAATAGTTACGTTCTTAATTATAATGGTGTCTTTATAAAAGATATCCTAATTAGCTTTTAAAAACTAATTTATAATTACTATAATTATATTGTATCCGTAACAGTTCTTAAGTATAGATTTGAAGTTTACTATTAGGGAGCTAAACGGCTTATATTCTTTGATTAAAGGGATAGAATACAATAATCCCAATATTTTATCTTTAAATACTTTAGAAACTTTATATATTTAATAATTATTAATATACCAATTTATATTTACAATTATAAATAATTACTAATAATGTTTATAAAGTATCCTCCTTATTTTACTACAACTTAGATAGGTAGCGGTTATTAAATAGTAAATAATTTCGATTAATTTAATACGAAGGTTATTATCCTTAGGGACTATTAACTTTTTATTTTTTAATAATAATCCGTCTTTAAGAGAAAAAGGGGAATTATCCTCTTATATTTTAACGTAATATACTAATAAAAATTCCGTAGTATAGTTAGCTTAGATTGATTAATTTACAATATTATAATCTACGTATAATTCCGCTAATAGCACTACTTCATTCTCCTCCTCCGAATTAACTAAGGGTTCCTAATTTAATAATTTATTACTACCGAAAGTAAAGAATCCGTTATTAGCGAATTTAAATATTCGTAAAGTAAATTAATTTTCCTTCTTATTTTTAATAGTTTTTCAGGTTTTTAATTTACGTAATAAAGTATTTACTACTACGTTTTCTTTTTTTAATCAATATATTATTTTAAATTAATATTCGATAGGATTTTTAATTATTAAACTTACTTACTATTAAATACTCTCTTCTCGCTAAAATAGTTTAATATTTAATAATTTATATAAATAATAAAGAGTTTTATTCCTTTAAACTCCAGTTTCTATTAATTAATACCTTTTATTATTATTAGGAACTCTTTATTATATACCGGGTAATTGAACTCCGCGGAGTTTATAGTTTCAGAGTAGAAGGTAATCGAGTACTATTTTTAATCCTCCTCCTAAAATTAATTTATTACTCCTATGAAGATATTATTATTTATATTTATTTTAATTTGGGTTTCCTTGCTATAGCTGAAATAAATTAATATTAGTATATTTAAAAGATTCTCTTTTAAAGAGGTAGATACCTCTTTATATTTCTTATCCTATTTGAATACTAAGTCCTTCTTTGTAAGATTTATTAGCGGTTTGGCTATACGATTAAAATTGTATATAAATTTCTAATAGAAATTATAGAATTTTAGGAAGGTTTGTACGCTTTTTTTCATGGTAGGGGTTTTTTATTCTTTAATAACTATTATTTTTTCTAGGTTAATTAAAATATTATTAATCCTAATAATAAATTTCAAGAATTTAGTTTTAGTAATACTAAATTCGTATTTTTTAATATTAATCTATAACCCTGCTTCTTCGAAACGTTATAATATTATATCGATATATTTATTGTACCTTTCTTAATTATTAGAATAAATTAAAATATTATCGATATACGTATTATAGAAATTATTTAAATAATTTATTAGCATTTTATTAATAAAGCGTTAAAATAACGAAGGGCTACCAGTTAGTCCGAAAAGTAATACTTTGTATTTGTAATTACTATAATGAATTTTAAATGTAATTAAGTCCTTATAATTACGGTACATTCTAATATAATAAAACGTTTATTATATATTTACTTTAGTAAATATTTTTATTTAATTAATCTGGGCTAACGTTTTATTAATTAATAGTAATAGATACCGGTTCTTTTTCGATAAAGTGTTGAGTCTATAGTAATTTACGTAGAAGTATAGTTTACTATTGGCTTTGGGTACGAATAGGATAGGGGTTACCTATAGTGTTAAATTCGTTTCGATAAATCCTTTTTAAAGGTTTTTAGTAATATATTAGCAATATTCTTCCAATTATTTTAGGGTTATATTATATAGTGAGTTATATCCGAAATCTTAGGGACTTTTACTTTTTTCGAATTCAATTTTATAATTAATTTTATTTTTAAGTTCTAGGAGCGTATTAGAAACTTTCTTATTAAAAACGTTAATACGATCCTAGTATTTCTTAGGTAGCTTATTTATTATTAATTGGTAGTATTCCACTTTATCGTCGGGTAATACTTTAATTGGTAGTATTTCAATAATACTATTAATTTTGTAAAGATTAATCTCTTTAATAATTTTATTTTATTTAGTATAGATGTTTACAGTAATAGTATTTACTAGTATATAGTTGCGGGGGCGTTATTTAGTCTATCCGAATGGCCGTTCTATATAGTAAGGGTTTTAAGTATTATTATAAAGATAGAGGTCTTTATTTTATCGATATAAGTCCCTTATTATCTCTCTTTCCGAAATTTTGGCCGTCGAAGCGTATTTATATTTAATTCCGTTAAAGAGTTAC